GGGGGGGGGGGGGGGGTTCGAATTTTGAAGTGATGAGGCTGTTTATGTGCAGCTGCAACGAACGTCCTTTGCATCGTATGAACCATCGAAGGGGGGAGGTTATATTTTTGAAAGATGGCCCCGAGATGTAGAGATAGATGAGAAAATGTCCTTGGTGATTAACGCACCTCACAAGAGGAACAGTAACCCTTCATATACGAGGGCCAACTTCACTTACTGGTACCATTCTGAGCAGACACAGAGAGACACAGGAGAGACGCAGATGTGTGCTCAAGCATATTCTTCTTTCACACATGGCAAACAATATGTAAGGGCCGAGTGCGAAACAAACGGATTGCTATTCCAAACAGATGGTGGACTAATGAGATGGGAGCAGCACAGATTCGTCTGCTTCTTCGCTTCATTGGCCTTCAAACTTGGGCATTGGGCCTGCTCACTGCTGTGGGGCTTGGCTGGCCATCCGAGCAGATGAATTGCTCATGCGATGCAAGCTCCCAGGTAGAGACCAAGATTGCCTGTCAAGAGATTGTTTATTTGTGGCCGCGGCGGAGAAAAGCCTGAGACGCACAGCTATCGTATAAAGAATAGGGGAAGAAAAAATGACCCTACATCAAGATAAACACGGCAAAAGTAAACCAAGGCAGCATGTGAAAGCAATACGACCAAAATCGAGTCTTGCAGGATGAAAATAAAAAAAAAAAAGATAAAGGGAAAATATAAGGTTTATCGTACACGAGTAACTCCGTTACCCAAATTATAAAAACCTATTCCCTCCTTTTCTCTCCCCTCCGTCCGTCAGCGCCCAACACGTCTCTAAATAATTCCTTCGCTAATCCTGTCGCGCAACGATGGCAAGACCCAAAAACGCCTCATCCCGTGGCGTCTGCTCCGTATATATCGTCATGTAGAGAGCAGAACAAGGTTGGAGAAAATATAGAAAAGAGGACTGGGGCCCCTCGGATGCCGTGTTTGGGACTGGACAAGGCTTCCCACTCAGCAATGCCCAGCTGCTCCCCGGGTCTTGTTCGTTGCCGACAAGTGCACACTCCCACCACAGGGTATCAATCCACCGACACAAGGACGTGCGGAAAGCACGGGTTTCCAAACGGCTACCGCAGACATGCATGTGGCCAGAGACTGACTGGTATGCTGTCCCGGTCTCTCTCTCTCTCGTAAATCAAAGCTTTTTCCAAACTTGTCCAAAGCCGACAAAGGAAGTCCAAATCAAAACCGGTAGCAAAAGAAATTTGAAGAGAGTCCAAAGAACAAGCCAAAACAAGAGACGCCACCATGCTCCATCATGAATACCTAGGGACATGAAAAAAAAAATGGCGTGGTCCGCCGTGCTACAAGAGCACAGCGTAAATCGTGGGCGAGATGGAGATGACGTCAAATAACGGGAATCGAGCAAGTAAGAGTGGCGCCTCAGGCCGGGTTGCCCTTCATTCGCTTGGCCATTCGAGGAGTAGTCTGGGGTTGGGGCTTGGCCCTGCTCTGGATGCCGTTGACCTGAGTACCGCCTGCTGTGGCCGAATCGTCTTCGACCTTGACGGTGGACGGACGCCGACGTTTATTAGAAGCCGGCGATGTGTTTGCGCTTGGCCCGCTTGAGCTCGTCCCTTGCTGGCTAGGCTGGAGCTGCATGCCGGGGGCTTGGCCCGGCGCAGGGCTGCCGATGTGAGGCGACCCCGGGAGGTTCATGTGTACCGCAGCAGGGCTCGCTCCCATCGGGAACTGCCCGAAACTAGGTGTCCTTGGCCCCTGGCCCATGGTCTGCCCGTTCATCATGGGTGCCGGGTTGTTGTTGATCTGGGTTGCAACGTATTGTTCGAGCGCGCCATAGGGGCTGAGGCCGGGATTGGAGTGGAAGAATCCAAACAATGGGTTCATCTGGCCCATAACCTCCACAATCTATAGCAATCGTTAGCTCGCATGCTCTCCTTGCTACGATGGTCACCCCAAGCCCCGCTTCAACATACCTCGAGGAACTGATGTACCGCCTCCGTGACGCCCTTGCTGTTCACCGCAGAGTCCGGGAGATCGACCAAAACCCCAGGAGGCTCTTTCTGAGGAGACTTGAGCTGGCGAGCCTTGCCCTTCTTGGACATTTCCGGCGACTGCTTGCCGTCCATCGTATTTACGCTGCGCCATTCCTTGATCCATTCATGTGCCGGCTTTGCAGCTTCAATCACTCGCTTTCGAGAAACGTATTCCTCTTGTCTCGTCGTGAGGAATTCGAACAGTTCAATCTTTTGTTCGGCATCGAATTGCGCCCGTAACGTACCAGTGGCCACGAGCTGGAAGCAAGATGCAATTAGCAAACGAGGTGCACAACATTGTGAGACAGAGCATGTGACATACATGTGAGCCCGTCTCGAACCAGTAGACGAAGCTGGCCCTGGGATTCTCGATGCAATAGCAGTCTCCTGGCAGATGCTTGTCACTGCTCCCGCTATCCAGAATGAGCTGCATGCTCTTGACGCCACTGCTGAAGTGCGTATGGAAGTAGCGAGCAATCGCTGGGTACGAGATATCGTACTGCTTGTCCGGTGTGTCCTCGGAGTCGCTGACGTGTAATGTATGTCGGAACACGCCGTTTGGGGAGAAGAACTGGGCTACAAATCGATTCCAATAGGACATATCGTCCTTGTTCTTTGCGCCCTGCACAACCGTGTCAGCATATATAAATCCGCTTCAAGCATCACGACATCAAGGAAAGCATACCGGGAAGCCGCTAAGGCGTTCTCCAAACTGCATCAACTTCAACAGACACCGAGTCTTCATCCCTTCCCTCATCTGCTGCTGTTGCATCATGGACGACGCCATCAGCTGCTGGGCGGCCATCTGGGCCTGGTTCGGGGGCTGAGCTTGCTGGGGCTGGGGTTGTCCAGGCGGCATCTGGTTCGCGTGAGCGGGTGTCGGGGCGGGTGTCTGGGACGGTGTCTGCTGGCCAGAGGGAGCTGGTGTGCCTGCCTGAGAGGTCTGCTGGGGGGCCTGCTGTGACTGGGGCCCAGGCTGCTGCTGTTGCGGTGGTTGAGGTTGCCCCGGAGGCTGCTGGTTCTGTGGTTGCTGGGCGGCCATCTGCGTCTGAGCCGCGGCAGCCATGGGGTTCTGCTGCTGCATTCCCATGGGCTGCGCGTTCATTGCCATGTGCTGCGCCTGGTTATGGCTGGCAGCCAACTGCTGATTATGCGCCACCTGCTGTTGCGCCGCCTGTTGCGCCGCGGCCTGATGATGCGCTTGCTGGGCTGCTTGCTGCTGGGCCGCCGCATGCTGCTGGAGGGCCAGCTGTTGCGCCATGATCGCCTGCGAGTTAGGCCCCTTGGGTAGAGAAGAGTGTCAATAAGTGTCCTGCTCCTGCTATCACTGCGAATCCCGCATGCACAAGAGTAACTCACGGCTACATGGCTCATGGCGGCGCTCCGCTGTCTCAGATGCTGAAGCTGCTGGGGGCTCAGTTGCATGCCCATGGGTAGACCGTTGACGCCCGCGGTGTTCATGCCTTGAAACTGCTGGGCGAACATGGCTTGCCGTTGTTGCTGTTGCAGAATTTGTTGCTGTCGAATGGCAGCCATTGCGCTCGGGTTGTTCATGCTGACTATACAACGACATTCACATGTTAGCACGCGCAGTTCAGTCTCTTTCGGAGCACTGTCGCCACGTTGGGGCACTCACACTGCTGTTGCAGATGCTGCTGCTGCTGCTGAAACATCTGCTGTTGCGCGGGGGTGAGCTGGTGCACCGCGTGAGGGCCAGGACTGGCACCAGGCGGCATACCGCCCATCATGGCGGGATTGACCTGGCCTCCTGGGCCGGAGACGGCGATGTGGCCGCCAGCGAACTGGTGAGGCATGCCGCCGGGCGCGCCTTGCTGGCCGGCGTTGGGAGGCATTCCGGGGGCCCCCATGGGATGTCCAGCAACTCCAGGATGTCCCATGGCAGGGTGCCCCGCGAAGTTGGGGCCCATACTCGTAGCCATCATCTCTCGTCGAGGTCGGCTATCCACAGCGTGGATATCGACAAGCGCCTGCAGACACTATTGCATGCGCACACGAGCGAGGCTGCGGAGATGTCGCGACCGCCGTCGATGTGGCCAGTAGTCCGCCTGACGCTTTCTGCTGTCGGCTGCAGGTCCTGCTGTGCCTTGCCGTCGCCGTCGTGTCCGCCTCTTGTTCCTCTCGAGATTCGCGTCGCGGCAGCGGGAAAGCGTGGATTACGGGGTAGCAGGCGGTGGAGACGGCTGCAACCTGGTCGTAGGCGCCCAAAAGCCGGCAGGGAAAATGGGAAATCAAGTCGCGGGCGCAGATGCGTGGCCGGAAAATGCGAATGAAGCTTATGGCGAGAAGAAGCGACGAGAGGTGCAGTGGCGACGATGCATCGGCAGCAGTTAATGCGGTCCGATGGGTAAGGTCTGGTAGCTGGTGGTGCGATCCGTGATACCACACCAGCCCGACTCAAGGACAGCTGCGACGGGGGTGACAAATAAAACAGGCCTGGCGACTGAGTGGGCAGCACGCAGGGGAGACGAGCCCGAAAGAGAAGTGGCTTGTGTTTGGGGACGGCAGAGGAGGGTAATGGGCAGAGGAGAGCGAGAGGGAAGAGAGGCCGGGCGATGGGACGCGGTGCAGGGCGCGAAGAGTGGAAAATATCTCCCCGACCGAGTTCAACGGGAATCTGCAGAGAGCCCAGCTTCAGCCTACCAGGTAGTGTGAATGATGGCGGCAGACAACCGACCCAACCGGCAGAGGGCTTGCTCGGTTTTTAGCAGCAGCCGTTCTTCTTCTTTTTTTTCCCACCTTGTTCCCCTTTGTCTGCCCAGCGAGATTTTGCCCAAAATTCTGCAGCGCGACTCCCAAGCACTGGTCCCCCACGGCGAGGATGAGGCAAAGCAAAGCGGACGAGCTGCGAAGGGAGATGCAGAGACGGACAGACAGACAGACAGACAGACAGAATGCTGTGTCAGGTCTCCAGGCCGACTGGCGAGACGTCGCAGTGCAGGCCAGGCGTCGATAATGCCTGCGGGAGCGAGACGGCGTTGGATCTTTGGTCTGCGTGGGTACGAGAGTGGGTGACCAGGGGAGAGAAGAGAGAGGCTCCAGGGGACGCCGGTGGGGATTATGCAACTAACCCGTGCCAAAGCCCCGCTTCTGACGATAGCAATCAAAGGGTCGGCCACAGAGAGAGACGGGGAGAGAGTGAGAGACTGCGCTGCCTTTGCCCAGAGTAACGATACTGCGTGGCAGCCAAGGTGAGCGAGAGGAGGATGAGAAGAGAAGAGGGAATTAAAAAAAAAAAAAAATAGCCAAAATTGTGCGAGATGAACTAAGAGAGGACGAGTTTCTTTTCGAAGAAAGGCCCCTCCAGCGCTTTCAGTACAGGTAGCATGTACCTATGGAGGGATCTACCAGAGAGAGATGGCAAGCAAGCAAAGTAAGGTATAACCCGCCGGACGGGGACGGATGGCGGGCAATCAGCAGTCTTTATATGGGAAGCTTCAGGTTCAACTCTTGGGCTGCTCAGGCCAGACACGCTAACCCGCATTGCAACTGGAAGCTCGGAGGAGCTGTCGTGCAGTTCGCGCTGCTGTCACAGTTCCTTCATCCAGCTGCCAGGGCCGCACTCGATGCCATACGAAAGATTGTCTCTCTGCCATTATTCTCCGTTACCTACCTAGTACTCTCCATCAATCGCTCATCAGTCCAAGGCGCGGCGCTTCAGCCTTTGGAGTTTGGGCCATGTCCACTCTGCCCAAGACCCCCCAAAGTCGGTGGCTGGGTCCGTCCGTTTGGGAGGTACTTCAGGTGCTCATTCGCATCTGCCATCCGTCTACCGAGGCCCTACTTCGCTAGCTGCACCGCTAGCATCGGCATATGCCTGTACGCAGGTCTGCAGCATCCATAGCAGATCTCTTACACGCATCATCGAGAGGCTGATGGGCTGTCCGCGGTACCTGGCTGGCAATCCGTTGCGGACCCCGAGATCGAAATCGTGTCTCTCCCACCAATCTGACAGCCGTGGTAATACTAGCAAGGCGTGAGACATCTGCGGCCAGGAACTCGTCAATAGCAGATCCCGATCACTCATCGTGACGGCTGCAGCGCATCTCGATCTTGCTTTTTGGTCTTGAACTTCCAAGTATCTACAGTACCTAGTCTATGTCATTCCCGTGGCAAGATCAGATCGAACTTCCAGCACCAACAGAGCCCGCGGCACCTGTTTCGTCAGTGCTTCGTACCTCGGGTCGATATCGTATCGCTGCATTCATCAGCCTTAGCAGTTGTCCCAAGCACCAAATGCAACTTTCGAGGCGCCATTTTTCGCATGCCGCCGCTAATGCTTTAAGCGGGCAGCAGAGTCACGTGTGGTTTGCACAGTACAGTCTACGCATAGAAAATTTTGCTAACACTGTCTTTGAATAACTTCCTGCGCGAGCGAGCTTCCGACAGAATTCTTCCTTCCAACCTTCCAATCTTTCTCCTCAAGCAAACATTTGCTGTTGCAAACCCTGACAAGCTATGCTGCCTTTCCTCTTCCTCGACGACGGCGGATGAACTCGAGAGTTTGATTTGGCTCCCGTTGGTTACTTACGATCTTCTCCTCGCTGTTGGATTTGGAAAGGCAACGCGTTTGTCGGGGTGAGCTTTCGAGGCTTGGTTTGCATTTCGCCGTTTATGGCTTTTGGTAAGTCTTTGCTACACTTTTTCTGTGCCTCCCGCATGGTTTCCTCTTTCCCACAACACACAAATCACCTTGTGTGATTCCCCCTCTCTCTTTCATGATGACACTTATCAAACGTCTTCTTTTCCCAACCGAATCGACCATGAAGAAGTTTTGACTACTCGGATCCTCAGGATCTGTTACTTGCCAGTATACTTTGTCTGACCTTGACCTTTTCTCTCCCGCTCATTGCAGAATCTTCATTTTCTGTCCTTGGCTGGCTGTGCTAACTCCTAGCCTCAGATTTCTAGATATCTTCTCTCGCTTGCTACACCCAATCTTCCCTTCGACTAACCAGCACTGCAGCCCACCGAGCGTGCTTGCTGATACTCATATGGTGAGTCTCTTCTTCTGTTTGGTTTTGGCAGCAAGTCTTTCGACATGTGTTTTTTTGTGATGAAAGTTTCCATTCTATTCGCAGTTTCCACTCGAGTTCCGATGAGCCTTTTTCTGGAACAGATGAGGGTTAATACTTCCTTGGATGTCTGATCAAACACATGTCTCCCTTTCTTTTTGTTTCTTTCCCTTGTTGGCTTGGGTTTCTCGTTCATCAGTTGAACATCAAGCTAACTCTCTAAAGTTTGACTAGGTCTTCCAGAGCACAATTGCTCATCGTAGAATTTCCCTTTCTTAGATAGCATATTGATATCGTGGAATACATTCTTCTCTCAAAATTGCCTTGATCATCTCCTCTGTCCTGTGCAAATTCTGTCTCGCTTCTCGAAATTTCGTCGTGATGCAGACCATCGTGATCCAGAACTTTTTAGTGGAGCTCACGGTGCCTGATTTTTTTTTTCTGATTGGACCCTTGCTGCGAGATTGACGTGACGCTCTAGGCCATTTGCGGCGTAGCTTGAAACTCGCTGCGAGATTCAACCCTTTGGAGCTGGTGCTGTTTTGTGAGAGCTACCCTGTGAAGGCATGCTTGAAGGAGAATGCCATTGAAAAAACCTCCTCCAGGATGAGATAAGGGAAATGGGAGGTAGCCTTTCTTTGCAGTAGGCAGAATCCACTCTATATCGAGTGCTTAGTAGGACTGGACAGCCTTTGAGTGTGTTGTTAGTAGAGAAAAGGCATGAATTATACACAAGCTAGGAACAGCAGGACAACGGACTCGGCACCTAGTATCATGGATAGGTATCAAGGAGACCCGATATCATGGACAATCTTGGGCTTCAACTGCAACATCTTATCCCTAACAAGTGGCCATCGTGCCTTGACCGGTACATGATGAGTCAAATTGCTTCCAGGCAGCGGGTGCTCTCATAAACTTACTCTCCTCATCAAGAAAACGCCAAATCCTCATACTCCCTACCTAAACATTCACACCTCGGCTTAAGCAAGATATCAAAGGGATCCTGAACAGAAGCCCAGACCAAATAAAAATCAAGGCTAAACTACCCTCACTTCTTCCCGAATCTCATCCCTCCGAACCCTCCCCCCCACAATGCCCATCCTGTTGCGCCCCGTCCGGCCCCTGCCCAGCCAGTTCAGCTTGAGCATCTTGCACAGCTCAACCATCTTCCTGTTGCCCTCGTCGTCGACGTCGCCGCCCACGCCGCCAATGCTCGACAGCACGCTCATGCACTGCAGCATCCGGCCCACCATGTCGGCCACCTGCTTCGAGTCTTCAACATTCTGCTCGCGGACGCTGCTGAGGGCTCCCGACGGCGTAAAGGGGCGGATGACGCCGTCGCTGTTGCGGCTCCCAAGGCTGACATTGCTCACGGCCCGGCTACGGCTGCCGGCGGAGCCGTCGCCCAGGAGGGTAGTGCTCGTGGAGTTGTATGAGCCGACTGACGGGTCGAGCGACATGGCTGTGCCTGGGCGGGCCATGGAAAAGAAGGATTCGGGAGGGGAGGCGGAGAGGCTGGGTTCCAGAGGGGGAGAAGCGAGTGCCATGTTGGCAAACGCAGAGGGTAGGAACTCGAGTGATAGGCGCGAGAAGATCGTCTTGAGTGTGTCGTATCGCGGCAGGATGACGGCGTCGCGATAAGCCGTCAAGACCAGCCGCCTCACGTCAAGAACGGCAGAAGCAGGCAGTACTTGAGCTGGTTGTCCTTCTGCTGCTGCTGACGGAGACGGAGCCGTAACAACGCCGCCCCAAAAGTCGCGAGATTGCTCGGCCGTCATGATGGTTCCGCACCCAGAGACCTCCAGGTCAAGAGGGAGCAACGCCGCCTGCATGTACGGCAGGATAGAGGTAAAGGTAAAGAGCCACAGCTCCACGAGAGTCGGCATGAAGCGCTCTTCCGGCGTCTTCCGTAGCGTCCTGTCCATTGTGGCGAAGCCCGAGGATAAAAGCTCCCTGAGATCCTCCAGCATCTTGTTTGGTGACCTCTTGTGGACGCACCATTGGATATGTAGGCTGACGATCCGGTTGATATCCTCCACCGGGATACGGAGGTCCTCGCCTTGGAAGATGACGAGAAGCTTTGGCTTGAGGTAGTGCCAGGCGTCGTCCATGGATAAGCCTACTGCCGCCGACTTGCCGCCATCTATTGCGTCGAACAGGCTGCTCGATTGCTGGGACATTGATGGCAGGCTGCTGCTCCCTGGCCAATCCCCAGGAGCTGACTCACTGTCCACGCGGCTGTCCGATCTCTCGGCATTCTTCTTGTCCTTCTTGGCCTTGGCAAAGGTAGAAGTGGTAGGGCCCGGGCTGGCGGGGACGCTGAAGTTGTAAAGGCTGCTCGGTGCGTTGGGGTCGCTGGGTCTCGAGTTGCTGGCAGCTGACGATAGAGGCAGGTGGTATTCGTCCTTGAGCTTCTGTTTCTGCCTCGAGAGAAAGTGGTGTTTCTTCTCCTTCTCCTTGGTCTTTTCCTCCCCAGTCCCTTCGCTCGGTCGGATGGTAGCGGACGAGGAATTGTTGAGGTTGTAGAACGACTGACCAGTGGGATCAACGAGGCTGGTTGAGCTAAAGTTGCTTCGTTGGAGGGCTGACAAGGCCGACCCAATCTTGCCGGGACTGGGCAATGCCTTATCCTTGGTGTCCTTGGCACTGATCTTGGACGGCCGCGAAAACAGCTTTGCCTTTGCCTTTTCCGACTTTGACAGAGGCTTCTCTGCAACGGAGGGGGCAGATGCCGCGGCGGGCAGAGTTGGGAACGGCAGTGGCTGTGGGGATACGGACGGATCTCGAGGGGAATTGCCTCCAGAACGAGGAAACACAACATTGGCCGCGGCCGTAGCAGCAGCCGAAGACTGCGAGGCTGCCCCAAGCCTGTCCTGATGCGTTCCTCCTTGGGCACTGAAGGCAGACTCCCTGGGCGCGCTCGCCTCTGTTAGGCTCAGGGTAGGAGGGCTTATAGGGCCTTTGCCGCCGCTGCCCCTTCGAGTGTTTTCGGTTTCCGGAGCCGTCTGGGACCGCTGGCGCGACTGGAGGATATTCTGATGGGACATGACGGCGGCCTGCGCTGCGATCTGGCTGGCCGACAAGCCCGCGGTTGCGGAGCCTGAAGCCTGACTGTTGGGCCCCATTCCGACTTGCGACAGGTTGGATGTGCTTGTCGAGGGCAGAGTCGGCTCGAACATGCCCTGGGTGGCGGCGTGCTTCCTCGAATGGGTCTTGAGGACGGGCGACGAAGAGCCCTGGGCTGCGGTCGTTCGGGGGGCGGCCGGGCGAGGATAGGACTGCTGGGCGCTGGGGCTGTTGAGGGTGGCATGGCTGGCGGCGGCCAGCTGCTGATATATCGGCGTGGACGGGGTGTTGAGGCTGGGCCGCCGCGCTTTGGGGATCGCATGGGCGGGCGAGCTCTCCTCGCTACTGCTGGGCGAGTCAATGTGCAGGGGAGGTGGTCGAGACGAGCCCGGCGCATGGGCGAGGTCGCTGGACGACCGCGGCAGCCCAGGCAAGGGCGAGAAGCTCCCCGGGGGGCGGCCCTGGGACCGGCCCGAGGACGAGGTTGTAGGTTGCATCTTTGCGGAGCCGAGAGGGGATTCTGTTACATCTTGACTGTGCCGCGGACGTCGAGGCGAGGCGGGCGTCGGCTCGACAGGCTCGAGATCGCCGCCAGGCCCCGCGGGTAAAGCGCTTGCAGGCGTTGATGGGGCTTGGGCTAGGACTCGAGTGGCGGAAGAACGATGGCGTAAGCGGGAGGAGGATGCCGGAAGAAGAGATTGAAGAGCGGAGAGAGGAGAGCAAGATGCCTTCTTGGTATTGCAAACCCGAGGCTCAACGATGCTGATGGACGATGGTTTGGAGTTTGTGGTGTTGTTGCGCCCAGTGCGGCCGCTACTAGCAGGATGATGGATGTTGATGATGATGCATGCAGCGGCTTAGGTAGTCGCCTTCAACTGCCGTCTGCCGCACGGATCGCCGCCTTGTTCTTTTCAGTCGAGTCTAGGTATAGATGTTGCCTAGAGCATAGAGGCACAAGCAAAGATGAAGAGGAAATGCATTGTATTGACGTGAGATGGTCTGAATTGCCTTGATACCTAGTACCTACTAGAATTGCCGTCCTCGTTCACTTAATCTCCGCATGAAACAACTCGCAACGCAGCGTTGACAACAGCAATACCTCGCTTGCCCTCCACGAGAGGCTGTCCACACAGGTACCTCTCCCGTCGTTGAGGCTCTCTTCTCGGTACAGGTACATACCTACCCACCTAAGCTACTGCTGCACGTGGGGCTCACACACCCTTCTAGCGCCGGCTGAGCTCCAACCAAGGGAAGAAGGGAAAAAAAAAAAGAGGGTATAAAAAAGTTCTCGCGCGCTCGACCAGCTTGAGCTTTGCTTCCCTTTCCCTCTCCAAGCATCGCCCTCTTCAACGCTGCGTTTCCATGCTACAAACGGAGAAGGCACCTCGCGCAAGCCGGGTCTTCTCGAACCTCTTCGCATGTGGGAAATTCGGAGAAAGCTTCATAGCAGGAGGCAACACTTCCGTGTTGGCCTTCCTGTGCTCGGCTTTCACGCCGCCTTCTCTTTTTCTTCGGGAGGGAGAATGCGCCGTGATTGTTCTGAGTCCGCCTGTGATGGCCTGGCGTCACCCCGACGTCTGCAACAGACATCAGAAATCTTCAGGCCCGGGCGAGTAGAACGCCCCTCGTGGCGTTCTTTCTTCTGTCCCGGTGTCCTCTGGGAAGTCGTTGCGAAGCTTGTTGCGCAAAAACTTGAGTGCGATATGCAGCGTTCGTCTTTGCTTCGGCAAGATGGATCACACAATTCCGATCATTCTGTTGAGGGCGATGCTTCACCTTTTTCTTCTTCCCCGGTATGTTGTGAAGCGATTCTCAGTCCCTTGAAAGTGCAAGAATACTACTAACGGGTTGCACTCTCTGTCGAGATTTCAGATATTCTACGTTACGACTGCTGCTGCTTAGCTGCGCCCTCGAATCGACCTTAGCTGCCTGTGACTGCATTTTCTCCAACTCCCCGTGAGGAAGTTGCTCCATTTCTCCGAGTTGGCGTTCGGCCTGAGCCAGTGACGTTGGAATTGGCCCTGCTATAATGACGTCTAACTTCTTGCGATCGGATGGATGACTCACATGGCACAATGAATTGTGATTCCTCCCCGAGGGTAGCTCGGAATATCAACCTTCGCCTTGTAGTATACCACTCGTAGACAAAGTCCAAGCCATTGTCTGGCTGCTGGTAGATTGACCTACTCTATTGAGGTCCCTCGTAGATGGCCTCGGCGAGTCATAGTCTGGACTGTACTAGTATCGATGAATGACTTTTTGCAAGTCGCGCTTCTGTCTTCTTTGGCGTTGACAAATGGCATTGATCTTCGATATCAATCATCAAGCGGTCTAGAAAATCATCGTCATCTTGAAGGAGAAATGCCAGGCGTGATGAGTCCTCTCGTGGTTCCAGCCACGTGATCCCATCCTCACGATTCCTGCCCCTCCATGAAGCCTCAGCTACCCCACCAAAACACCAATCCGCCAGAGACCTACCGAGCAACACCTCAAGACACCCGACAACACCAATTTCCTCCTCATCCAACCCTCCCATACAACTTCATCACACAACGAACCACAAACCTCACCTCCTCGCAACAATGGCCGAACCAACAACCACCCTCACATCATCCTACACCTCCCCCACAAACGCCCCCTTCACAACCGCCGAGTCCATCCCCGCACCACCGACTCCCCTCGACGCAGCCTCGAAAGCGAAATACCTCGCAGCGCTGCGTGCATCCGTGTCTTCGGCCCAGGACAAGATCAACAGGGAGCTCACGGCCCGCATGGAAGAGGATAAGAAGCGCGAGGAGGCTGCTGGGTTGAAGCATACCGTGGATGACGAAAAGGAAGAGGAGAATTACGGCGAGGAGGTTCAGGGAGAGGAAGAGTAAAGAAAAAGCCACCACACGGACCATCGTCACTTTAAAAATGCTCTCGATTTAATGCGGCGACGCTCGACGTACGATTTATAGAGGATCAAATAACGCGCCCTTGAGATGTGGACAGAAGGGTATAGCCACATCGAACGAAGCAGATACAAGCCAACCCCAATCAGCGACTCCAAAAAGAACAACAACAACAACAACAAACGGCACCTAGCTAAAGAGTATGGGGAAAGCCAGAAAAATAAAGGGCAAAAATGGAAAGCTATGCGACAACTCGGGTGTCTAGTACCCTCTTCCCCAGCTGGGCTTCCTCAGTCCATCCGCCTTGGAGCCCGTCGCCCTGCTCAAACAGCCATAGTGGACGACGGTGTTGTCCGTCAACACGGCAATGACGCTTCCGCCCATCCTCATCCCACCGGCCAGCTTCTTGTGGCACACGACGCAATGCCTTTCGTCTGTGATGATGACATGGCGGTTCCTACCGCCCTGCCCTCCAGGCTTGCCGTCTCCGAGCTGCAGCTCGGCGGCCACGGATATGCCCTCTGCTTTGCGCAGCCCTGCCACGATCCGGGACTCGTTGACGAGGCTGTTGGCGGCTCTTATCCTCCCGCGGAAGTATGCCTCGAGGGAGCTGACGGGGAGATCATTGGGGATCAGCCCGAGTGTCGACGTGGCCGGGAGGCGGGAGCCGTGCTTGGACAGCAAATCCAGCGCTGGATCGAGGTTGGGCTTGTGGGGTGGAGGAGGCTGAAGATAGAGGGAGAGTAGCGTATGGTACACCGATGAACCGGAATCGTCCAAGTCATCTGTGTTTGCGGATGGAGCTTGCTGTCTGTATACACGGTTACAATAGCTGGATGGGAGTTAGTGTATTCGTTGATTCTCGAGCCGAAGTCTTCAAAAACGTACTCTTCTGCCTTGACATAGTCCTTCATCTTGAACACATATATCTCGAGAGCTTGCCGGTGTTGGCCCATGTTGCTCAAAACGACGGCTTGCGCTTCGAAGAAGGCGGGATCTGTCTGCGATTTAGCATCTTTGACTTGTTGTCTCTCCGGGATCGGTTGCCTTACCGTCTTTGGGAATCAATGCAAAGGCCTTTGTGAGACTGTAGACTTGCCGCGATTCTCGCAGGAACTTGACAAATCTCTCTTCCAAATCATCCCAATCATGCCCCCTCTCGCTTTTACTCAGAGCTGAAACATAGAGCTCCACGAGCCGGTTGTGAAAATCGGCCGTCGTGTCGTCGAGTTCCATGATGATGTGCTCTAGGTATTGCATCTCCAGCCTCTCGTCCAGCTTCTGCAAATACGGCAAGACCTTGTCGCGCGGCAAGGTCTCCGCATTCTCCGTGTCGCCTATGAATATCTCCATTGCGTATTCCGGATTCGCCTTGAGCGTCCATTCCGCGTACTCGAGAATGAGGTCAATCTCAGAGGGAGGAAGGCTTTGCAGATACTGTATGGTGCGATCTGGGCCGTGCAAGGCCGGGGCAGCCTCGTTTGGTTTCGGGGCAGCGCCGAACTTGTGCAGCAGCTCCAGCGCCGACCTGTGCAGTTTCTTGCCGTGGAAAAAGTCAATCAGCTCCGTATATCGATTGTGTTCCAACAGCTTCTCGTTGACGACGTCGGGGTCGCAAAAATTGGGGATGCGGAACAGAGAGCCCGCAAGCGACGGCTGTGAGAACATGTAGGCGCGGAACAAAGTGGTATCAACCAGCCGGAACGTCTCACGAAGCTTCTGCTCGCGTTCCATGTCGGATTCGTCCATGCTAATCTTTAGCAGCCGGTCTTCCGCCTCCTTCGTTGAGCCAGGTTGGTCTGTTCGCGGCTTCAACTTGCCCGTGACTGGATCAATGACACGTTGGAGGCGGGCGCGAGTACCGGCGAGATAGCTGTTCAGCTCTAGGACGGCCTTTGTGAGCTCTTTGCCCGAGAGCGGCTTGTCCTCTGATGCTGGAGCCTCTTTGGCGTTGTCTGAATCGTCATTTTCTCCATCCTTTTTCGAGATGATGGAGGCGACGTCGGCTTGAGGTCTCCTTTGCGACCCCTTGAAGTACTTGGCAAACCCTCCCACGGCGGTGGGGGACCCGACAGGCTCGCTGGCAACTTCTGGACTGCTTGATCTAGTTCCATTTGTCTTCTTCGTGGCTGCTTCCGCCGTCTCTTGCGGTTCCTGATAATTCGCCCATCTGGATAGCTCGCCTGCGATAAGAGGAGGAAACATCCGGAGGACCCGTTCTGGCGGCGCATGTACATCGTCTTCATTCATCAGGTCCATCGCTTGCCGAAACTTCTTTTGCTTGAACAGAGTTTCCGCCTTCAACATCTTGACCTCTCGGAGCGTCTCTGCTTTATTCTTCAAGAGAGCATCCTCAAGCATCTCCAGTATGCTGATGGCTTCATCAAACTTGCCCTTCTCGATGAGCTCCTCGATTTGCGAGTCGTAGTCTGTGGCTTCCATTTTCCATACACAGCGGTCGCTGGAGATGTGGAATCCTTTGCCTGCATGAGCTAGACTCACGGTAGGCGGAGGAAAATGCAGCTGTGCGGCGCCGGGCAGCGTGATTGTTTGCAGGAGGGACAATGTCTTGGGGTTCCGGACCTCGAGAGAGCCCTTGGAAGGAGGCTGCAGGGCAACAATGTATGGATATGAATACCCGATGGATTCAGGGGCAGACTGCCACGGAATCTGTCTCCTCTCCAAGGCCTTGCCCTCGTCGTTGACGAACAGCGTGTTGATATCCTTGGCGAGAAGCATCTCCCCATCGGACAATTTGGCAGCCAGAGGCTTGGGTATGTAATTCCCCAAGCCCATGTACCCCATTCCCGCGCTGCTCACGGCTCCGAAGCGGCTGCCCTGGCCAGACACTCCAACGGCACCGGGGCTCACAATGTCCTCAACGTGTTGTGTCACGGCATCGACGATGACGTAGCCTCCATTCATGCCGCAGACGAGCTTCGTCGCGCTCGCCCATGTGATTGATCGAATCGACTCGGAGAGCATGACCTCGGAAACATCGTTGCTGAGCTCGCTCTCGTGCCAGCTCCATAGCAGCAGTCTCCGCTTGACGGCAACGGCCAGTCGGCTGATGATTTCAGGTACGCCTGTATCGGGGTCTCTGACGATGTTGGACGTGATGGCAAAGCAGGACGCATTCTTGGTTCGCGAAAGGGTCTCGATGAGGTCGTAGGATTGCAGGTCGTGGAGAGAGACGTGGTAGTTGGACAGGGACACGATGGTGTTGGCCTCCTTGATGATGGCCAGCTGCTCAATGGCCCGCGTGGAGAAGCGTTCGACCTCCCGCAGCAGATCCGTCGGCTTGGCTACCGCGTCGGCGGCTGCGTGGTCGCCATTCTGCGGAGGAGTCGCATTCGAATTCGCATATGCATTTGCGGTGTGTGGAGGCAGCGCTGGGGAGCCGTTGGCGGGAAGCTCGTTGAGGCGGTAGACGCGAAGGGCGCCGTTGTTGAGCCCGACGAGGATGCGGTCGCCTGGAGACGCGGTCAGAAGGGACGCCGAGAGCGAGGGAGCGCATCAATGAGCAGGTGGGCATCCGTTACCATATGCGAGGATCGTCTCGATCTTGGACTTATCCCGCTGCCGGAGCTCTATGATGGGGCGAGCTGTAAAGGCGGAGAGCATGGCCAGCTCCAGGGAAGAGAGATTGCTATCCTTTGCTGGCGTGCATCAGATGGTTGGTGATGGGAGGTTGAGAGCCTTGTTTCTTTTCTTTTTTCTTTCTTGGTTATCTATCGCTCTCTCTCTCTTTCTCTCTTCCAGATCGTGGGTTTGGACGGTCTAAGCCGAGGTGCCCCAAGGTGCCATTCTTGCCTGAAGGAGGTGCCAGAGCCAGAGCTATCCCACGTCAGGTGCCGCTATCTCTTATCCCAACGACGTCAATGCCGGACAGTTGCGGCCTTGGTGCTACCTTAACAACTAAGGCTAGGCTGGAACGGAGAAGGCCGCGATACAGTGCATATTTGACAGGAGACACTGTATCATATAATGACGCCTAACATAACAGAACCAAAGGATTCCATTGCTTGAGATGGTAGATGCAAATAGGCGTGATGCAATGCAATCGAAACCAACAAAAACATTTGAACTTCATCTACAGTCTCGAAATTTCTGATTCAATGTCATGCCGCATACCCCATATAACCCGCCTGTTCCAGATGCCATGCAGCCCGTCTCCCTACAATCCAACTCTATACATGTGATATCTCGATTCGCCCACCGAACCAACAATCTGTCTTGACTGTCTGCAATAAATTAATCCAGGCCGGCAACTTCCATGATGCCATATCCGAGAGTCACGACAACCACCAGCGTGATCAAACTGCTCGGCACACCTCTGCTGATAAAGTGCTTCACGCTCAAGTAGCGTTGACCCGCCGAGTCCTCCTTCATGATTGCGGCTATGCCATGTTAGCAAACGCTCTATGAAAGCGGGAAGCGGCTGCGAAAACTTACTCATGTTGGGGAAACCACTGGTAGGCAGACCCATCGCGGCGCTGCACATCAAAACACCGCCCATCACCAACAGGTTAGGGTGCGGCTGGTCCATGGCCACGCCAACATCGTACACCAGCGGAAGGAAGATGAGTGCGGCCACCGTGTGGCTGATGAAGGTGGCGATGACGAGAATCAGCGAGGAAAACACGACCAGAACACCGTACAGGCTCATGCCTTCGACCCTTTGCGAAATGACCTCGGCAAGGGTATGCAGCAGACCAGAAGATCGGACGGCCTTGCCGAGCGACAAGCCGCCGGCGGCCAAGATGATGATGGTCCAGGGGAAGTTGTTGAAGTCTTCTTTCGTCAGAATGCCGATGCCAAAGAAGAGAACAATGGGGATGATGGCCACGACACCCATGTCGCCAAACACAGACTCGAGGGTGTGGCTAGTGCACCACAGAACAATGGTGACGAAGGTAACAATGGTGACAAACCACTGGACACCGGTGAACTTTTCCTTGAGAGGGCGGATAGCCGCAATAGTCGTCCCCTTGCCAGGTTGAAACGTGATGAGCAAAAGAAGCCAGATCAGAACGATTGAGACGACGCCAACAGGGATGACGATAAAGAACCACTGGAGCCATGTCGGTTCAGGCTGCATGATTCCCATGGCCACGACGTTTTGCGGTGACGCAATTGGCGACAGCATACCGCCAATGTTGGAAGCAAGGGCAATTCCGATGATGACGGCCTTGGACATGTTTGAGTCTGTTGGCAGAGTCCGCAACATGGGCTGTGATGGCGAGTCAGAACAGTCATGTCAGGAATCAAAGCATCTCATAGACATACCTCAATGATGGAAAAACAGAGAACAGGGGCAGCGACATTGCTGATGAGCATAGACGCAAAGGCGGCAACGAACATGTTGGCAAGGAGAACCGTTCTGGGCTGCGTGCCAGCCTTGCTCAAGATAAGTGTTGCAAGTCGCTTGTCAATCTTGCACTTCGACAGAGCAGCAGCAAGAGTAAAGCCGCCAATGAGGAGCATGATGACAGGCGACCACATGGAAGCGAAGATGGCCGAGGTGGCTTCCTTGGAAGTCAGACGCTTCGGCGGCTTGCTTGGGTCCTCCTCCCGAACTACTCTGAGGACGACAGCCAAGAAGGGGATAAATAGAGACGTGACAAACAGAGGAATAGTCTACGTGGAGGACTGGTTAGTAAAGAAGATGGGGAGAATTGGGCATGCGCACATACCTCGGTAGCCCACATCAGACTGACGAATACGAGAAGCGCCAGGCAATTTTGCTGCTCAGGGTTCTGCAGGATGGGAACAAAGAGTAGGGTGAGGAAGGCAGCCACCGAGATGAAGAGCGTATGCACAGCGCTGTTGGTAAGCCACAATGGCAGGACGATTCTGCCAATTGGCGTCTTGATCTGTGTCTCTGCCGGCCCAATCTCGTCGTCGCCCTGCAACCTCTTTGGCACGATGCCCGTCTCCTGTCCCAGCAACGTTTGGCCAAATCTGGCAGCCTCTGCCCTTCGCTCAATGCCGATGAGATCTCTCCAGACAGTGTTGCGTTCCCAGACAACATGCTCTCGGAGATGGGAACGTAAGTCTTTCTTGGCAAGCTCCAGGTCGCCCGCGACGACTACGTCGGCATAGGCAGCCTCCATCTTGGCAATGTTTTCGTCGAGCAGTTGCTTGGTTTCGGGTCGGAAGGGGTATGCGGTATCGACGTAGGTGGCGATGTAGGATGCCCGCAGCTCCTTGTCAAGGATCTTGTCAAACTTCTTGAGCACCTTGCTGAAACCCGTCCTGTTGAGCTGCACGTAGGACTTGAGCTCGCAAAGCTGGACATAGAGAGAGATGATACGCTTCTTCAACATGATGCCGGACGAGTACAGCGTCGAGCCGAAGAGGAGAGACTGGTCGCCGTAGTCATCAATGGTGGTGCTGTACCTCCTGGACCGACCAAACTCTGAAGACGCAGCCATGTCCGGGATGCTAGACGCCGTCCGTCTCCTCCCGTATTTGCTGCCCTTGCGTTTCGTGAGGCCCGTGGTTTCGTCATCGTCGGTTGCGCTGTCATCATCGTCGGAGCCATGGCTGCGCATGCTGCTAGGTCGAGCGTGGGTGCTCTGTGTTTCGGATTGCGTTGGACGCAATGTGGTGGATGTCTCCATGGACGGGCCCTCTTCTCCGATATCGCGTAGGAGCTGGTTGACTTCTTCGAGCAGCTCTCCTTCTTTGAGCGAGTAGAAGGAGCATATCTTTTCCAACTCGATGCCGAGGTATTTTGCGAATACGTCCTCTGGCTCCTCGGTCGATATCAAGGGTCGTGATTCGGCATCGCCACCCCGTGCCTGGTGCGCATTCTTCTCAAGTTGATATATCCTACAGAAAGATGCCATGGTTAGCTGACGGCTACTTGCGCTGCGCTGACTGGGTCCGGCGAGGCTTACAATTTCTTGAGATTGCTGTATGCAATGTAATGGCTGCTCCAGTCCGGAACGGCATTGAACTGGATGCTGTGAGAGAACTTCATCTCGTCTCGGGTCTCAAGCCACTGTCGCTTGAGCGCTCTCTTCTCCTGCCGTTGGCGTTGGCGGTCTTGGGCGGCCTTGCGCTCGGCGATCTCTTTGTAGTCGGAGAGCTCGTAGGCGTCGGGCGAGATGGATGGCGACGAGGCGCTTTTGCCAGCCAATTGCACACTCCCTCCTCGCTCAAAGGCACCGCTCGAGCGTGGTTTGTCGTCGACGGAAGATGGGGTCGGGTCTGTCGCAGGAACAGAGGAGGAGGGATTGCCAGATCGCTGCTGGGACTGAATGGTGGAAGATGGTGTGTGCTGTGTCTAGAGGTAGTAGTGCTGGTCTGAGTTGTGTGGTGTGGTGGTCAAGTGTGGTGTGTGTTCGACTTCTGGCCGATGTCCGAGAGAGGTTGTGTTGTGAGGGTCTCGTGGCTGAAGAACCGGAGGCTTGTTGGCCGGGAAGCGATCAAGCGCTACGTCGTTCTGTGGACGCCCAGACTCGTGCTCCGTATGCCGATCGTTTGAACTCTGGTCCGCCTTGAAGCTCCTTTTGAGTCAAGCCCTTGGCCTGGCGTGACGAGGCAGCGCCGATTCTGACCCCAAAGCGCGATTGCGGCGCTACCGGGCTCCAGAAAACAGTGCGGGCATTGGCAACCTGGATGGAAGCCTTATCGCAACCAGGTAGGTAGGTATTGACGTTGGTATGGAGTCACTTCAGGGAGCGGAAATCAGCGAGCTGTAACTGGCTCAGGGGGCGAAGGCGGGCAGCATCCATTGATCCATCCATCCATGTGACCTCCAGCTGACAGCCCTGCGCTACAGAGGTCACTGCTCGCTAAGGGGCTTGTTTCCAGTTGGGGGGGGGGGGGGGGGGGGGGGGTTTAGGGGGGGCGGCAGTGACGGAACGCACCGGCTACAGCGCATGGCAGCACCCGTCATGACAGCCGCCCGCTGGGAGCAGCCCCCCTGCACGCTGCAACCCCTCCACTCCAGTGCTCTGTGCTGCTGTCCGGCTCTTCATCCCCATGTCCAGTTGGCAGATGACTCGATCGCGAGACCTCCTTCTCGCCTGGCTGGCACAGACACAGCGAATAGCGACGATTCTGGATTTCAAGATGCTGCTTCTTCAGCTATATATTTCCCCTGGCGAGCCGCTCATAGTGTCTGAATCCCCCACGTGTGGGAATTGGTTCTAGCGATTGGCTGGTATCTATAAGGTCTATTGTCTGGATTATTAGGTACATGTCTTCATGATCAATCAAAAGTTTGTCTGCCTGCTCCATTACTGCCTGCTCCATTATTACCTCCGCTGCTTGTAAAACTCTCACTTTCAGCCGTCCACGAGTCTATCCTAACATCTGCTGCAGGGCATTGATCCGATACGACTCGCTCCTCTCCACAAGCTCCTCGTGACGTCCCTTGTCGACCACTTGGCCGCCCTCGACGACAAAGATCACGTCGGCTTTGCGGACGGTGTGCAGCCTGTGGGTGATGGCAATCACGGTGATGCCCCTCGCCGCCTGCTCCAGGCCCTTCTGCAGTGCCTTTTCGCTTTCTGCGTCGAGGGCACTGGTGCTTTCGTCGAGCAGCAACAGCCGTGGCTTTCGGACTAGGGCCCTTGCAATGGCCAGTCTTTGGCGCTGGCCTCCGGACAATCGGGACCCGTTGGGACCGCATTCCGTCTCATAGCCCTCGGGAAGTGACATGATGGTGTCGTGGATGTTGGCGAGCTTGCAAGCTTCTTCAATCTCCGCGTCGGTCGCCTCGTGGCCTGGCACAGCGCCGAGTCCCACGTTGAACTTGACGGTCCCGTCGAATAGGGCACAGTCCTGGGGAACCACGGCAATGTCATGGCGGAAGTCCACACCCTCGCGGGCGCAGATGTCGACCCCGTCGATCTCGACGACTCCACCAGCTGGGCGATACATCCTCTGAACAAGTGACATGATTGTGGACTTGCCAGCTCCCGACGGGCCCACGAGACCGCAAAACTGGCCAGCTGGTATCGTGAATGACATGTTCTTCAGGATCGAGATGTGTGGCCGAGCAGGATATGCAAACGACACATCCCGGAAGGTGACCGTGGCGCCACCGCGGTTGGGGTTGAGCACGCGACTGGAGCCTGCGTCGGGTGTAGCCTCAACGTCCTTCTCTCCACGTGAGGAGATGGCAAGCTCGGTGTACTTGGCACCAATACGCTTCGAAGACCCAAGGTTGATGAGGTTCAGGATTCTGGAGGCTGCCGCCTTGGCTCGCGAGACCTCGGGAGCCAACGTGAACATTTGTCCCCACAGCTGGGCGCTCACAAGCATGGCCATGAGGATAATGAGGAATTGAGCCTGGCTATACTCGCCCTTTGTGATTCTTGTCGAGCCCCACCAGTACGCAAAAGCGTAGATGAGGTTGCCGATGCTGTTGGCGATGGCAAGCCAGAAGTTGGTGTAGACGCTGGCCAGGGCCGTCTCTCTCTGCGGAGCCTTGAGGGCTCGACGATACGTATTCAGGATTTCATCTTCCAAGGACAACGAGGAAACCGTCTTGAAGGAAGTCACAGCCTCGACGGTAATGCCCAGGGCAGTGGAGAATGCTCCCGCATGCTTGCGCTCGAAGCGTGACAAGGAGCGCACCTGCATGATGCCGGAGCCCAGGAGTATGGGGACCGTGACCAAGCACACAATGGCAATCTTCCACGCAATGATGTGGGAAAGGATAATGGCGATCAGGAAGTTGACGACGATGGAGAACATGGTGCCAACGATGGACCCGCTGAACCCGCCGACAGCAGCAGCATCTGCAGTGATGATGGAGAGCAACGAGGCTGGTGAACGGCCTTCTGACTGATGCCAGTCCAGTTCCTGTTCGTACAGTGAGCGGAAGGTGAGGACGCGTAGCTTGTAGAGGAGCTTCTCGGAAATGTAGCCAAAGCCGAACCAGCTTCCCGTATAGGCAAACAATTCCACCACGGCCAGCATGAAGAAGAGGCCGCCGAAGAACTTGCCTGCCCACAGGATATGGTGGGTTGAGTTGCAGGGGCTCACGTTCGAGACAGTATTGCCAAAGATGACGCCTGCCGAAGAGAATGTGCCACCGACAATGACGGCAGAGAAGACGGCCAGGAGGAGCATCAGCAGATGCGGTCGAAGCATGAGGCCAAGGCTCTTGACGATGTTCCAGGTTGACTGATTGCCCTCGAGATCTTTGCCCTCTGCTGCGGCAGCCTCCGGACTGGATTCCTGCTGATCTGGCGAAGTCGAGACCGCAGACTCCTCCTTGGACATTGGTACAACGTCATCAACAACCGCATCCTTTTCCGAGAGCGCAAGCTCTGCGTCGCCCTTGGACGTGCTAGACATGGATGGCGTGTCATCCTGTTCCTGAGACGCCAGATTCTGTAAACGAACCATGCCGGCATACGAACCATCCAGGGCCATGAGCTCCAGGTGGGTGCCTTGCTCGATGACTTCGCCATTGTTCATCACAATGATGTTGTCGGCGTTGCGGATGGTGGACAGGCGATGGGCAATGGCGATGATGGTGCGGCCCTTGGAGATGGACTCGACTGCGGCCTGGATACGCCGCTCACTGGCTGAATCCAGGGATGCCGTTGCTTCGTCGAGGATGAGGATCTTGGGGTCTCGAATCAACGCGCGAGCAAACGCGAGCCGCTGCCTCTGGCCTCCGCTGACGAGCTTTCCTGCGGTACCAACGACGGTTCCATATCCGCTCTCTAGTCTGTCGATGAAGCCGGAGGCATCGGCCAGTGAGGCGGCATGACGGACCATTTCCACGAGCTCAGCCATGTCCTGCCCGTGTTCCTGCGCGACGGAGGTCAAGTCTTGTCCCTCTCTTACCTTGGCTGCCACGTCAGCAAGTCCCTGGCCCAGAATGATGGATTGGAACTTCTGATGCTTCTCCCAAGGCGAGTTGAAGAGTCCCAGTGCAATGTTCTCCAGGATTGACCGATCCAACAGCGACGGCTCCTGCTGAACAAGGCTGATGAAGCTTCTCAGGTTCTTCACGTTCAGGTCCCTCAGATCGTGGCCGTCGAGCAACACTTGTCCATCTTGGGGGTCGTAGATCCTCGTTGCCAAGCCAGCCACGGTGGACTTGCCGCTGCCCGACAAGCCAACAATGGATGTGAACTTGCCTGCAGGACACTCGAATGAGACATTCTTGAGCACAGGTTGGTCCGGCCGGGAGGCGTAGGCGAAGGTGACGTTGCGGAATGAGATCGAGGCGGCGGCAGAGTCTGGCAGTTTGACGCCAGCATCGGACCCAGAGTTGATGATGGCTGGGGTCTCGATATCTTGTCGTAGCTTCTTGAAAGCTGTGGATGCACCCCCGAGCAGAGGCAAAAGAGGTGCAATGGAGCCGATGATGACACAAGCTAACAACAGTGGGATGTCAGTGAATATCATCCAGGTGTTACCATGTGCATCATGTGAAACTAACCGTCGACAAGGAGGAAGATGACAGTGTAGATCTGTCCCACGGACACTCCGCTGGGATCGGCAATGGTCCTGACAATCTGATGGCTTCCTTGCCAGAAGGACAAGGCGTTGGCGGCATAGGCGATGAAGTAGAGAGTGCCGGCCTGGACCGCCGCAGCAAATGCCTTTTTGATGCCCTTTCTCTGAGCAGTCATCATATGAGAGGAGAACTTGGCCTCGAGGCGCGCGCCGGCACCAAAAGCCTGGACAACGGCAATGTTGGACAGTGTCTCCTGAGCGATGGAGGAGGCGGAGCCGATGGCATCGGAAACGGCAGTGGTGTACTTGCCCGAGAACTTGCTTCCCAAGCCTGCCATGAGGAAGAAGGCCGGGATAAGGGATAGCAGCATGGCCGCAAGGCGCCAGTTCTTGATGAAGGCGACAATATATGCCGTCAAGAAAAAGGACGTGCAGGCGATGCAGATGCCGACCTTTTCGGACGTTCCCGACTGGACGGCCTGGACGTCTGCATTGAGACGCGATGAAAGCTCTCCGGCCTGGCGTTGGTCGTAGAAGGTGGCATCTTGTCGCAGCAAAGCCTGGAAGTAGCGGTCTCGGATGCGGGCTTCCAGTCGACGGCTGAAGATGCTCCAGCAGACGATGTATATGTATATCAGGGCAAAGCTGGCAATGCCGATATACGTGAGCTCCAGCACCTTGCTGTCGACGGAGTCTTGGATTCGTGCGGCGTCGGCGGCGGTGGTATCCTTGGCATCACAGCTTGCGGTGTTGAGGTCGTCGACCAGCTGACCGAAGAGGATTCCCATGAGAGGAAAGGGGACTCCTGCTGCCGCTGCAGAGATGGCGCCGATGACGAGCAGGACAATGTCAACCCATGTTGGGTCCGCGTAGACGAGAAGCTGGAAGTAGGTGAAGAATCCCGAGATGAACTGGCCGGCTTTTGTGAGTATGCGAGCCCATTGAGCTTCCACGAATGTTCTGCAGAACAGAGATAGCACCGATCAAACTGACCTTTCTGAGTTTGCCTGGCTCTCCTTGGGCGTTGGAGATGGCTTCTACCTTGGACTCATTGCTGACTTGAGGCACCGCAGCAGCAGCAGCAGCAGCAGCATCCCCCGTCTCGCCAATGGGCGCTGCCGTGTCGTTCTGAGCCGCCATTGCTGGCGAGGAGCGGTTTGTCGATGGTTACTCTACAGGCCGCTGCACTCTCACGGCCCGTCTCAGCCCATGAAGAGATGGAATCGTCTCTTGTTGTCTTTGGTTCAAGATGGAACTGCCGTCGGAGCTATTACTTCTTGACACGGACACACAGCTTCCCGGCAGTTGGATGCTGACTTGCCGTCGTAGCAGTGCCCACAAAGGTCCTCTAGCTCTAGGTCTGCCTGCACGATCGACGGTAAGGCCACGATTGACTCGACGACTCGGACGCCCGCCCAGCCGTCTTGTCCACGTTTCTCCGTCTTCGTCTGTCTTGTCCGTCCCATTGCTTGCCCACGCAACAGCTTTTGGCATCCGGGAATGGGGGCCCTTGCTGATCAGCACACAGGACAGGGTATCATTTTTTTTTCTTGCTTTGGGCTCTGCCTTAGTGCTGCGACTTCACGAGCTGCTCCATAGAGGAACCACGACAAGACCGACACTATCCACCATCCCGGCTTGAGAGAGAGACAGGTCAAGCAATAACTTGTACCGGCTTGTCTCTGGCATGTTCCTCGACTCGCCAAAGATACACGCCCCTCCTCCAGGTTCGACCCTGGTCTGGCTGCTTGTACCGGTACCTTTGCGGCCATGATGTGGCTCCCAAGCGGGACCTCTTCGGATCAGATAATTTCTCTCGGCGGGAACATGGAAGCAGTCTCCACCTCGTGCGTCCGAGGATCGGCCACAAGGCGAGAATCAAGGACAGACTTGGCGGCTTGGAAGACGAGGGCAAAACAAACCAAAAAGAAAAAGAAAAAATTGCGTAAAGGCACAGAAAATGCCTCTTTGTTCAGGGGTAAGCTTAGTGTTCATCTCTCTTTCTTTTCCAGGTCTCGGCTCTAATACCGTCTGTTCGGGGCTAACAGTTATGAGCCCAAAGCTGCTCGGTCTTCGAGGTGGAGCGTCGGCCGTCCGGACCCGGGGACGTTCATAGCCTCACGGCCTCGGCCTCGGATCTGATAAGATGGACGCCCTTCGAAACCTGCGACTGTTGGGGGAAAATTGCGTGCTGCCGCTGGGTATAAACTGGGGGAAGGGGATGTCTCTTTTGGTCCACGCCCCCCACTGGGAGGATGGATGGACTCTCACGGTCGTGCAGCTGATGCTTGCTCTGGTGGAGGGACTGGTCCCGCTTCGCACCCCTTGGCACGAGTGACGACGGCGACGAGGCGACGATGAACTGCTACTTGCGCTCTGTGTCTGCACTGAGGGCGTCCGGCCACAATATCGGCGCTTTTCGGCAGATCGCGGCTCAACTGGCCTCGTCTTCGTCGCAGCCAGGCAAGCGCTGGCGGACCACAATTATCTGCACCGGCAGCCCGACTGTGCCCTTGTCCAGCGGACGATCGAGTCCTGGCCACCGGAATCTTGCAAGCCCTGTCCAACTCGCTGCTCGTCGTCATCTTCACTGCTCTCCCTCTCGTCGTCGCCTTGCTGCCGAAAGCACCGTCGTCGTTCCAATCCCTAATACTACCACCATGGGCTCGGTTCCGGAGAGCGTCCCTGCCGTCAGGGTCTTTATCGCTGGTGGCTCCTATGCTGGGCTGTCTGCGGCTGTCAATCTTCTCGATTTGGGGAATGGCTTGTCGCCGCGCATGTCGAACGAGCCCTATGCGCACCATCCTAGCGTGCCCAAGGTGAACTTTGAGATCACCATTGCTGACGAGCGAGATGGATACTGTAAGTCGTACAGCGCTCTCAAAGCGTCATAGACATGTTTGGGGAATTACCTCTAACAGGAGACTTAGACCACTTGATCGGCTCGCCGCTGGCTCTGGCTGATGCCGACTACGCAAAGAAAGCCTGGGTCCGGTTCCAAGATATTCCCGGCCTGCAGCTCCCCAATGTCAAGTTCGTTCAAGGCTCCGTATCGAGCGTCGACTGCGCCGCCAAGACCGCGACCGTCATCGACGGAACCACCAAGGAGGCCGTCACGCACCCGTACGACTACTTTGTCACTGCTACCGGCCTGCGGAGGGTGTGGCCCGTGGTGCCCCAGGCTTTGACCCAGAAGCAATATCTCGTCGAGGCCGAGACCCAGATCAAGGCCCTCGACAATGCGAAGGATGGCGTCGTCGTCGTCGGTGGAGGTGCCGTTGGCATTGAGATGGCGGCCGAGCTGAAGCACGTGAAGCCTCATCTCAAAGTCACCCTGGTGCACTCGCGGGACAGGCTCATGTCCTCGGAGCCGCTGCCCGACGACTGCAGGGATAAAGCGCTGGAGATGGTCAAGGAGACTGGCGTCGAGGTGTTGCTGGACCATCGCCTGGCCAGCTCCACCAAGGTTGACAGCCCGGATGGCTCGTCAAAGTACGAGGTCCAGTTCACCAATGGACACAAGATGACTGCCAGCGTGGTCATCATGGCTCTTTCCAACAGCACCTCGACGGCTTCATATCTCCCTTCATCAGCTACCGACCCCGAAGGCTACGTCAAGATCGTGTCCAAGTAAGTGCAGAGCTCAACAGCATCCTCTCCACGTTTAACAGCCAGCACATCACGATTGCTAACTAACTTTTCCTCTCTTTCTCTCTCTCCCTTGTCTAGCATGAGCTTCGAACCCAACAGCGTCCCCAACGCCTCGTCGCACTTTTGCGCCGGCGATGTAGCCAAGTGGTCCGGCATCAAGCGCTGCGGCGCGGCCATGCACGGCGGGCACTACATTGCGCACAACATCCACCAGAGCGTGCTGCAGCAGCAGGACCCGCGGCACGAGCCCCGGTTCCAGCACCTGCAGGAGATTCCGCCGATGATTGGGCTGGCCGTGGGGAAGAATGCGGTTGCGTACAGTCCGGACGGGGGGCTGAGTTCGGGGCCGGAGGTTATGCAGGCGTATTTCAGGGATGATTTGGGCTGGGCGAGTAAGTTTTTGTCTCCTTTGTTTCCTCTCTCTCTCTCTCTCTCTCTGTGTGTGTGTGTGTGTTCAAAGTGCTGATTATCTGTGCAGTCTGCTGGGAGTACATGCAGTTGGGTGGCCGCAAGCCAGAGGTCAAGCTTCAGGAGGCTGCTGCGTGATTGTAACGGATTACGAGATATAGGCCTGGGACAATGGGTGGACTGGGGGAGGTCACGGCGTTTGGAGTTGGTATATTTGATAGAGCTTAAATCATGAAAGCCCAAGAGGCTCAAATATCATCGTTAAGAAAATTCTGCTTAGATCTTCATTGAAAGGCTATCTTGGGTTGTGGGAGGGTCAAGAACCCTGTGTACCTACCTAGCTACTATACATACCTACCTTATGGACTAGAGGACATACGTCACATACCTAGGTTGAAGCGCAGAGTCTTACACATACATTTGGAACATGCCCAAGCTGCGAGAACATCCAGAGTCATGCTTCTTATAACATTGGTTACTGCAACGCTCAAGTCGTAAACATTATTCATATTAATTTAGCTATATATACTCTATGGTACTGCAAGAATAGATCTCCACGCATTCGATCAAGATATGGTTCAAACGCGGTAGTAGCGATATCCCTGCCGTCACCATAACCGATGCCTCCCCCCTTTTTTATGTTTAGAAGACAGTTCCCTTGACTTGCTTGTGCTTCCTGACATCAATGTTCCTCCACATGGCCGTACCAACGACGGCCAGCGACAGGACAGCAGTAGCAGCAATGAGCATCATCTTCTGGCTGTCGCCATAGGCCTTTTGGATGGCGATGCGCTCAGGGGAGCCCATCGGGTACGACAGCTGGACGTCCAGGCTGCCGTAAATGTCCGTGAGGTTGCCAATGGCGGACTCGGGCAGGTAGACGGCCAGCTTCTTGGGGAAGACGGCCTGCCAGACGGCGGCGGAGACGGTCAGGCCGATGGCGCCTCCGATGGACGAGGCCATTGCTTCGACGGCGAGGACGACGGCGACGTACTGGTGCGAGGTGGCGGCCATGACGGCGGTCTGCTCGCAGATGACAATGGTGCCGCCGGCGAAGGCGATGAAGATTTGGCACATGACGATGTAGCCTGCAGGACGGAAATCTATTGTTAGATAACTAATCACTTTGGTAGGTGAGGCAGGGGAGGGCTCTTCTTACCGATGTTGACGTCGGGCTGGCGGAAGTGAATCATCAGGCCGACGCCCAGGATGGTGACGGGGACGCCAAAGAAGAGGCAGATGGGCTTGAACTTTCCGGTGTGGCGGATGACGAGGCCGACGAGAATGGCCCAGAAGCAGGAACTGTGGCGGCAACGGTTAGCAGCTGTTCCTTCGTTTCCTTACATGCCGTTGATATAGTTGTTATCATGCTCACCCAATGCTGTAGATGTTGGCAACATAGCTGGACTCGGTGACAGTAAGGCCGTTGACCACCTGGAGGAAACTCAGGAAGTAGCTGTCCCAGATGTAGAAGCTGACGAAGACGGAGGCAGCGAGGATGTTGGCGCCAATGACGGTGCGGTCCATGAGGAGCCCGTAGGGGATGAAGGTGACGGGCGCAAACCATCGCTCCCAGATGCCAAAGACGATGAGGGCGACGAAGCCGCCGACCAGGAGGCCGATGATCATGGGCGACTTCCAGCCCTCCTCTTGGTAGGAGTAGATGTTGAAGGGGAGCAGGAACATGGCCAGGCCTCCCGACAGGATCAGCAGGCCGACGAGGTCGAATTCCCGGGCGTAGTGGTACAGGGAGTCGGTGATGGCGCCCTTGCTCTCGCGGTGGGGGATGACGCCGAGCTGCTTGGCCTTCTTGTTGTAGTGCATGAAGAGGAAGAACAGGGGGGTGGTGATGACGGGGGTGATGATGGCGAAGGAGCCGAAGCCCCAGCGGAAGCCGGGGCCCTTCAGGAAGGCGTTGGAGATGGGGCCGGAGATCCACGTGGTGATGATGTACGGGGAGCTGCTGTAGGCGAAGATGAGGCCTCTGTTTTGAAGGGAAGCAATGCGTTAGTATGGGGGGGGTTCTTTGTTTTTCACTTATACGATCAAGGATGATGATCTTGGTGTTTTGATTATGCTAGACTTACCGATTACGCAGAGAGGTTGTGTCTGCCAGAAAGATGGAGAGCGAGTAGTCCAGGCCGTTGTATCCAACCCAGTAAAAGACCTGAGCGGCGGCATACGTCTCGACATTCTTGCAAGCAGCCATCATGACCAGACCCATGGTGGTGAAGACGATGGAGAGCAGGTAGCCCTGCGGACGGCCAAAGATGTCGAGCACCTTGGCGAGCGTCAACTTGAAGACACCGCCGATGATGCTGCTCATGACGGAGACGGTCGGCGTCAGGGAGTGCTCCTGGAAGGCGGAGGTGACCCAGGGCGTGAGGTTGCCCGTGGTGCCCTGCTGCATGCTGTCGACGAAGTAGATGACCCAGATCATGGCAAAGGCCGTGAAGAGGGCGCTCTTTGTCCAGACGGAGGTGATGGCCTCGATGTTCTGGACACCGGCCTGGGCCTTGGTGTCGATGGCATCGTCGGTCTCCGAGTCTTGGGGGCCGCCGATCTGGATGTCGGGGTTTTCCTTGCTGGCTTCACCTCCGGAGGCGATGTTGCCGTGCTCTTCGGAAGGGTTGGTGACGGCCATTGTTCTTCAAGGAGAGAGAAGAAAAGTTTGGTGTTAGTGGCATCACTTTGTGACCTTGGACGAGGAAGAGAGAGTTTCCCGAACTCGATCACCGCGAGGGCCAATGGAAGGACTTTTTCTACTTACGGGATCCGTTGAGCCTACGGCCTTTGTATCAGGAACTCAGCTGCAGTTGGTGATGGCTTGACTGTCCGCGTAACCGGCATGGGGTTGTTGCGGATACTTAATAGTCCAGAGCTGATGAAGCTGAAGAGCGAAAAAGAAATTCTAGATTTTGCCGCTGACATGGGTGACATGAGTTGTAGGCAGAGTCGTAAGTAGCAGTTGTACCCAGCCAGGTCAGGTAGGTGGACAGGGGGGGCAACGAGGATAGTCGCGTGCGGCACTAGTCGAGGCCACCTGGATCATACGGACCACTCACTCTTTACAGTACATACTGGTTCTTGTTGGCTGTTATCTGGGATGGATCGGATTCAGATGATTGGTTTTCATTATCAGTGTTGGTTTGGATATGGGGGCGAATTGAGCATCCTTTCCTGTTTGTACTCGGATGTCGGCGAGTCTAGGAGCTTTTACAACGAGGAGACTACCTGTTACTTTACATGGGAGAAGGCAATGAGAAGAGCAGCATGAGAAGTAAAGGTACTACTGCTTGTTGCAACGTGATAATATCAAAAGGTACATATTCCAAGTAAACCACTCTGTCTAGTGGGTAGACTTGAGACTTGAGGCTGTTGGCCAAAGACGTCGCGACTACTATCTCGCAACTGGAGCACGTCTGTCTGGTGTCAAGGGCAGAGACTGACTATCCTCTTCCCATGTTGTGCTGCCGCCTTAAACACACGGAAAAAAAAAAGAGACTTACACCCATGGCATTTCCGTGCCGTAAAACATACGTTAATCGAAGCGAACACCTGAAGCTAATGGGAATCCGGCAACTCTCCCGACTCTGTTTGCGACGGTGGAACATGTTCGGCAAGCCAAATTTTTTCTCTTCAATTTCTTCTAGTAGTACCTCACGCCAGTCTGACAGCTGTGCCAAGAGAGAGAGAGAGCGATTCAAGACCCCCAATGTCTCTCGTCTTGTGAAGGAAATAGATTGTTCGCGACGGCTTCAGTCCCTTTTTTTGATTCTCTCCCGGACGGGTACTCGGCAATTGCCTCTCCCACATGCCGTAACACACATGAGTAAGTTGTCTTTGCTGCACATGGCGTTGATCGGGTGCGCGATTTCAGCCACCCAGACCCATACATAGACCGGTTGGTGGAGAAGGTCGACGAAAGCAACATCCTTGGAAACAAAAGTCGAGTTATCAGATCATGTAATAGGACTAACAATCCCGCGACTCACCCCCTCCGTGATAGAGCGACTCAGTGTACCCCGCGCCGCAGCTAAACTCACATACAAGGTCATGTACCGTTTTTCGCTGCAAAACACCAAAATTGCAGCATCATGGCTAATTTCCACCCACAATACAGCAACGCATGCCTTTTTATTAAAGAAAAAAAAAGCCAAAGTAATAAAGATACTATTGCTTAATATCTCAAGCGCATTTTTTTCCCTTTTTAAGTCTGTGAGCAGCTATTTAGCAGGGGTTTAAATGTCAAGTTGCCTTTGACGTGCAATCTGCGTCTGACTAGATAAGGACTAGCGGGGTACCTGACCTTACATACAAGTTTTTATGGGATTTGGCGTACACAGTCGCTCTATCACGGAGGGGGTGAGTCGCGGGATATTTAGTCATGTAATAGTACGAAGGAATACGCCCAAGGCTCGATTCTGTTAGCCGCTCCGAACAGCGGACCAAGAACGGACGAGAAAGATGGTGTAGGAGGCGCGTTAGTCTGCTTGGACGAGCTCCAATAAAGTTATCAGATCCGCTCGGAGGCGCAAGGATCAAGTGGGCGCCGAGTTTTGTACAGTACAAGGACTGGGAGTGAAATATGGAGGAGAGGAGGATGAGAAAAAGAAGAAGAGGAGCAAGAGGGGTTATCTGATGGTAGTAAGTAGTGACATTGTCTTGGAGATGTTGCATGTAGAGTAGACAGGGAGTTGAGAAGAGAAGATTGGGAACATCGGATCGAAAGCCCAATGAGGAATATGCGAGCGAGAGGGCGGAGACGAATGAGCCGCTGAAAAGAGACGGGAGGAGGAGAAGAAAAATCTGCAAGAGTGGGATGTTGGCGGAGGGAATCCCTGCAAGTTGGTGGATCTAATCAATCAGGGAGATAATCTGCTCAAGGCATGGGGACAAACTCGGTGCTTATGGGACTGGAACCAGCCTGACTGGGGGACTGGACTGGACGCTTTTTTTCTTTGTGCTCAGACCAACTGCTCCGCACGCGTACCACCACACGTACCGGTACAGTACAGGAAGCATGAGCAATGTGGATAGAGATGCCGGGGAGGGGGGCGTGAGGATGAGGAGAGTCTACTCGTAGAGTCTAGCAGGGATCTATGTTCGCAACGCTCTGGAACGTCAGTTCAGTCTCCAGTCCAGAGAGCCGTACCTGTACCTGCTTCTTGAGGTTCGTCATCGTGGATAATGTGGTTCTAATGTGGTTCTCTCTTCTCCAGTCTGCTCGAGGCTAGCACGCCCGGTTTGCGCTGATCCGTGGCAGATCTGCATTGCCAACGGCAGAAAGGAGATGAGGCAAGACTGAGAGCCGAGCGTCATCTTCTCCGTCATTCCGTATGGCTACTAGTACTGCAGTACTGTAGTAAGCTTGAGAAGTAACAGGGTAGACTGCAAATGGGTGATGAGTGCTCGATCGGTACGATACTGTAGTATGCCTGTTCTGTGAGGGTATGAGGCGGAAAGGTGCGGATATGAACTGGAGCCTTTGGTCTCACCTTGGCGGACACTCTATGTTCCTTGCTGATGGGACTTTGCCCGTCTGCATTGTGATTACTGCTGAGTTGGTCTTAGAGAGAGGGAGAGAGGCACATGCAACCTACTATACATGTTGATATATATGCAATTATCCTAGATTAGGTAGGTGGTTTCTTTCGTTATACTACGTGAGCGTGCCACTTACACCATCCCAAACGTCACCCTCCAGTGCTCTGTTGGCGAGAATTCACTCTTCCATCCCCTTCGTTGTGACCTCATCCCACTCAAAAGACACAATGGCGTCTACTTCTCTCTCCTCAATACCCCCCGACCAAACCGTCATCAAGCTCCCTCACCCCTATCACACCGAATACACCATCCAGGAGGCGGGCAAGAAGGATGAAGTCGCACGCTATCACCTGAACCTCAAGCCCAGCGCCTCCTCAGGGAAGAAGCCTCCCTTTGAGCTTCACACGTCCAAGGCCGCCTTCACCGAGCCGGCTGACCTCAAATCAAGCGAGCTGCCGCCTCACTCCAACAACAGCGCCTGGGCACGCGCCAGACGGTCGCCATGCGCAACCATCTCGTGGGACGCCGCCACCGACCGCCCTACGCTGGCGCAGGCGTGGTTGATTCTTTACGTGCTCTTCACGACGCGGCCCTCCATGGAGACGCTCAGGCTTGAGCTGACAGGTGCCAACGCCATTGTCCTCGGACAGCAGCTGAAGGACGTTGCTCTCGCCATTGACCACCCGCTTCGCCCCCAGGAGCAGCCAAAGCCATCCACGACCACAGACAACATCACCGTCTTGGCCATGAGGGCTACCTTCTGGCAGGGCGCGGGATCTCCTTTTGGGCCCCGGCCGGTGTGGTGCCCTGAGGAGTCGCCCGTTTCACTGCCCTCATCAACCCCCCTGAGCTCGTATCCTCTCACGCCTCTCCAGCACACAATGACGATTACTTCAGCCGGCGACCCCCAGGATCCGGACCGCCGCCAGCAGACGTGGCATCCGATTCGACCGGCCAAGCCAGCGCCCGGTGCCGTCATCTACAGCCGATGGATCCCCCATCTGCAGGAGACGTTCTCCATGGTGTCGCTCGACTGGCAGGATGCTGAGCACCTCAAGCTCTTCCACGAGTGGCAAAACGACCCTCGTGTGTCGCAGGGCTGGAACGAGACGGGCACGCTGGAGCAGCACCGCGAGTATCTGCGAAAGATGCACGTTGATCCTCACCAGGTGGCCGTGTTGGCCAAGTGGGATGACACGTACTTTGCCTACTTTGAGATTTACTGGGCCAAGGTAAGACGAGAGGCTATCCTTCACCCGAGGGAGCATAAAAGGAACCATTCAACTAATCCAGAATATGTATAGGAGGACCGCCTGGGCAGCTACTACGACGCCGGCGACTTTGACCGCGGCCGCCACTCCCTCGTCGGCGACGTCCGCTTCCGCGGGCCGCATCGCGTGTCTGCCTGGTGGAGCAGCCTGATGCATTACCTGTATCTCGACGATCCCCGGACCATGTACGTCGTGGGCGAGCCCAAGGACAGCAACTCAACGGTCGTCATGTACGACCTGATCCACGGCTTTGGGCTGGACAAGTTTGTCGACTTGCCGCACAAGCGGAGCGCGTTTGTGCGCTGCCACAGGGAGCGCTTCTTCCAGCTGTGTCCGCTGGGGGATAACGAGAAGGCGGTTGGGGGGATGAGGATTGGGTTGGTTCCCAAGCTGTAGATGGAGATGGTGACTTGGATGAGATGGGAAGAAGTGGACTGGATGTCATGTATAGAATATCAACCGTGTATACATATAAAACCTTGAAGCTTGAATTTGCACACTTTACAACCAGAGTTTTTGAACGACTTTAACCTCTAAAGTACAAGAGCTTTTGAAACTACCAAACTATTAAACACAACCCCATTTATCAGTAGTCTACTTATATACGACCTGCGTCCCCCCCACCCCCCTGAGAGGTACCCCCTCTTTACAGCTTCGAAGTCTTGGCCATCTTACTCAAGATCTCATCCCCTAGCTTCGCCATCTCAAACTTGCGAATCTTGCCGCTGCCCGTCAGGGGCACATCCGCCGGCACGCCGTCCTGCCCCAGCCAAAAGACGTGCGCGGGCGCCTTGTGGTTCCCCAGCGTCTTGCGCACCCAGTCCCGGACCTCCTGGTCGGAGAGCTTCTTGGCGTTGTCCGCCAGCTCGACAAAGGCGCCGACGACCTCGCCGTAGTGCTTGTTCTTGAGGCCGACGACGATGGCGCGCGAGATGGAAGGGTGTGCCATGAGGCGCTCCTCGATCTCAAGGGGGTAGATGTTTTCGCCGCCTGTGTACCCGGGTGATTAGAAAACAAAAGACAGATGATGAGTGAAAAGATGTTTACGTGCGGGAATTGGTGCAGCTTACCTCGGATGATGATGTCTTTGAATCTGCCCGTGATGGTGCAGTAGCCGTCCTCGTCAAAGACGGCCTCGTCGCCGGTATGCAGCCACAGCACGCCGGCCGCGTCCCGGACCATGACCTCGTTGGTCTTTTCCGAGTTGTTCCAGTATCCCGCCTGCAGCTGGTATCCGGCCATGCAAAGCTCGCCCCTCGTGCCAATGGGCACAATGTTGCCGTCGCGGTCGACAATCTTGGCCTGCGCGTGCGGCATCAGAGTCCCCACGGTGGTGAGCCTCCTCGTCATGGCGTCGTCGGTAAAGGCATTAAAGCACGTGGGGGACGCCTCGGTGAGGCCGTAGCTGCTCGTAAACTCCGTCATGCCGAAGCGGTTCACCAGCAGCTCCATGAGATAGCGCGGGACGGGGGCGCCGGCGATGATGCCCGTGCGCAGCCGGTCGCACTTGAAGTTGGCCGGGGGCTCGGCCTGGAAGAGGGAGTCGAACATGGCGGGGACGCCGTGGACGGCGGTGCAGTCCTCGTCGGAGATGGCCCGGAGGGTGGCCGGGATGTCAAAGACCTCTGCCGGATACACGATCTTGCCGCCGTGGGTGACGATGGCCAGGAGGCCGAGGACGAGGCCAAAGCAGTGGAATAGGGGGGGAGGGCAGCAGAGGACGTCTTCGTGGGTGAGGCGCATTCTGTCGCCGATGAAGCGAGAGTTGTTGACCAGATTGCTAAGGAGAGTGCCCGATGTCAGTGAAAAACCCCGTTCGATAACATCGAGACTCTGCCTTGAGGGAGGGGGGGGGGGCGAGAGAGAGATTCAACTTACTGATGCGTCAACATGGCTGCCTTTGGCAACCCCGTCGTCCCGCTTGTAAACTGCAGGTTCACCACCTGGTGAGGCAGGACCTTGCTCATGACCCGGTACAGCCTGTCGTGGTTCTGTCTCGAACCAGCCTTGACGAGCTCGTCATACGTCGGGTATTCGTCGCCCTCTCCCCTCAGGATCACAACCTTGATAGGCGAGGCTTCATTCTTCAAGTTCTGCAGCAGCGGCGCGTTGTTCGTCCGGCCAATGGTGCGCGTCACGAAAAACACCTTGCAGTCGGAAAAGGTGAGGCCGTACATGGCCTCGGTCGCCGTGTAAGTGTTGTTCAGGATGACGAGGATGGCGCCGATCTTGGCCACGGCAAAGAAGACTGCTGCGTACTGCTCGCAGTTGCCGGCCATGATGCCCACGCGATCGCCGACGCCGATGCCCATGTCGAGCAGCGACTGGGCCAGGGCCGAGCTCTGCTGGTTGAGGTCGTGGTATGTCCATCGTGCGCCTGTCCAGGGGATGACGATGCACTCCTTGGTGCCGTACTGGTAGGTTTGCAGCTGGAGGAGCTCGCCGAGGGTCAAGTCGACGAGGGGAGGGTCGGAGGGGCCATGGAGGAGGGAGAGTCTCTGGGTGGATGGAGAAGAATATGGCTGGATGCTGTTTGTTGGTGATGATGATGATGATGATGATGGAGCGTCCATTGTGGTAGATCTATGGAGAGAGAGCCTTCCGTATGGTGACAGTCTCTATTACTAGTGTTGCTTGCAGCTGTTTGGGAGATATCGGTGCTTCTACAGATCACACGAGACGCACAATGCAGTCATCTGTCTGCTGATTGACAGCTTCTTCTACATACTAGCCGAGGAGATCGAGTCCATTCCATGCGTCTATTGCTTCCAGACCCACTGCTTGTCCGGCTATTTCAGCAGCAGTCCTGTCTGTTACAGCTTGGTCCCAATGAAGCCTAGCAGTTCTGCTGCGTATGCATGAGAGCCTTGGAGTGATGACACCCAGTTGGAGAGTAGATCAGGCACAAGGCCGAGAGAAGCAGAGGTCCGGCCTCTCTTGGCCTGCCTCCATCGTACTCCGTTCATCCTGCCAGGGCATCCGAGAAATGCCGAGATCAGCATCAGGGCCAGACCCAAGTGCCAAGTCGAACCCGTGCGGTCTTTTACGCGGCGTCTTTCGAAGAGTCGGAGAGATCCAGTAATCAGATGATCTGATAAGATTTCTCGCCGTGGTTGAGCACCGTCAAGATCCACTTCGTCTTTTGTTAGGTACAGTAGTTGAGGGCCGGCGGGCGTATACGAATCAAGAATGCAGTACCGAAACCGGTCTTGGTCCTTGCATTTGCCAGCATCCTCAGCCAGGGAGGTGAAAATTTTTTCTTTATCAGATCCTCGGAAGCGGTCGTCGTCGTGATGGCCAAGAGTATCAGTACATGTCAAGGTTGTGGATGGTGGTCAGGGGGGGAGGGTGTATGTATGTACTGTTCTTGCATACCTTACTGTTCGTATGGGTCTTCTGCAGTAGCTGGTGACATGTGAAGAGCCACTTGTTCTGATGAGGATGCCTGGGATTAAGCCAGCCAAGCAATGCATAGTATGGTAGTATCCGCAAGAGTTGAGGTAATTTTCAAGAGCATCCTTGCCTTGCCTGCGAATTCGTCTGGTGGAAGCATGTGGCACAAAACCCGAAGGTGGCGGTCTCTCGGAAGAGCGACTGTCTGACCACTCAAGCCTCGATCTCTTCCTCAGTACACGACAATAAGGTACATTTGATTTCAGCATGATGGACGCAAGTCTCCTCTCTTTGCCGTTGATGAAATGCCGCGCATACAGTATCTGTGTTCTGTGGACAGCTTGACGCTTGTATCCCGCCGCAGTACCTTACCTGATGCTTTACATCATCATCACCACCACCCGTATTCGCATTCTCCCACCGCCTTGGCAGAACAATTTTCTCTCCTCCAAACGTCTTTCCATCATCCACTCTTCACTTCTTCACTCTCCACCATCACTCTTCACGGAAGCCAATCACCCGCCATGATGGTGAAAAAAAGTTATCAGATCGTCTCAGGGCTCCGTTTCCAAGCTACGCAATTTCGTTTCCCCCACTTGGAGCGCTGGCCCTCATCCCCACCACCTTTTATCTGATCCGTCTCCTAGGCCGTGAGGAGAAGATGTTCCTTTGACGTACCACCAAGTTTCTTCACGGAATCACACCCCCCTCACGCTACTTTGGATGGGTCGAAAGGCCCTTGTCATGCATCCACGCAGTAATAGCCACACCACTCGTCTTGGGACAGGTACTATTACTCGTACGCGGTGGCTCTTCGTCCGTGAAACTCGTGGCAACCGCCGTCACCTCGCTGTTGGAGACGGATTCACGCTCCACACGATCGTCCGCCCGAAGCGTGTCACGGCATACGACCCTGTTCGCCGGTCTTGAGTAACCGGAAATGATGGGTGCAGTTGGCATGGCTCTGGACCACGCGGGCATCATCGGAGGAGGGAGGTGACACCAGGTTCGTTTGGGATGCAGAGAGGCATTTGCATGCGTGTTCCTGGACTCGGCAGCCAATGCTAAGCACCGAATCCCCCCCCGCATGTTCAGCCATGTCCCTCGTGGTTGATATCACACATCAAGAAAGGGACGAAGCTTTGCTTATACCATTGATGCAAACTCCACGACGTTGCCAAACAACGTCTCATCAAAGCAGGCGCCATGGCTATTGACGGGGATGGATATGGCAACATTACTTCAGCCAAGCTGTCACTCCCTCAGAGTATAGCAACGGCCACGGATACAAACAATGAAGTGGCCAAGACGCCGACTGCTGAGCAAACCACGCAGAGCGGCATCGCCAGCTCAGCCGACCTCGAACAGCTCTGGACGTGGAATCAGCATGTACCTCCGTATATACAACGCTGTATGCACGACATCATATCGGAAAGAGTCCAGCAGCAGCCGCATAAAGTCGCTGTTGAATCCTGGGATGGAAGTTTGACGTATCAGGAGCTGGACAACCTCTCATCACGGCTTGCCAGGCACATCTTGCAAAAGCATGGGCAAGCCGGTACCAGAATCCCGCTCTGCTTCGAGAAGTCCATGTGGACTGTTGTTGCCGTGCTGGCCGTCATGAAAGCGGGTGCAACATTCTCCCTGACTGATCCCAGCCAGCCCGTGGCACGACTACAGACAATCGTCGAGCAAACAGGGGCAGACCTCATCATCACCTCAGTGGCTCAGAGCGAGCTTGGCAAAGAGATCTCCCGACCGGGAGGCCAAGTTATCGCGATATCTCGAGACTATTTTGACGGCGTCAAGGAGCCAGACACGGAAACAGCCCTGCCACAAGTGCCTGCAGAAACGCCAATGTACATCATCTTCACCTCTGGAAGCACAGGAAAGCCAAAGGGCGTCATCATCACCCATGGCAATTACACCAGCGGCGCAATCCCCAGAGCGGAGGCCGTTGGCTACAAAGACACTTCTCGGTGCTTCGATTTCCCCTCGTACGCTTTCGATGTGAGCATTGACTGCATGTTGTGCACGCTAGCCACTGGAGGGCAAATCTGCGTGCCGTCCGAGGAAGCCAGGATGAACGACCTCAGCGGCGCCATTCGACAGAGCAAGGCCAACATGGTCCACATGACGCCCTCTGTTGCCAGAGTCCTCGACACCGATATTATTCCGTCTCTGGATGTTCTGGGTCTTGGTGGCGAGGCAGTTTCTGCAAGCGACGCAGCCGCTTGGAGCCAGCACACCAGCTTGATCATTGCATACGGCCCGTCCGAGTGCACTGTTGGCTGTACCATCAACAACCAGGTGACCATCTCGACGGGCATCGGCAAGGGAGTCGGAGGCGTTACCTGGATCGTCGATCCCGATGACCACAATGTCCTCATGCCCGTTGGCGCCGTCGGAGAGCTCATCATAGAAGGCCCGGTGGTTGGCGTCGGCTATCTCGATGAGCCAGAAAAGACAGCAGAGGTCTTTATCGAGAACCCGTCTTGGTTGACTTCAGGCTACAATGGCTTCCCCGGGCGGCCTGGCAGGCTGTACAAGACAGGAGATCTGGTGCGATACGAAAACAACGGATCCGGCTCCATCGAGTTTGTCGGCAGGAAAGATCAACAGGTGAAACTGCGAGGCCAACGAGTCGAGCTCACGGAAGTCGAGCACCACTTACGAGCCTGTCTGCCCAGCGGCATCAAGGTCGCGGCAGAAGTCATCAAGCCAGAGAATGGAGGTGCCCCTTCCCTCGTTGCATTCCTCTCAGAGTCCGCTTCTTCAGGCGTCAGCGGAGTAGATCCGGCCATTGTTGAACCGTCACCGGAACTGAAAGCTGCCCTGGCAACTGTCAACGCGGCCATGGGATCCAGAGTGCCACGGTATATGGTCCCGGCAGCGTTCGTGACCCTCCAGCACATGCCTTCCTTGGTATCCGGCAAGACTGACCGGAAGAAACTGCGGGAGATTGGGTCTGCAATTCCGCGAGAAATCTTCAGTCGAATGCAAGCACCCGAATCCCAGGAGGAGGAGGAACCGGAAACCGAGATAGAAAAGAAGCTGCAGCAAGCATGGGTCAAGGTCCTCGGCTCCGATGCAAAAATCTACAGGCAGAGCAACTTCTTTGCTCTAGGCGGTGATTCCTTGCGCGCCATGAGACTCGTCGTCACTGCTCGCGAGAGTGGTATCGCCCTGACTGTTGCTGATATCTTCACCAATCCAACCCTCAGCAACATGGCCTCAAAAGCCACCTTGGTCTCGGAGTCTTCCGTGGATGACATTCCTCCCTTTTCACTTCTGGAGAAGGACTGGGATGCGGAAACTGCGCGAAAGGAAATATCCGCTCTCTGCGGCGTTGAAACCAGCGCCGTTGAGGATGCCTACGCATGCACTCCCCTTCAAGAAGCCCTCATGGCACTGTCGGCCAAAGTCAAGGAGGCATATGTCGCACAGAGAGTCGTCTGGCTGGAGGACATGGCCACAGCTGAGAAGCTCATCGCAGCTTTCGACGCCGTACAACAAGACAGCCCCATATTGCGCACGAGAATCGTGCAAATTCCCGGACGGGGGCTTGTTCAGGCGGTCATCAAGGAGAGATTGAATAGTTTCCAAGGTACAAATCTCGACGAGTACCTTGTGAATGACAGGAACGAGCCCATGGAGTTGGGCAGGCCTCTTGTTCGTTACGCTGTTATTGACGATAGCACAACCGGAAAGGTCGGTTTTGTGCTCACTATTCATCATGCGCTTTACGACGGCTGGTCTATGCCCCTGATCGTGGAACGAGTGAACAAAGCCTATACCGCCCAGGCCATGTCACGACCCGCAGAGTTCAAGCACTTCATCAAGTATCTGTTGACTATGGAGGCGGATAAGTCCGCCAGTTATTGGCGAGAGCAGCTTTCCGGAGCCAATGCCTTCCAGTTCCCGCCTCTTCCTTGGCAAGGCTATCAGCCGCAGTCCGATTCATTGCTGGAGGAATACGTTCCTCTTCCAGCCGGCAGAGCCACAAATGCTACCACCGCAACAGTCATCAGAGCAGCCTGGGCACTCGTAGCCTCGCAGTACATCAACAGCACTGATGTCATCTTTGGAGAAACGTTGACTGGCCGAAATGCGCCTGTTGTTGGGGCCGAGGAGATTGAAGGGCCCATGATCACGACTGTTCCTGTGCGAGTCCAGATCGACGGCGATATGCAAGTCTCCGACTTTCTGCAAACTATCCAGGAGCAAACGGTGGAACAGATTCCACACGAGCATTTCGGCTTACAGCACATACGGAGACTCAGCCCTGACGCTTATGAGGCATGCGAGTTAAAGACCGGCCTGGTGTTGCACCCAAGCGCAGAGGCTGATACGTCCCCCGAGTCGGATGATTTACCCGCGAGCCGCCTTGTACCGGCGGGAGATGCAGAGGCGGCTCAGGAGGCTCTCAAGTTCAACACTTACCCGCTCATGCTGGTCTGTTCCATGGATCCGCAAGGGTTCCTTACCATGGCCAGTTTCGATTCCAAGACTGTTTCCGTCCCTGTGATGCAGAGGGCACTGAACAAGTTCAAACAAGCCGCGGAATTGTTGTGCAAAGAAAGCTCTTCCACGCTCAGCAGTCTTCAGTCGGCATTGCTTAATGAGGACATCGGGGAGCTGCGGGATGCAATGGAGAAGGCAGACATTAGCGATGCAAGCAAGGCGTTCCCTGGCATTCAGGCAGCTTATGTTGCTGATGCAGCTGAGCCAAACCGACTTGTGCCGCTGGCTGCGGTTGGCCAACTGATTGTCCAATGCCCACAGGAATTGCCAAGCTTGGTCGAAATCGCACGGCCGACTTGGCTCGAGGCGTCACCCAGCTCGCCAGCCCTTGCACAAGGAAGGTTTTACAAGACGGGGAGATTGGCAAGATATGACCCAACGCAGAAACCCCCTCGCATCAAGTTGATGGAGACTTCCAGCGAGAAGAGCGCACAGACGGCTTCAACCGGAGTGACCAAGAGCAGGATATCAGCAACGTCCAGCAGACAGCGCAAGCTGCGCAGTCTATGGGCCCGCGTGCTGCGTCTAAGCGAGGAGGATATTGGCCTGAACGATGGATTCTTCGTTCTCGGAGGTGACTCCATTGCGGCCATGAAGCTTGTATCAGAAGCTCGACTTGAGGGAATCAAGCTGAGCGTGGTTCAGATATTCCAGAAGAGGACGCTGTACGAAATGGCCAGCGTCATGGAAGAAGTCGAGAAGCCTGCATCATCCGCAGACGCAACCACCACCAGAGAAAGAACGCTGAAGCCCTTCTCCTTGCTAAGCCAACAAGAAGACGAAGACGGCAAGCTCCGGTTCGTCAACGACATCATTGCTCCTCAGTTGGCCGATTCGTCCTGGCGCATCAGCAACGTTCTTCCTACTCGTCCCCTGCAGCAGATTGCCGTTAGGGGCACGACTCAGCTCCCGCGCTTTTCGGCGCGCTATGAGCTCATGTACTTCGACAAGACCATCAATCGCGACAAGATGATCCAGAGTTGCAACGAGCTCGTCGCCCGCAACGAGATCCTGCGCACCGTCTTCACCGAGCACCACGACGAAGGCTACGCCGTGGTCCTGGAACAGCTCGTCCCACAATTCGTCGAGTACGCAATTGACGGCGACGTCGAGGCATTTGCACATCAGCTCTGCCGTCTGGATGCACTGACGAAGATGCCCCTCGGCTCAAGCTTCGTGAAGTGGTTCCTCGTCGAATCAAGCGCCGGGCAATCATGCCTCATCTTCCGACTCTCCCACGCCCAGTACGACGAGATATGCCTGCCCATCGTCCTCCAGCAGCTCTCAGGCCTCTACCAAGACGAGCCCGTCCAGGAAACTGTCCCCTTCTCCGCCTACGTCCACCACGTCCTCAGCAAGAACATCCCCGAAAGCATCCCGTACTGGACAGACCTCCTCCAGGGATCTTCCCTGACCGTTCTGAAGCCCGACGTCCCCGTGCAGCAGCGGAACCACTTCGCCATCCAGCAGACGGTAGACATCTCCTCGCGCCTCCGCGACATCACCGTGGCCTCTCTGCCCACCGCCGCCTGGGCCCTGTGCCTCGCCCGCCGGCTGTCCCTGCGCGACGTCGTCTTCGGCGAAGTCGTCAGCGGCCGCAACATCGACTTCCCCCACGGCCCTGCCAACGCCATCACGGGCCCCTGCTGGCAGTACATCCCCGTCCGCGTGCTCTTCCCCCGCGGGTGCACCGCCCTCGAGGTCCTCTCCGCCGTGCAGCACCAGCACATTGCCAGCTCCGCCCACGAGGGCATCAGCCTCGCCGAGATCGCCTCCCTCTGCGGCACGACCTGGCTCGACAACGGCCCCGATGGACCGACCAAGGCCTCGGACCTGTGGTTCGACTCCGTCGTCCACCAGGACGTCGAGCACGTTGAGAAGCTCGCCTTCGCTGCTGCCGGAAGCGGCCGCCTGGAGACGGTCTACCCGCACGAGGAGCCCCTGCGCGAGTGGAAGATTCAGGCCTTTGTCCACGACGGCAGCAGCAAGCTGACGCTCGAGATTGTCACGTTTGAGAGCTGGGGAGGGTTTGCTAGGGGCTTGCTGGATGATTTGGTGGACGCGGTGGAGACTTTGTTGAAGGATCCCCATGCCAAGCTGTTTGAGGACCAGCTCGAGGGCTGAGGTGATGTGCAGTTACTGTTCTTTCACGTAGTTCGCTAGGAAAAGCAAAAGCAAAAGCTTGATATATAATCCAAGAGTTGAGACATTTCGAGAGGGTTACATCTGTGAAGAACCATACCCAACTATTCTGAACCTCCTGAATATATTCACCCAACTGTTCTAGCGCCCCCCAAGCCATTCATCACTCTCCTTGCTTGGCTCATACCTATAATGACGTCTCAGTTCACGAATCGACGTTTATTAAAACGTGGTGAAGATTCAATCCATCATACTCAAAAAAAACAAATAGTCCCAAGACAAAGCCAGTCCGTGAGTGGCGGTAGCCATCCAAAATCCTCTTCTTCGCCAAACCTGTACGCTTGATTGGGTATATGTGCACAGACGTCGCTGATGCAGTCAGTGCCTGTATATCGTAAACATAGAGCGCCTCCCCAGGCATGAGGTCAAGTGGTAATATTCCAATAGTATCTCAAGACGCCGCTGCCTCCCATTCCGTGATTTCCCGTCCTAGATCATTATACATGGGTCCAGATCAACCGTTCCCAATAGTCGGCTTCGGCTCGCTATGCGGAACATGTCCATGTAAACGCGGCAGTCAGTGGTGTGAACCGTCCGGCTGGACCCCCAGGCCAAGCACCTTGGAAATACTCTTGCGAATGCCGGTGCCAGCGTGGAATTCGTCGTCCTTGTCGCGGCCCAGTAGCCCAAAGCTCAATCTACGAGCAGTGCTGCCCACGGAGCTCCCATTTGCTGTCGACGCCTTCTTTGCCTTCTTACGACGCATGGAAACGACCATGGGTTCGGGAGCCGACGGCTTGGGAGGCCATTCGCCGTCGCGCTTCCACCCCGTGACGCACGCGCGAATCATGTCTGCAAGGTTGATGGGACACGATGGCTGCAGGTTATTGAGAATGACCTTATCGTAGAGGCTAAGATAGATCGAAGGTGTGATGGAAGCTCGAAAAGAGTTGTTGGGCGGCAGGATAGGATGCGGAATAGGGAGCAGCGTCTCGACGGGCAGTAGACGATCAGCGATGCGGTCAGAGTCCCTGGAGCTTTGCGCTTTGAGGTCTCTGTCGTCCTTGGCAATGGACGACGAGTCGGATATGGCACCCGACTGACTGCCCCCGGGCGAGCTTGGGTTGATCAGAGTTGGCGAAGGTGGAGATCCCGAGATCGAACGGCGGAAGAAGAAGCGCCGGGGAGAGCGAGGAGAGACGGGTGGTGAAGGTGCTGGCTTGCTGCGGACGCGAACCGTCTTTGCGCCGGTCCAGGCGTTCCGCCGCGCCTCGAAACAGGCCAGTCCCTCGTTCCAAGTCATTTCGTCTCTAGCGGCTCTGCGGCGTAGAGCTCGCTTCTCCAAAATGGACACCTTGGTGGCGTTGTCGGTAGCCTGGAGCTTGTCCAAAGAATTAATGGCAGCTTCGTCATCAGACAGGTCAGAGTACCAGTCCATTCGGGGACGATAGTGAACAGGATCTTCTGAGACAACGCTGTATACTGAATCCGTGTCGTCGTCATTGTCGTCGTCAATGTCCTCGTGACCTGAAGGAGCCTCGCTCAGGTCATTGCTAGATATGGCGAGTTCAGCATCCTCGTGCGCCTCATCCCGAATGTCCTTGGCGGAATCGACCCTGATGGCCTCGGGCTCCCCCTCCTGCAGAGAGGCGTTCTTCTGCGCATGTGTGCTGCTCGACACCTCTGCGATTTGCCTCTCAGGCCGGCGGGGTGAGGACCATGTGAAATCCCAGCTGGTCTTGACCTTGGCCGCCAGATACCGCTTGATGGCATCCTTTTGCCTGTACTTGTCCTTACTCAGAAGGTCTTCGTACTCTGCAGCTAGCCAAGGAGGCGAGTCTACCGAGGAGGGATATTGAGACTGAGAATTATGTGAGCGCAGCCTGGACAGAGGAGACCGGGCTCCCTTGTAAAAGTCTGAGAAGATCATGGCTGTGTCTGGGTCGGCAGCCGAGGAGATGGCCTCTGGGACTGAAAAGGCTGGCAAACAAGTGTTGATGGTGTCTTCGAGGGAAGACGACGGGTGCCGATGGCCGAGACTAATGGCGGCAGTGGGATCTGTAGCGTCTGGGAGGTTCGGCAAGTAAGATGTCAGCACCTTGTTGTCTATAACAGCTCTAGCCAAGCAGTAAAGCCAGGATAAGCGGAGGGGGGCGGTGTGCGAGCCGATGGAAACAGGCGGCTAAATGGACATGTGAAGAGGTAGCTAGTGCTGAGCGCCGCAGCTTGTGATGAAGAGATGAAGATAAGAAAGGCGGTTAGGTTGGGGGTGGAGAGCGGCAACGCAACGCGAGGCGAGGCAAGGCGAGGTGATGAGATGAGATGAGCTGATAGTGGAGCGGCAATGACAACAAGGGACGGCTTGTCTGTGTCTTTTGTTTGTTGATGCCGCCGCTGGAGCTCGGTTGCACGAACCTCGACAACCGGATGACGAGCCAATGCATCGTCAAGAGGGCGATGTTTCAACGGTTTGTCTCAGCCCGGAGCAGTGACCTGGGCGGGAGAGAGGGGAGAGGAATGATGGTGAAGATGATGGCAGTAGTGTTGCGACCAATATGGGTGATGTAAGACGGAGCGGTTTCAAAGAAGAGAAGACAAGAGCAGATATGAAGGCAAAGGTAGGAGAAATGATTCAGCCCGAATGATTGGTAGAGGTTGGGTAGGTAGAGTTTGGAGGTGACGCCAGGTTCATGCTATGTAGGTATTCGTCTGCCAGGTACCCCGACGGCCAAAAAGGGAACCGTATCGAGTACAAGTACAAGCACAAGCAGCACGCACACCCTGCCGGCAGTGAATCCTTGCACCGCTGAACGCAGGAAGCAGGTGATGCAATGTCTCGGGAGGGGAGGGAGCTTGTATACAGAGTGCCGCCCTGACATGCCAGGCTTAGGTAGGTAGGTCAAAGAGGCAGTCGTCGGCAGGGCGGCTGTCGCGACGAGTAGGGAGGTTTGGTGGCTTGCAGAAAATAAAAGCTTAAAGACACGCAAGAAACAAGGTGCAAGTGCTGCGGAAACGAGGCAGAGTAAGACGCCGTGAGGATGAGTTGAAAAAAAGGATGGGGGATCTGGGTGAGAACGAGGATGAGAAGGAGGAATGCGAGGCTCCACGGCTGTGAAACCAAGAGTTGCCGTTGCTCATATCAAGTAAAGAAGGAGACGAGACAGAGAGCAATCACAAAGGTAAAAGAAACAAAACGAACAAGAAAAGAGAAGAAGAAAAAAAAAATGTTGAGACTCACCGTGTGATGGCAGAGACAGCAGCCTTAGTTGATCATGGCTGTAAGTGGCCGCGGATGCTGCTGCTGCTGCTGCTGCAGAAGAGGATGAAGCAGAATAATAGGTGGCGTATGTGATGGTGTCGCTGGTGCTGGCGGTGGATGAATGGGGAGAAGACGACAGCTGCCGAGGCGAGACGGGAGATGCAAGAGATGCAGAGGCAGAAGAGGCCGAGGCTGCGGAGAGGGCAGCCGGAGGAGAAGAGGCAGCAGGGGCAGAGGCGGAGGTAGAGACAAAGGTAGAGGCAGAGGTAGAGGCTGAAGCCGAAGCAGAAGCAGAAGCAGAGGAAGAGGAAGAGGCTGTGGCAAGAGACGCGGCCACGCCTGGCGGTGGTGGTGGCGGCTGCTGCGACGACATGATGATGGGCTGCATATAGCAAGGCACACGAGCCACACGAGCCGGGGCACAGGATGCTCGTTCGACGGGATGGTGGCACTGCAGAGGAATGGATGGGAATGCAAGGCCGGATACCTAGGCAGATGCAGGATCCCCCGGCAGACGCAGGAAAAGACGAGACAAGGCAAGACAAGGCAAGGCGCAACTTGAGAGACGAGAAACAAGAGGGGGGAGGAGAGCAGCCAAAGCGGAACCGATCCAGCCACAGTTCGCAGCCCAGTCCCGATCCAATGACAGCCGGCAATCCGTTCAGAAAGTGGAATGCGGCAAGCAGATGCAGAGAGAAAATCGATCAATCACGAGAGAGAGGCCGGCTTTCGATCAGGTCAGTGTCCGCTGGTCAGGTCAGTTTTCGGGTCGGGTCAGGTCAGGTCAGGCATCGACGGGGGTTGGAGGAGAAAAATTGAGATCCGTGTATCCAATGGGAGGGGGGAGCCACCAGCTGCAAAGTTAGTAGTTAGCGCTCTACTGTATGTACAGAGGGCTCTGTAGGGCCTCACAAGCGCTTCACAGGGCTTTGCAGGGCTTCCACAGGGCTTTCACAGGGCGTCGGGTGCAGCAAAGCTGGGCGAGCCGGCGTAGCGGAATACCTGCCGGCAGAGTACCTCAACCAGAGCACCAGGGCGTGCTTGTCGACCTCAGGCCAATGTACCGCTCTAACGCTACCCAGTAGGTAAGGTAGTACCTGTGGCAGTACTCTTACAGCAACTCCGTCTGTCAACTTCCCGTCCTCTCGCCTCGACGCCATCACGGCTGGATCCCAATTCAACTTGGGCTCAATCCAGCGGATCCTCGTCCTTTGGTCGCAAATCGACAGGCCAGGCGAGCCCATCGGGAGACGCCGCCGGTGGGGGCAGCCGGACAGACAGAGACAAGCTTGACGAGCGACAGGGCTGGGCGGGTTCGTCGTTCGTCGTGTGACTTGACTGTGTTTGGCTTCAAGGGCACATCTTGGGGGCTTGGCCTGGTCTGGTCTGGTTTTGCTCCGGGAGGTCATGGCACCACCTGCGATCGGCGCATCAAGATGGTGCGATTGTCTAAGCCATGCCAAGGGTACTCAAGGGAATACCTGCTGTTGTTAAGCTTGTGTCTGTCTGGCTCTGTTTCTGGCTGCTTTTCTGCCGGTCGAGGAGAGGGTATGTGCATACTGTACATACATGCAGGATGCTTGTCTTGATGGTCCAGTTGTTTGCCATCACACATTAACACACGCCGCAGATCCCCCATGTTGCTATAGTACTACTGTGCATGTCTCATCTGGTCCATAATAACTAAGACTACCTTACCTGTCACATCGACAACAACCTCGGTAACGCAGCAACGCCATCCCTAGGCAAGTCACAAACAAAACGGCAAGACATAGAATCCTCCCCGAGTCAGCATGCTTCCTATTACTCCTTCAGCCTGACCTCTTGCATCCATCATCGTCAGCACTGCGCGAGTCAAAGTGCATAACGCTTGAGTATCACAGTCAACCTCATGATCACCTGCCAAACCACTCAGAGATCCGAGCTTGTCTGCTTGGCACGCCTCAAAGATGGTGACAGCTCTGGAGGGTTCATGCACACTTCGAGACATACAGACAGACAGACATGACCCAGGCAAAAGCGCCCCCCCGCCCGGCTTCTTACCCGACCCTCTCTCTTCCTCCTCCTCCTCCTCCCTACTGTACAGCTTGCTATACCTTGAACCGATCATCACCACCACAGCATCCGCAGCGCCACCGCAATGCTACCTAGCACTATACCTAGTATGTACACTGAAGCATTACTAGGTACTTCTTCGTAAGCGTGCTGGTAAGGGCAACTCATCACCTGGTAAGGTTAACCGCCGTTCAAAGATCGTCCATGTCATATTACCCCAGGTCTAGGCCTCATCCGGGTCCCCCGACCACGTACGATACTATCTCAAACCCTCTAGCTTCAAGCCATCATGGCGGCGGCGGCGGCACAAGCTCTGATCCTAAGCGGTAGCCTTATCATCAGCATTCAATTCAACACTCCAAAATCCTTTCGCCCACGTCTGACCAACTTGGCTTGACCGGGCTTCTGACCGGGCCCTGTCATCCTCACAGCTGCCCCCCTGTAGCCTCCCCCGCTTCGTATGGTGTGTGTGCCTCTCTATCTGTCTGTCTCTCCCTGTCTTTCCTCTCCATCACTTTTATGTATTACCCCGCATTCAATGGCGCCCGACAGAAGCAAGCAATTGAACTGAACAAACCGCCTCCTTGCTCAGAGCTATTACTACTAGTGGTAGTAGTAGCTTGTCTTTACTGTATGCAGTAGTCTGCCAGAGAAGAGGCAACCTACACAAAGGGAGGGGGCATGTGCTCAAGAGCTTTGCAGGTTGGGTGGTTCCGTGGCTTGATTCGTGGCTGCTAGCTAGATTTGCTTGTGTATCAGCTGAGACATGCCCACGAATCGAACGCCGCTTGGCACTTTTCTTCTCTTTGCCTCCTCCTCCTCCTCCTCCTAAAAAACAGCCGAGAGGATCCAACAGGAGGAAGCTGAGCTGAGCTTGTCTTGTGTGTGCTCGGAGGATTTGCTGACTTGTACTACTGCTACCACTACCTACCTACTTGGTATTATAAGCCGTCTCAAAACACTCAATACCTAACCGCGGGTGCTACGGCCGGGCCTTTGTCTCCTTCGTGGTCGGCGGATGTTTACAACTCTTGATTTCGCAGCTTGTGTGTTGCAGCCCAAGAGGGAAGACAACAGAACAAAGATTCCATCATGGCATTAGTGGAGGCCTATTAAAACTTGAAGTTTCCATCCAAGATTTGAATGGTTGATGCCGACATAGGGGCAGTGGTGGACTTGCGCCGATATCGCGTCATGTATTTCTCAAGTTTCACTTCACCTACCACGACGTTTCTCTCCTTGCTTGCTCTCCGCCGCCACTCCCTCAAAGACGAGAGGATCGAGTCGGAAGCTTACATTAGCATTAGTATTAGGAACAGAGAAAAGCAATAAGCAGATAGTAGTTAATATAGACAGATAACTTATATAGATAGATATCTATATAGATAACTAACTAGATAATAAATCATATAAATATATAGATAGAATATATATATAGATAGATATAGATAGATAGATTATAGATATATATATATACTATAGCAACATCTAGAGGGCCTTGTTAACAGACAGATAGCTTCATCCATCACAGACATCGAACCTTCTTCAACCCCCTTCATACATCGTCATAATGAAAGAAACGCCAAAAAGTATCAAGCCAGCCATTCCCATAGGAGGAGATTCTCTTTTTCGCGTCGGGCCGATATCTCTGGATATATATGAACCAGACGTACAACCACATGTTGCAAAACTTCACGTCACCAAAGCCATCTCTCAATAAACAAGGCGCTTGCAAGAAACAACAAGAATCATCGAATCATGTCTGCAACGTCGTCAATCTTGACTACAGAATCCTCAAACACAGTCACAGCATCATCAGCTGCATCTACGTCTGTAGACAAACCTCGCTGCACGCACTACATCCCCTGCCATTGTCCCTCGCTCCCCGAATATGCTTCTCCGCCGCTGGGCGATGAATCGTCCCCCTTATGGCTGCAAAGACCTCATGAAGACGAAGACTACAACAAGACCATCATCAAGCATGCGCAAAGCTCGCGTTATCGACGGATAGCGGCCGCCTGGCATGATGCGCGGTTGGCTTTCAAAATTGGTCGTCCGCTTCGTCCTTCAACAACAACAACACCACCACTTGAAGCACGATCGTTCCGATGGCTGATATCAGCTGACCTTGTTCCCCGGGGATATGAAGACGGGCAAGCGCCATGGCGCATGCTCATACGGTCCTATCTCGCAGACCTCCCCGTTCAATTGACGCAAGGAGACCATCGAAAGTCGATATTTCTATGGAAGAACTTTCCGAGACACTTCGACCATGTGCGTAACCGCACAAAGCTTGATGATGCGCCTCCTGAGATAACATGCGGGAGACGAGCTGTTTTCTCCCGATATGGCCAGGATTATAACCATAGCTTGATTGGAGACTGGCTGGTTATAGTCTACATCTGGGCTATTGATAGAGCATGGATGGAGAGGACCGACTTCTTAGAGTTGGTCTCTTGTGATAGTGTGACTGGGTAAGTATCTCAAGCTGATGATATGCCTCATACACTACTAGTACCTTATACCATTTGGAAACATGTTAGTATTTACTGACATGTTATCTCCTTTTAGTATTCGCGCTTGGGAATTCGTGAATGCATTCGACAACACTTCGATCAAAGTTCCACACCTATTCTACCAATGTCAAATGAAAGACTCTGTAGAGCAGGATGCCATCTACGCTGGGCACCCATATCAACGCTACAACTCAGTTCAGATAAAGCCTGGAGACCCTGTACCGGCCAGACTTGCGGGGTTGAGAAGGTTGATGAATGGGCGGGCAAGATATCTGTATTGTGCGACGTGGGAGTATGAATCATTCATGGAAAGCTATCGTAATAAAACTGCCTATATTAGGGAATAGAGCTTCGAAAAGAGACACTTTAGATTGCCATAAGATGCGGGTTTTGTCTACTAGATCGAATCTCTGGAAAATATCTTCATATAAGGGGACTCTCACGACCAATTGAGATTTTGAACAAACAGGAAATCCACAAGATAGTTAGAATAATGAAGTCAGACAACAAGTATATCAGGTACGAAATGAAGCGAACAATGACCGTCGATGGTTGCCATACAACAGCCAGCCAGCAGCATCATCAAGACAGGCCAATGCGATCCATGCCACTCCATCCATACGCATTACGAATGTAAGGGCCCATAGAGAACAGCAGCATCGAGAGTACCTTACAAACATTGCTCAATTACCATCTATATCACCGATATGTCATCTGTTGACAAGTCCTTGTTCAGGCTCCTTTGCCCATGCGCCTAATCTCCAACCAACTGCTGTTGTCTACCTACCGTGGCAGTGACATTCCCCCCCCCCCCTCCCTGTTCATTGTATGTATCATGCCATCGATCGCAGTGTCCCCCGAAAAGAAAAGCCATCCCGAAGCATTCAGAAAAGAAAAGAAAAGAAAAAAGAGCCACAACAGACTGCAGCCTAGCTTAGGCTACTTCTGTTACGAGCTTCCCCGACGACCTCTCACTCTTCTCTCCAAACACGGCACCAGCGGGCCCGTCCATGATTTCGTCGGGAACGGCAACACGGTTCCCATTCTTGTTGCTGACCCAGCGAATAAAGACAGGGCTTGCTTTCTGCAAGTCCGGTTCCGACGTCTCGGCAGCTGCTTTGCGGTTGATCTTGGGCGCCTGCTTCTTGAGGAGCTTGTTGATGGTTTCCATCTGTTGTGGGAACGGTATCAGCATTGCGTTGTGGACATGTATCGACGCATTGTGTGCGCCATAAGAGTTTCACACGTAGGCAACTCACCTTGACTTCCTCGTTACGCTTCTCGCTGAGATTGCGGCGTCTCCTGGCCATCTCTTGGCGCCGCATGGACAGCTCCTCGGCGGTGAACACTTTCTTGACTTGGATCTCTGCATTGTAGCAGTCAGCGGCATGTCCCGATGGCGAAACAAGATTCACGTCACATCACATCCATGTAGACGCGAAGGCCAAGGCATGAGTACTCACCATCGGGCAGCTTCATAAACTCTTGGGGAATATCCTCGAAGCGCGCCCTCTGCCTCTTGGTCATCTTGGCAAGGTCCGGGGTTTCGGCTCGGCTGCCTCCTTCGCTGTCGAGATCTGAATCGCCGTTTGCCCCTTGCTGCATGGCCATGTCATCGTCTTCCTCAACGTCCTCCTCCTCCTCCTCGCCCGCTACTTCGATTTCTTCTCCCTCGGCATCCTCATCAGCCATGGTTTGATCGCCGTAAACAATGGTATCGTCACCAATGTCACTGTCTGCGGGGTCGCTGAGCTCGTCGTCATCGTCATCCTCTTCTTCCTCTTCGTCGTCTTCCTCTTCGTCTTGATTTGCCCTGGATGAGGTGACTTTGACCGTGGGCCTCGGCTTGTTAGCCCTTGCGTTCTTTGCTGAGGGATGAGCATCGTCGTTCGGGGTCATGTCAATGTCGCCATCTGCATCCTCTTCGCCGTCGGCGTCCACGTCCATCTCTTCTTCGCCTTCAGCATCCTCGTCCAGTTCGTCATCGTCCTCCGCCCTGATCACCTCCTCCTCTTCCCCCTCCTCGTCGTCTTCTTCATCTTCATCGTCATCCTCTTCATCATCCTCCACCACCACCTCTTCCTCCTCTTCCTCTTCCTCGTCATCAGGGCTCGAGTCTATGACATAGCTCTTCTTGCCGCCGCGATTGCGCTTTCCGTGCACGATCTCGCCGCCTTCAAACGGGTCGATGCGGCGATTGCCCCCTCTGGCAGCTTGCCGTGATTTGCTATTTGGAAGCTTGACGGTGACGCTGAGATGAGTCGATTCTGGCGAGGAGGCGGTATCGCGCGAGGCCGCTGCGCCACCAGCACGTCCCGTCCTTCGCGATGACATGGCGATAGCGGTACCTGCGTCTTCCTTTTCGCTCGTGTCAGCCCATCTAGCGTGGACAGAAATGACTTCCTTGGCCCTTGCAGCGGCCGACCGCCGCGGACGTGAGGACATGATGAAGATTGCTTATGGGAGATGGTGGATATAGGATGGAGATGATGGGGGAGGGGAGTCCGAGCCGCCTGCACTAGCAGATGCCCGGGCGAGTTGTCTGGCTGATGCCGCGTCTGTGGGTTTTTGTGCCGCGCCGCAGCCGTGTGTGTGTCTCTTTGTCGTGCAGCAATGACGGGTGCTGTGCTGTGCTCGCTTGAGTGACGTGCACCTCGCTCGCGGCGTCGTCGATGGGATAAGCCCTCGCGGAATCAGCCACTAAGGCAAAGCGACTTGGTGCGGACGCGAGCCTTTCTGCTCGGGCTGATCCAGCACCCAAAACAGCAACTCTGCCGCGGGTTGTTGGCGATTGGGGAAGTTCCTGCTTGCGACTCGCGCCACGCAACCCTGCCGTTGAGGGACATCGAGGTTGAGCCGCCGGGCCAATGAAGCAGCCGAGCGTGGTTAATATAAAAAAATGCACTGGCTCCTCCACGACCAACGGGGAGTAACCTCGACGAGCCACACGCACAAGTGCTCAACCTCGTCACTCGAGAGGGAAGACGCGGATGAGGCCATCGCCAATCGCCAATTGTCGGGATGCTGCACTCAACAAGCCTCCATCAATGACCGCGGGCCAAACGGGCAGGTGTTCAAGGAGGTAGAGTCTCATCCATCGGTTTGAAAGCAAATTAACCAAGCATCACCGTGGGTTCCACCGCGAGAACGGCTTTCCGAGGGAGGCAACAAACGCAGCGCAGCAGCAGGCAGCCGATCAATGGCGCATCACGCCCACAAGGACAGAGTCGGACAAGACGAATAAAAGGAATTGACGGGTCGCCTTACCTGGTTCTTTTGATGGCAGCTGCAGCCAACGGCGGCTGTTCTCGTTGTGGTTGCTGTTGGACCCAAGCGGCGCAACCACGATACGCGTGCTACAGGCGTAGGGATGCGAAATAGTATCAGCGCGCAGGACCTGATCTGTCGCTACCTCGCAAGTCTCAGCGTGGTGTTTCCAGCGGCAGTCGGTGCTTCTGCTAAGTTCTGCGTCGGCGGGAAGTCCAAGAATGAGGGCGGTTTCGATGGTTCCAAGCGTCAATTTGAGATGACGGCAGGGTTGAGTGTCGACGTGAAGTCGCAAAATGCCAATCGGTGGTGCGGATCGGACTAGGCGCGAGGAAGGAGAGCTGAACCAGGTGAGGCGATGCCCTCAAGACTCGTCTATTGCGCAAACTTTAAAGATGGCAGCCACGGGTAAGTCAGCGGTACTTGGCGGCCACGGCTCTTGTTTTGCGGCTGTATCACAAACTGCGTGTTGGTTTTTTGGTGTTGAGGAAGCCGATGAACGACTTCTCAGAGAGTTGGACGACCCCTAGGCCCACTTTTGTGACTTTCTCAGCGCCTTTGCTGGGCTGGCGTTGATGCTTTGATCAGAAGTCTTTGGCTACGAGTCCCATTATCGCATTGTACCTATTTGCTTCTTGATTGCTGCTTAGGTCGTAGGTTAGACGGCAAAGCACCTAGGCATAGCCTTGACTGAGATTGTGTCTGCTCGCGGTCCTTGTCCACCGAAAGCTTGCGGATACCTGTTCCTCCATCAGCTGCAATGCGCGCCCTCGTCGCTTCAATGTCACTTCAGGGTAGCGTTGGATCAGCAGCGTTGGGTCTCAAGCAGAACCGCAGCGCAACGACCATACAAGTCAAGGCAGTCTATACTATACGTATAACGCGGTTCTTATTCATAACAAAACAGAAGTCTCCAATTCACGCGACGTCGACGTAATTTTTACTCCAATGCTCTACAATCACTGCTTTCAGATCTACGTGAAGACGCGAAGCTCTACTATGTACATTGGCAGGTACTTGAGGTTGACCCAAACAATTGGCGTTTTCAGCTAGACTCTGCAAGCCTCATTGGTTCAGCACATTGCTAAGCCTCAGCGCTGCTGCGTTCGCACATGCCTCGGCCTGTGACGCGACAGAGCCGGATCTTACCCGGCCAACCGAATGTCAATCGATGCCCGTCGCTTCAGCTGACGTTTCTTTCCCCTTCAAGTTGATGATTTGTATATAGACAATCAACAATTCCCGACAAGACGGCACAGAAGATGGACGACTCAGACGACAAGCCATCCCCCGACAGCGTCCCCAAATGGCAGCTCACCGCGCCCGACGACGAACCAAACATCGACGAAGCCCAGTCGCAGCCGCAGTCGCAGTCGCAACAGCATGATGAAGATGCCCATGCAGACCGGCTGCAAGTCGCGCGGCGCTTCCTCGAAGATGACGCCGTGAAAGCGGCTCCGCGACACATAAAGGTTGACTTTTTAAAGTCCAAGGGCGTCGACGATGCAGATATCCAGTACCTTCTCCGTGACATTGCAGAAGAAGAAGAAGAAGAAGACGCTCCAAACTCCAAGGACTCAACACCAGCGCCAACAGACGTAAGTCAACAAAGACTCATCATCACCCCCCTTGATTCCCACCACGACTTACACTCGCATGCGCCGATTAGGAATCCAACCAAAAGGCCCTCCAAGTCCTCGAAAAGTCATTCGCGCCCAAACAACAACCACAACAACCCGCCTCTACCGCCTCCCCATCTCCCGCCCCTATCCTCGCGCCCGGCGACCGCCCCCCCGTAGTAACATACCCCGAGTTCCTCACCAAGCCCCAGCGCCCACCCCCGCTCGTCACGAAAAACGGCCTGCTCAGCACGCTCTATGCGTTCGGGGGCTTATCCGCGCTCATCTACGGCACGACCAAGTTCGCCGTCGAGCCCATGGTTGAGAAACAAACGAGCGCGCGCATCGAGCTCCACGAGACCGCAGCAAGTAAACTCGACGCCATCGTCGCCCGGCTCGAAACAACCGTCTCCGTCGTCCCGTCGTACAAGTCCGCCTCGGGAACCAGCGCCTCGGACGCAAGCGAGGACGATCCCTCTGAAATGTTCCACCGCGACGTCGGCACCCAGACGTCCTTGCCCACTAGCCCTTCCACCGCGTCTCTCCAGGAAAAGGACGGCGCCCAGTCTAGGATCCAAGAGGAGCGTCTTTCGAAACTGGCAAAGTCGCTCAAGGGGCTTACCGATGACTTTACGTCGCAGAGCAACGATTCACAGGACATCAAAGTTCTGCTGGACGTCTTCCGTGACGATCTGGATACCATGACGTACGGGCATCACGCGGAGCTATTCGGGGGCTTTGATAAGAGGAAGAAGAAGCCTGATTCGGAAGACGAGATTCGCAAAGTAAGGGACAATATCAGGAGGATAAAGGGCGTTCTACTGAGCGCGCGGACGTTTCCCACATCTGCTAGGTAAAGGCGGGGGGAAGTATTTTTGCATGGCGTCTTGTTCATATCATTTACAGCTTCCATTGTCATGGGTATTTCCTTCAGGCATCTATCTACACTAGCGAAAGGTTGCATAACCTTTGATTTGCGGCTGACCCTCTGGGTCGTCGTCGTCGTCGTTGTCCTTCGTACAGTAATAATGACATCTTGTATAACATTCGTACTCTGTGGCGCCCTTGGGCCCACGTCCAAAGAATATCCTTGCGTTTGTAACTCCTTTCTCTCGTCAAACTTTGCCGAAACCACCGTATATACCAGCCCAGGAAGCCACCATGGCAATGGGCTTGAGATCCGCTTGGGTATGGGGGAAGAGGGAACAAAGGTCGAGTGTTTTCAAAAGACAACGCGACCTAGACCATGATATGCCATCATTGTTGATAAGACGAGACACTCTTGTGTTATCGACGTGGATCGCGCAAGAACGACGCAGTCTGAACAGGCCGTCGTCAGCCTCCTCTTTGCGACGCGCTCTCGATCTTCCATGTTCGGAACACTTCCTGCCATGGCACGACTGCGACGTGTTCAAAGCCTCGACCCTCCTTGCACTGCTCGCTGTACCATTCCATCGTTGGCCTAAAGGTGAAGGCGAATTCTTTTCCTTCAAACCTGGGGTCGTTTTGCTGAGCCTCGTGGTACAGCCGGTTCCAGCATTTCGAGGATCCCGCTTGGCCAACCCCCCTCCTCGGCGGATGGAAAATGGCCTTTGGCGGCGCTGTGCCGTCGTCCGCTGGCGGGCTTCCCTGCATCGTCTCGGCATGAGCCGAGTCCAGGCTGCTCTTTCGATCACCCTTTTGGTCTCCTCGCTCATCTTGCCGCCTGTTTTGCCTTTCGTCTTCCCGCCTGTTCTCTCTTTCGTCTTCCCGCCTGTTCTCTCTTTCGTCTTCCCGCCTGTTCTCTCTTTCGTCTTCCCGCCGATAGTCACGCTCATCCTCCCGCCGATAGTTACGCTCATCCTCTCGCCGATAGTCGCGCTCATCCTCCCGCCGATAGTCACGCTCATCCTCTCGCCGATAGTCACGCTCATCCTCTCGCCGATAATCGCGCTCATCCTCCCGCCGATAGTCACGCTCATCTTCCCGCCTGTACTCCCGTTCGCCCCCCCGCCGATAGCCGCGCTCGTCCTCCCACCGGTCCTCCGGGGGCCTCTCAGGAAAGACCGGTGTCCAGCCTCTTTTAGGGAGCTCCTTGGATGGTGCGGGGATCCAGTCTCTAACCTTTCCCGGCACGTTCGCAATCCAGTTGAGCGTGGCATCCATGGCGCTGACACCGGCAAGATTGGTCCCAAAGGCGCCGACCCAGACATTCTTGAGCGGCAGTGTGTCCCACGCCCCATCCTCCACGAACTTGATCAAGCGGCGCTGAGTTTCAAGAAGATCAGAAGAGCAGAATTCTTTGCCCTTGCTGATGCTCTCCGAGTACCGAATATCCCAGATGAACAGCTCCGAATGCCTCCATGGCCGGATATGCGGGTTTGCGGGACGAAGCACGGCCGCCCATGGCGAACATTGCACGTTGTGAATCGTGAGCGTTGAAGCTTGGTCCTCATCGAAAGTGTGAAACAGCCCGGCCACCGAATTGTGCGGGCTTTTCTTCGTCCCCTTGAATTCCAATGTATCCCAGAAGAACTTGAGCCACTTGTCGTACGGCTGATATATGTCGCCCCTATCTCCAAGACGGAAGGAAACAGCAGTGCTCGAGAAACCCACGGGGTGGAAATAAACCCTGACAGGGCTCCAGTCACGCTTGGCGGCGACAAATATCCCATTTAGATGAGACTTTAGCGCAAGGGCTTCATCCTCCCTACTTTGCCGCGGCGCAGGACAAGGGATTGATGCTTCAGGTTGTCTCGTGAGAACCGGCGGCTGCCAGTCCGGGTCGTTCGTCAAGTGCCTCTTGTAGTTTGGAGTCTGAACGATCCTCGACAGCCGTTGTTCGGTCTGCTGGCCGGAGCCTACGACGGTAAATCTTCGATACTGGTGTATGTGGAGGGTTGACCACCACCCGAACCAATTGACTAAGCTCTGCTCATCGTTGCCGTCTATGGACTCGGGTGCAAAGATGATTCTGCCGGCGACCTCGCTGGGCGCATCCACTACAAGCTGCTGGAGCATCCTGAAGGTCTTCCACCGGCAGTGGATCGCCAAGTCCGAGATACCCTTGGCAACGCGTTCCTCCTCCGGAATCGCGATTGGACGTCTGTGCGTCATGAGAATCTTCTCCACGCTGAGGTCGTTCATCCATTCGTCTACTTTTGCGCACAAGACCAGCTTTCTAGGTCGGCTCGGATCGACACTTTTGACGAATCTGCTCCAGAACCACTTCATGAACGTATATGCGTTTTCCGGCTCGGAGATGAAGAAACTGGGCGTGACCAAGAAGGCTGCTCCAGGATCGAACACTCGGTGAAGGCGGATGTCACCGAGAGGAGACGGCGGCGACTCTCCGGAGCCGAGTGCGCGGATCGGTGTGAGGGAGCGGCTGAACATCCAAAACGTGTAGTTTGTCCTGGGTCCGTGCAAAAGGTTGTGAAGCCTGGGAAACGATCGTATCGACCACAGGGCATCCTCGTGAATAATGACAGCCCCATGGCTCAGCTTCAAGAAGCTGTCCCAGTGGCCTTGAGTGTAAGCGGTCCGAATATCACATTTGCCGTTGTTGTCCCTCAGCCACCAGGATAGCAGGAGAGCCTCCTGTTTGGCACGAGGAGGAAAAGCGATGAAAAAGTTGTGCCTCTCTGCATTCTTCGCCAAGGGGGGCAACAGTTGCTCATACTTCAGCCCAAAGACTCGGCTCAGCGGTTTTGAACAAGACGCAGAACTGTCGCCTCCCTTGGCCAGATTTGACAGTCTCAACTGTGGAGCGGGAGAGAGCATCAATGGTCCTAGAGAATCGGAATGGACTGGCTCGAAGAGAAGGTATCTGAGGCTTGCATCACTCGCGGTTTGGGTCGGTTGGCCACCGAATTCCCCAGCGCAGAAAATGTAGACGCAGTATCCTTCGCAAACGGAGAGCAACCCCGTAGACCCTAGCCTGAGGTTGCTTGCCAGGCTTGTGACGGACTCGTTCTCAGTGCATGAGAAAACAGCTCCTTGGCATAGCGGTATGATTTTCAGCTGACCAATCGGCGCGGTTTGGCAATCAAAATCATGGCGAGTGCATGTATGTGTGAGGACGAGTGGCTCGGTCGAGCAAAATTGCTTTGCCCAGCTGGCATCTGCCTCGTCAGGTAGTCCCTCGAACGAGAGAGTAATGACGCTCAGGCCATCCGAGCCCAGCTGGACCGCCTTGCTAATGGACCTTGAGCGGTATGGTTGCTCCTCCTTGTCATGACTGTTGTTGAATGGGTTTGGAACATCTGAGCTTGGCGACGGCGTGTGCTCAGGTACAAAAAGGCTCTCGCTTGGGTCTAATTCCATCGGTTCGTCTTCCCAATGAGCCACGCCCTTTGTTGGCGACCTGCGCTTTGGGTTGGCTTGATCGCCAACCGTGGCATCATGGGCCGACACTTGCTCGCCTGACGGAGCCTGGGGGTTATAAGGGTCAAGAGAGATGAGTCCGACTGGGCGCTGGGTTGGTGCTCTCGTCCCTTCTCGATCTCGGCGTTGCAGCTCTATCGTCCTCCTGAGATGCGAGTTGAGAAACCTGGGGTTGGTTGACGGGTCAGCCGCGACTTCGCTCAGGGTGTGTCTCCCCTTGCGAGTACGACCGCCGGTGAAGACGTTCGTGTGTGCTGCCGCCTTTGCTGCAGGTGTCCGCTGGGAGAGAGACGGCCGCCTCGGCACCTCGTCGGAAGCTTCTGAAGGCGGGATAAGGAACCTAACCGATCCTCGCGATGTGGTTTCGGCGCTCTTCAGTGCCGACTTGAGCTTGGTAGGAGGATCGAGCCTTGGATTTTCGGGTGGGTTCTCGTCAGGCTTTCCAAAGAGCGTCTCTGCCAAGGATCTCCGAGGAGAGATGGTAACAACTGATGGTGCCATTGGGGCTGAAGGGCCCGAGATTCCCCCCGCAGGCTGCATCGTAGGTGAAGGGGATTCATTGTGTGATGGATCTTCAGGCAGGGCCTGTTCTGGTCTTCCTGGCGGTTGCTTTATAGGCGATGACGGCTGAATGTTTGATGGGACTCGGTGCGAGCCCTGCTCTGATCCTTGGGCAGGCTGCTTTGCAGGAGAAGAGGGCTCGTTGTCTGGTAGAAGCTGTGGAAAGTCCTGGTCTCGGCCATCCTCAGGCTGCCATTCGTGTAATGATGGGGGGTTCTCTGAGAAGTTCTGAGGCAATCCCTGTCCCGAGGTGGCTGCAGCTGAATCAGCCTGGCCAGCTTCTCCCCACCTCTGCCCATCGTCTTCCTCGTCGTCTGCCCACTGACTGAGCACTTCGAGCAAATCTTGACGGGTGGGCGAGATGAGTGTTTCGGCAAGGCCGCGCCTCGCTCGCGCAGCATTGCGACGGTTGTGTCGAACGCATCTTTCATCGTATTGTTGTATGACGGCATCTTTCCAGTCCTGGACGACGAATCTTGGTTCTAGTCCAGCTCGCTGGTTCGCCTTGGCCTGCTCCCACTCCGCCACGAGCGTCTCCGGTAGGTTTTCTCTGGGCTCCCAGAGTGCGTCTCCCAAGTGCAGATTCTCCCATAGAAGCAGGAGGTGAGACTCTCCGTGTACATGTCGTTCAGCAAGGACTCGGTCGACGTTCATCTCCGGGTCATTCTCGTCATCCGTCGAAGTGACCGAGATGTCGTCGCCAAAGCCCGCGGCGGCCTCGTCAGCCGGTCCGGACGCCATTGTTGAGGATGCTCAGGCGAGAAACCGCGTCCAGCCGGAGCAGCGTGGTGGTTGTGACCTTTGACCTTGGGCCGTCTTCAATGTTTGCGCAAACAGTGGACGAAAATTGCATTCACGTGATTGCAGCTGTGCACAGCTGTCGCGGCAGCAAACATGTCTGCCTGTGCCTCGATGAAACTATTGGGTACTACTGGGAGCTGCTGGGCGAGACAGACGGCGGTTTTGCTGTGCCAAAGGACTGTCTGGAGCCGTTGAGCGTGCCTGAGGAGGTGATGCATCCAAGCTGCATGAAGCTTGGGTAGGCAAGCTTGGTAAGGTATGTTTGCTAACGCACAAGCTCCCACACCTTTTTTGGCAGTGGCTTGAGCGGGCGGGATTGGCCCTCGATGCCGCTGTTGCACCGCATGGGCGCGCTGAAGTGATTACCTAACGGGCGGCAATCAACTGGACACTTTCAGGGTCTCTCTGCTTGGTACCCAACTTGCCCAGATTTGCGAGATGAGTCCCACCGGCTTCATGTGTTTGCTACCTTGTTACCTTACCTCTGCAGACGCGGTGAGAGGCTGGCATGTGTTTCGCCTGGAGTCTGCTGGGAAGCGCCTCGGGCACCTGACAGGCATCTTTAATTACAAACAATGCATGGCTCTGCCGTGTCTCTAGGTAGGCAGCTTCTTTCGTCTGTGTGGTGTATTAAGGCACCGACTTCAGGTACAACTCTAGTCTACCTAGGTAGGAATATCTGGGTGAACTTGAAATATGCCATGTCGTACCTGTGACTTTTTTCCTGCTCATGAGAACTTGAAGTTTCAGGAAAAAAGGGGCAGCTGTCTGGGACAAACAAGCATTGGCCCGTCCGTACAAACACAGAATAGTCCCTCCCATGGCGGTCCAGTGCTAGAGAAAACGGGGTCCAGCGACTCCATCCCGTCACTCCTTGTTGGTGGGCTCCCAAGCTCCCCAGCACCCAAAGGGCATTTTGCTTGGTGTGCTTCCCAGCAAAAGGGCACCACTAGGCCTGTTGTGCTAAACGACGGCCATTCACGTCCCCTCAGGCTAACTCGAACGTTGTGTATCTGTACCGTAGAGAGGTAGGGGGTCCAGAGGAAGGGTACTTCAACGGTACCTGTTGTTTCATGCAGAGCCCAGGGGAGCCCGTAGTTGTGGGCAGGTCGCTGCCAGGCTGCGGGCAATGCATCCATTCCTCGCTGCCTGCAAACGCGCCTCCTGAGCGAGCTCGAATCCCCCAGGTGACTGTGTTTAGCGACCCCGAACAAGGGAGCACTAAAACTTGCCTTTCGGTAGGTACATACTAGGTAGGTAGGATAGTAGGTACCTTGCCGTACAAGTCCACGCTGCGGAGTACAAGTAAACCAATCGTCAGAGCCGCGCAGCCACTTCTTCCCCTCCACATCCACAACCTGAACCTGATCACCTCGAGTCTGCCAGCGACCGACCGCCTTCCCACCAGCACCAGCATCAGCATCAGCACCAGCATCAGCATCTACCCGCCAGACCGAAAAACCCTCCTCTGCACACGCGCGCGCACCACAGCTCTGCTGCAACCATGGCCAACGACGAGTACGATGTAGGTCCCGCCCGCTTCATCGCCCCGAGATGAAATGAAAATGAACACCTGGCGGAACGCTAACGGCGATGCTTCAACCCCCCACTAGTTCCTCTTCAAAGGTGCCGCCCTCTCCTGTGTCCTCGTGGCCGCATTTGCGTCCGACCGCCCTGGAGGAGCTGTGTTACTGACTTGCCCGCCCTGGTAGTTGTCTTGATTGGAGACTCTGGAGTCGGAAAGTCCAATCTTCTCAGCCGATTCACCCGTAACGAATTCAACCTCGACTCCAAGTCCACCATCGGTGTCGAGTTCGCCACCAGATCGATCCAGGTCGACTCCAAGACGATCAAGGCGCAGATTTGGGACACGGCCGGTCAGGAGCGTTATCGCGCCATTACTTCCGCATACTACCGAGGTGCAGTCGGCGCCCTCCTCGTCTACGACATCAGCAAGCACCAGACGTACGAGAATGTCACGAGGTGGCTGAAGGAGCTCCGGGACCATGCCGATGCAAACATTGTCATCATGCTGGTGGGAAACAAGAGCGATTTGAGACACCTGAGGGCTGTGCCCACGGATGAGGCCAAGGCATTTGCTAGTTCGTCTTTGCCGTTCAGATCCAACCAAATGACGGAGCCTTGTTGTTGTTGTTGTTGTCGCTGACCGATTGTGATCTTGCAGGCGAGAACCATCTGTCCTTTATCGAGACGTCCGCCCTCGACGCCAGCAACGTTGAGCTTGCTTTCCAGAACATCCTCACTGGTACGACCCCCCCCCCCCCCCCCCCCTTTTGGCCTCATACACTCCTCTCTCTCCGTCATCTCCTCCCCCATTTGAAGTACTAACGCAGTCTCGCAATTTCAGAAATCTACCGGATCGTATCCAGCAAGGCGCTCGACAGCGGCGATGGCGCCCAGGCCACCATTGGTGCCGGCACCAACATCTCACTCAGCAAGGCGGCCGACGACGAGGCTTCCAAGAGCGGCAAGTGCTGCTAAGCTGCCTCGCAGTTCTGATGATGCCAACGACATGTGGGAAATGGGGGAAATATCTTAGTCGCATGTTTCGAAAATGTACGTCGCATACCGGAAGGCTTCGACACTGTGTTGTGTCGAGGAGGAAACGAGGAGGAGGCCTGATGCTTCCCTTTTTCTTTCTACTTCTAATTAGAAGGGCGCAGACACGTTTTGACTTTGTGCTGTTTCTGTTTGTCGCGATGGGGGTGGTTTCTGGGCTGATCTCTGTGATGGCGGCTACGAAGCCTCATCTTACGTAGCTACATGACTTCTTAATGAAACGATTCCGTCTTTTTTTTGCAGCATACTACCTTACCCTAAGGTACGGTAACCTCAGCATCTGCCGCATGCCACAATGAGGGGCAGCACTCGATATCAACCCGAGTCCGCCTTTTGATACAAGTTGAAGGTATTATACGCGGTGGTGGTCCAAGCGAGCGCTAAGCCGTGCCTGGCCTGGCTCGCCGGGGCCCCACTGCCATGAATTTTCCGATAAGGATTTCGACGGCTTATCGGGCTTGCGCTCCTCTTAAATTTTTCTAGCAGTCGCCAAACTGCTGCCGTACTTGACCTATTGCATCTTGGACGCCTGTTGCAACCTAGGTACTGAAGCAATCTCTCGGATATCCAGAATGGCGGCCGTATACAAGTCACTGTCCAAGAGCGACAGCGAGAAGCACGAACCGTCGACCAATGGCGTCAAGAAGAACAAGCAGAGGGTGCTGATCCTGTCCAGCCGAGGTGTCACATACAGGCAAGTTCTTATAGCGGCGACGGATCCATTGCATTGGCCATTGGGCTTCTTTTTTTTCTGACAAGTTTGCTCACAGACATCGTCACCTCCTCAATGATCTTGCCTCTCTCCTTCCCCATGGCCGAAAGGATGCCAAGTTTGACTCAAAATCCAGACTAGGCGAGCTCAACGAGCTGGCCGAGCTCTACAACTGCAACAACGTTCTGTTCTTTGAGGCGAGGAAGGGCAAGGACCTGTACGTGTGGCTGAGCAAGGTCCCCAACGGCCCGACTGTCAAGTTTCACCTTCAAAACCGTAAGTGCTGCCTCCTCGATCATTGCCCTTGAGATCGCTGGTGCTGATGGGGGATTCTTCTAGTGCACACGATGGAAGAACTGCACTTCACCGGCAACTGCCTGAAGGGCTCTAGGCCAATCCTCTCATTCGACGCCGCCTTCGAGACGCAGCCGCACTTCCGCGTTATGAAAGAGTTGTTCCTCCACACATTTGGCGTTCCGCAGGGGGCGCGAAAATCCAAGCCCTTTATCGATCATGTCATGGGCTTCAGCATCGCGGACGGCAAGATCTGGATCCGAAACTACCAAATCAGCGAAGTCGAGCAGACAAAGACCAAGGGCGATGAGGAGGAAGGCTCTGAGTCAGCCGCGGCCGGCAAATCTAGCAACTCGGACATTAACCTCGTGGAGATCGGACCTCGATTCGTCCTCACGCCTCTGGTGATACAGGAGGGCTCATTTGGCGGACCCATCATATACGAGAATAGAGAGTTTGTCTCTCCCAACCAGATCCGGGCTGACATTCGGAGGGCAAAGGCTGCAAGGCACAATGGCAGGGCGGAGCAAGTTGCTGGCCGCTTTGCCAAGAAGAATGAGCTGGGTCTCCGGTCGAACGGCAACCGACGGGCCAAGGACGAGCTGGACAAGACGGCGTTGTTTGCATAGCCGACATGACTTTTCACAAGGGAGTAATGAGAGGGGAATGCGATATCGCGGCGGTACGCCTGGTGGTACGCTGTGGACCACACTCAGAAACTTTTGTATTGTATTTATCACAGGTGGCGCATAATCGGATTTTCAGGGCACGGCAATCTTTCGTCTGGCAGATGATTTACTTGACGCACGCGTCCAATATGCGCCGAGGTTGTTTCCGTGTTAGGTTGTGATTTAACTCATCTTACAGACTGTCCAGCTCCTGACCTGATTATATAAAAAGGTACACCTTACTTAAATTAATAGGGATTTGCAGTATAAGAGCAGTAGAAAATACCTTAACCTGTAACATCTTTATAAAATCCTAATTAATAATATACTATATTAGCAGGGGCTGTGTAATTTTTTATAAAAGGCATAGTTACTAAGAGATTAGGTTTAATTCTACTAAATCTATTTAATAAACTATATAAGAAAAATCTATTTATACTCCTAATTAAATAATATATAGACTGTCCTTTTAATTTCTTATATACTAGTTTAAGCTTTATACTACTATAAATTTAATTATAAGTAATATAGTAGGCATAACTTAGTTAATATTAAATGCTATTATTAACTACTAAAAGGCTAGGAATAACCTTAATATAGCTATTTTCTTATTAGTATATATTATATTAATAATTAAGCCTGTTAACTTACTTAGCATTCTGCTAGTTAAGGAGGCAAGGCTGGCTGCTATTAATAATAATAGTAGTATATATATGCAGGCTACCTTTATAGCCTTAAGGGAATATTATATACAGCTTATAGCCTTGCTAGATTTATAGTTTATTACTCTCTTTTATATAATAAAGGCTGTGTTTTTAAACCTCTGCTAGTAGCTTAATACTAACACTACTGCCTATAAGAACTAGTAGCAGTTACTTAAGCAGAAGGTTATAGTATTTTTATAGATTTATATATATAGTAAGCTATAAAAAAATGCAGTATTATAATTTTAAATAAGCTAAGTAACTATATTATAAGTTTTTTATAAGTTAAAAGATCCTATATAGCAGTTATATAATAACTTTATTTATTAGCTAGAATTAATATACCTATTACTAGTTATTAAGCTTAACGCTAAATTTATAGTGTTTAATAATATAATTAAGGCTATTAATAAAATATTAATCTTAGCCTATATCTTAATAATAAAGCAGTAAAGATTTTAGTTAAAAAAGAATAATATTATATAAAATATCTTTACTACTATTACCTTTAATAGCCTATTTTATTATATCCTAGCTAATGCTAAAGGATTTATTAATAACTTAACTTTTTTATATTATATATTAACTTTATTATTTTTAATTTTAAAAGGATAATTTTATTTTAGTAATACTAGCTTTAAACTGCAGTAAGGTATTATAATACCTTATAATTATAATATATATTATTATTTATAAAACTAGGGAATAGTAATATAGTAGCTATAAAATAAAAAGGAATTATATAACTTATAGTATGCCTAAAAAAGGACTATTATTAAGTATATCTTTAGCTAGTATAAGTAAAAGTAAAAAATTATATACTATAGCGCTACTAAATATAAATTCCTTAATTAAATTTATATTATATATATAGTAATAGGCTTATTTAACTTTATTAAGCTTAAAGGGAGGATACTAAAGCAGTACTATAAGAAAGAGAAGCTTATTCTTACTAACTTTAAATAAAATATTATAAATTCTGCCTTAGAATATACTAATACAGTTATTTTACTATTAAAGGCTGTAAATTTAAAAGAATATATTACTTTTTAAGCCTAGAGGCATTATTAGTAATATCTAGATAAGTATAATAAGGAGGATACTAATAGCAGTAGTAATAAAAGTAATAAAAGCTATAATAGTAATAGTAGTAATAATAATAATAATAAGGATAAAAAAGAGGTTAAGGCAGGTATTTAAGGCTAAGGCTAGTTTAAGTTAATGTTATAAGGTAAAAGTATAGGCTAAGTAAATATATTTTACTAGGAAATTAATAATTTATAGCTAAGTGTTATATTTTAAAGCTATTTATAACTATATATAAAAATATTAGGAATTTTTAAGGAAATTAATTACTAGCTATATATCCTTTACCTTTTTAAATAGTATTATATTTTATATTAATAAATTTAGTAGATTTTTATAAATTTAATAAACTAAATAAGTAATAAAAAGCATCCCCTATTCCTTTATAAAAAGAAAGTAATTTTAAATAGCTTTTTTAAAGTCTTCTGCCTTAACAGCCTGTTAATTATAGGTAATATAATAGTCTATCTGCTATAATAAATTACATGCTATTATTATAAAAGCTAGCTTATAAAAGCTATTAGCTATTTTATTAGTTTATACTGCTTTCTTTCTCTTTCTTACTGCTATACTATTAGCTTAAAAAGCCGCTAATAGTATTAATAAAGGCATTTATAATAGGATAGCTATAACTGCTAGTAGTATTAATAGCTGCAGTGTTAATAATAGCAGTAGTGTTAATAGCAGCAGTAGTATTAATGCTAGTAAAGTTAACTGCAGTAGTGTTAATAGTAGTAGTAATAGTATTAGCTAGTTAAGGTTATTTTTATTACTACTATTTAAAAATGCTATAGGATTGCTAGCAGCTTTATTACTAATAATAGGCTAAGTTAAACCCTCCTTTTTACTATTAAAAGGTCTATAAATAATAGTACCTTCTAAGTTATTATTTTAGCTATTTATAGTAAAAGCAGCCTTATTACTTACTTTTATAATATTTAGGCCTGCTAGCAGCTTATTTAAGAAGATCTCCTGCTACTTATTAAGGTTAATCCTGTTATTAATAAGAAGCCTATTTATAATAACCTAATGCCTTAATAAGCTATACTGCTAAATAATAAAATCCTTATTCTACTTGCTTATTAATAGCTTCCTAGTCCTAGAGTTATATATAGTCCTTAATATCTTTTTAGCTGCTATAAATACCCTCTAAAACTTTTTTAAATACTAGTACTTATTTTCTATGCTTTTAAATACTTAGGAATGCCTTAAAAAGCGCTAAACTAGCTGTAGAAGTAAAGTTAAAAGGCCTTTCTATAAGTACTGTTTTTTTAATAAATTTATAAGGCTAGCCTAGCAGGCCTTAAAAAGCAGGGAGAGGAAAAAGAGGGTATATTTATTTAACCACTTAACTAAGCTAGCTATTAACTTAACTTATAATAATATAATAGCTAATATTTAGCTTATAGTAACTTTAAAAATAGGTGTTTTACCTTATAAATTAAGGTATTTATAAGTAAAGATAATAAGAAGGTGTTAATTAAAGTTAAAATTAAGCTAAAGGCAGTAAGGTAAGAAGACTAGATTATATCCTAATCTAGTTTAGACTTAATGCTAGGGGGCTTGGGGTATAAGATATGCTAATCTGTAAAATTTACTAGTTAAATATATTATAATCAGGAGTCTTACTAGAAAGCTAAGCGAGTTAAATCACGACCTTAGATGATTAATTTAGACTGTTAGATTTTAGAGCACCTTTGCATTGTATAGGTATGAAGAAGCATGGTCATGTCATGGAGACAAGCCTGGAAGAGACGCAGAGTTAAGCGTTCTCACTCTCCTTGGCCAGCCCCTGATTGTGCCTCTTTGTGCAATCTTGTTTGCCGGAAGCCGCGTGGCTGGCGCCAAGCTTGTTGGATGAGCTGGACCATGTTGACGCTGAATAGCAAACCTTTTGAAATTCCTTTGTCTTGTGTTTCTTTCACCGTGTCCTCCTAATACGTCCACTCCCCCTTTACATACCTAGGTAGTACCTAGGGAGGTACTTTAGAGGGAGAAGCCTGTCCATCTGTACCTGGCGAATGATGTTCGACGCTTGCGCTTCCATGTTCATTGCCGCTTCGCTATTTTTGACCTACAATTGATACATAGGTGCTGATTATATATAGACGCTTACATCCTTTGAAGTTGAGTTTGTATTATAGACCTAAACAAAATGACCAACGATGGGCGTTGAGTGCTTGTTTGCTTTAAGCAATGGAACCTCTCTGTAAGGTCGTTCAGTAGTAGCACCAGCCACCATCGCACTGCTGAGGCTCACCGCACTGCTGAGGCTCACCGCACTGGACGGGTCAAGTGGCTTCCGCAGGGCTAAAAAGCCCAAGCGTTCAGGCCGTCAACTTCACTAACGAACGAACCACTGCGTCTCATTCATTTGATCCATCCTGATCTCATATGAATCTCAGCCTCTCCTCCATCCATCTCATCCCAGGTGAACGAGGCCCCAAAGGCCGTCCATACAAACAAAAACACACACACAAGCACAAAGCAGCTTTACATCTTCTCTTCGTCTTTTCTTTTTCGTCTCACGGCCGTCGCTGACATCTCGCGTCTCCTACGTTTTCCTGCAACTTTTTGACCTGCTCAAGGGAGTGGCTGGGCTGTACCGGGGAAAACACACCCTTTGGGGGGTTCAGGTGAGTTGGCTGGCAGCGTTGCATTCACGCTGCATCCAGGACCAGGTCAAGTTTGCTTCACCTTGCTGTCCCGTTGCTTCACGGTTGTATGCCCGCTCTTCTGACGAGCATACAAGTTTCATTCATGGCATGATGCTTGTGCTCCTCAGAGGCAGCCAGACTCTATCAAGGCTCAACCTACGCGTCCATCATCTGGCTCTTCCCATGCGTGAGCGTTGCGTGTGTTGTTCTTTTTTTTTTTTTATCATCTTTTCCTCCCTTCACCTCCGACTTCTTGAGCGTGGCTACTTGGTTCTCTACAGATCATCGTGCGAGTGCTCAGGCTGATACCTGCGTCAGGATTTACATGCCATCTTCAACGCATCAAGCGCAAGCGCCATAGCCAGAGGCCCCGGTTGATACAGCGGCCTCGGGCCTGGGAGGAAATCCAGCGCCATCATCGCAAGCACAATATACCCATTGCCTACCTCCTTGGGTAACACAATGGCTGGAAATGAAGCCATGGAGCCCGAAGACCACATCATGGGGGACACGGACATGTCCAACCTCAACGGGCATGGAGGAGGCGAGGTGCAGGGAAACGACGACGAGACTGCCTCGGACAGCATATACCACGAGGACAGTGAGCCGAGCGTCATCGAGGAGACGATTGCCCAGCAGCGGGTGCGACGTCGACTGCTTGCGACAGGGTGCTGCTACGATGACCGGATGAAGCTTCACATGAACGCCGACTTCAGCCCGAATACCCATCACCCCGAGGACCCCCGACGCATCCACGAAATCTTCAAGGCCTTCAAGAAGATGGGCCTCGTCTACACGGGCCCGGAGTCTGAGCTCCCGGCAATCATGAAGAACTGCCCGACCAAGTACATGTGGAGGATCCCCGCGCGGTCTGCGACGCGGGAAGAAATCTGCCTCGCCCACTCCCCGGAGCACCTGGCTTGGGTGGAAAGCCTCGGCTCCATCAGCACGGCCGAGCTCCGTGAGCTGACCAAGAAGTTTGACCAGGGCCGCGAGTCTCTCTACGTCGGCAGCATGTCGTACCCGGCCGCCCTCTTGTCCGTCGGTGGCGCCATCGAGACCTGCAAGAGCGTGGTTACCGGCCAGGTCAAGAACGCCTTTGCCGTGATCCGGCCTCCAGGGCACCATGCCGAATTCGACCAGCCCATGGGCTTTTGCTTCTTCAACAACGTTCCTGTGGCCGTCAAGGTGTGCCAGCAAGACTATCCGGACGAGTGCCGCAAAGTGCTCATCTTGGACTGGGACGTGCACCACGGCAACGGCACCCAGAACATCTTTTACCAGGACCCAAACGTCCTCTACATATCCATCCACGTCTATCAGAACGGCGTCTTCTACCCAGGCAAGCCGCCGAATCCCATGACCCCCGACGGCGGCATAGAGCACTGCGGCACGGGCCCGGGGTTGGGCAAGAACATCAACATCGGATGGCACGACCAAGGCATGGGCGACGGCGAATACATGGCGGCATTGCAAAAGATTGTGATGCCCATTGCCAACGAGTTCAACCCGGATCTGGTCGTCATCTCTGCCGGGTTTGATGCCGCGGACGGAGATGAGCTGGGCGGCTGCTTCGTGACGCCCGCCTGCTATGCGCACATGACGCACATGCTCATGTCCCTCGCCGACGGCAAGGTCGCCGTCTGCCTGGAAGGCGGCTACAACCTGCAGGCGATTTCGAACTCGGCCGTCGCCGTCGCGAGAACGCTGATGGGCGAGCCTCCGCCAAAGCTTGTTCTGCCCGGGATCAACAAGGACGCGGCGAGAACACTAGCCAAGGTGCAGGCGTATCACGCCCCTTACTGGGAGTGCATGCGGCCGGGCATCGTCGATGTACCCGATGTTCAGGCCCTCAATGCCGACAGGCTGCACGACGTCATCAGGAACGCGCAGCGCCAGGTCACGCAGTCGAAGCACGGCATGATTCCGCTCTATATACAGCGAGAAACGATATCCAAGTCGTTTGAGAACCAGGTGCTCGTCACGCCGAATCTGCACGAGGCAAAGAGGATTCTTGTCATCCTACACGATCCGTACGTATACGACGATTCTGTGAACTCGTGTGCCCCGAGAGATGTTGCTGATTCTGGGTACAGGCCTCAGCTGTTGGCGCAAGTTGACGCGGTGGACAGCACCGTCGATACTCACAACGCATGGGTTGTAAGTCTACAAAATCCAGACGCGCGATAACAGTGACCGATGTTAAACTGACTGTTCAAAGGTTGACGGCGTAACGGAATACATCGATTGGGCCGTCAGCCAGGGCTTTGGCATCATGGACATCAACGTCCCACATTACGTTACCCGTGAAGAGGCATGTTCCTGCGCCGTCCACTTTCTGGCTGCTGTTCAGGTTCGTCTAACACTCAAGGGTTAGGACGTCGAAGCATACATTCCCCGATTCAACGAACAGGAGATCCAGGAGCAAATCCTTTCGCTGGTCTGCTACCTCTGGGACAACTTTCTCCAGCTCTACGACACCAACGAGATCTTCTTGATTGGTGCGGGCAATGCATACCTCGGGGTAAAGGTGCTCTTGATCAACAGAGGTAAGGCCGAACACCGCACACAGCTCACTGGCAAATTCCGTTACCCAGCTCGTCTAACAAGTTTTTTTTTTATGCCGTCCAGATTGCAAAGAAAAGATTGCGGGCATCGTCAACTTTGTGACCGAAAACCTGCGGCCCGTCAAGTCCGACGTCGACCACGACCTCTCGTCGTGGTACAAGGACAACTCGCGCGTCTACGTGGCGGCCGACCACGCCTGCTGGGCCGACGCCGAGCTGACCAAGAAGGTCAAGAAGAGGCGCTTCGGGACGGTGGTGAGGAGCAGCGTGGTCGGGCTGAACCAGATGATGCACGAGCACGCCGCGGAGGCGCGCGAATGGATCATGAAGAGGGTCTCGAGTCATCCTGATGGGGACACGACTGAAGAAGATAATCCTTGAAGCGTTTTGAATTTTTTTTTGTCTTTGCCCCCATCTGCGGAGGACGCTGTGCCTCGTTCCTAACGGGGGCTGTTTTGCCTTATTTTCAAAACCCTTTGACTCCCCCCCCCCCCCTTTTTTTTTTTTCTTCTAACTTTTCTTACTACTACCATGACTTCTCCGAGTTGCAATGCTGCGATCGAGTTGCGTCGCTGACATGTCTCGTCCCTGTATTACATAGACATCTTTCTTCCAAATAATAATACGCATGTACGTGAGACGCCCACACCAGCTGTGGATGCCCCTTTCAGGAATTGTACCAGGCCGTCCGTCATCATCAGTCAGATCGCCCTCAGATTTCGCATTTCAGCCACACACACACATACACCCCGATATCCGGACGAGAGTCGGGATTTGGGGGGGGGGGGGGGTTGACAAATAGCAACGCCGAGGTGTTTTTGGCGTGAGCTTGATGATAAAGGGAGCGAGTCCCGTTCGATAGGTAGGAACTGCCAGAGAGGAGGCACGACGATAACTTGTGTGTTACATGTGCCGACGCTTCTGCCCGGCTTTGAGTGGGAGATGACATCTGGGACCCTTTGCCACGGTGGAGTCCTGAGTATACCTACTAGGCAGATGAATAAGGTACAGTATTTTGCCTGCGGGGCTCATCTTTTTCAAATAACCTTTTGCCTTGACCATGTATCCAACGGCATCTACATGAACATACAATCTTCAATGTTCTCGTGATAGTACCTACCTGGGTACATAGGTGGAGAGTACAAGAGGTATCGTGATGGAGCACAACAGACGAGCCGCAAAGTCCTTCCGTTGAAAACCCCCCCAAACTTGACCCATATATCTTCTTGTTTCCCGACATGGGGAAGCGTACGATATCATGTGTGCTAGTAATGGGGAATCTCGTCTCGGAGCTGGATTCGCCCCCCCTCTCTATGTATTTCTCCTCGTTTATCCCCACAGTCTCACCGGCGGCAGTCGATTCGGAAAGTCTGATATTACTGCTGAAATGTCCGTTTGTTGCCCCCCTTGTCGATGCCAAGTTATGCCCGCTCTCGTACTTGTACCAATGCGCCCAACTGGCCTGGGTGCTGCATTTGCTTGTCATCCTATTTGGAGCTGCTCTTATTGGCAGTTCGTGCGTGCATATAGTACCTAGGTATGTAGTCATCTCACCATCCACTAGATAGGCCCATGTATCGATTGTTTCTAACTCTGCATTATAATACTTGTAGTGTGCCAAGAGATGTTATAATGTCGTTCCATAGCTGGAGTGCTCATCAAAGCCTGTTGACATGGATCTTATAGTCTATAAGGCGGCCAAATCGGCGATTTGATGCCATCTAGTATGTACCTATCGACGCTCACCTGCCGCATCCTGCCTTTGCACCAACAGGAGCAGCCTCACGGGATACTGCATCTTGTTCGGTATACTAAACGAAACAAACAATGAAAACTATCAGATACTGAGCCAAGGATCTACTAAATGTCCTTCATACATTCATCAATCGTAGCTAAATCCAGGCTATCTCCGGCCGTATCTGGGTACTAGTAGTAGTAATAACATAGATCCTCGAAGGGCAGAAGAAACCCCACTCAAAGCCCGAACCCACCTGCTTTGGCTGCAACTACGAGTAACGGAGCAACGACCTGATTACCGCGATGTCTTCCCGGGCACGGCCAAGGCAAAGCGGCTCTTTGGTCCGCTCTGCAGGTTGGCCGCAAGATTGAGGAGCGAAAAGGGCCCACGGAGTGTTCAAGTGTTGATAGATGCATGGGTTTTGTATTTCGTCGGATAATTTGATTTCTTGGTTGACACTGTCTCTATGATGGGTGAGTCGGGCTACACTTGTCGATGCAAATTATCCGGCCAGTTCTTTCTGTTCTTCTCCATGGTCTGGCGCAGACACATATAGTCACGAGATGTTCAAGATGTCAAAAACTGATAATACCTACTTACATCATCATCTGCATCAGCTGAACGATCGCTAATACTGATACCCTCATCGTCCGTTGCGATGCATTCAATCCCTCCGCCAATCGCCCGCAGCCGGTTGGTCCCCCCTTCAGCGGCAAGTCACCGGTACCAACTGGGTAAAGAGCCCCTGCGGCTGCAATTGGTGGCCCTTCTGCACAATACGCATGTACCCTGTACCAACCCACCCCCCCAATCCAATCCACCCCCATGGCACTCCCGAGTTCCTTTGCCGTGATTTTAGTGCCACTTTTTGCACCTCTTCCCATGAACAGAGAGAGACAGAGAGAGACGGAACCCCCTCACGGATTCGGCCACTGCAGCCAGATCCAGATTCCCGTCTTCATTCCCGAACGGCTGCTCGTCTTCGGCATCATGGCCGGAACGTGGTTTCCTTGCTCCCTTTTCGCCTCCTCGGCACTTCAAGGGCTGCTGGGCTTGTCATGCCTTATATCTTATACCCGTCGTGCTGCTCGTCACTCTGCCATTACTGTCTCATGCCCACTGCCATCCTGGATTACTTGATGCCCTTGTCCGTCTTCTGCTACATTGGCTTACGTTGCATCTGCACCCATCCATCGTCAAGTTCTCTCTGCCAAAGCTGAGTCGCCGTTGAGCCAGCGAGCGAGTCGTGTCTTCGCCTCGAGTTGCCTCTGGCCTGTCGTTCGTTGATTTGGACACAGAGGGTTACCATGTCTCCTGCTCTCGTGTGTCAGGATGTCTCTCACAACTATGACGTCGGTACGGCCTCGCCGAGGATACCTCCAGTAGCTCTGCATCGGGGTCTTTGTACTGACTTGATATCGTCATGATAGTGATTGTGGGGGCCGGGCCCGTGGGATTGATGCTCTCTACATGCCTCTCCCGATGGGGCTACCGCGTAAAGCACATTGACAACAGGCCGGAGCCGACAGCCACCGGCCGGGCCGATGGCATCCAGCCTCGCTCGCTCGATCTGCTCAAGAACATGGGGCTCAAGTCCGCCATCATGGCGCACAAGCCCGCCCGTGTCTATGAAGTCGCCTTTTGGGACCCTTCGGAATCCGGCAAGGGCATCGCCAGGACGGGCACCTGGGCCAGCTGTCCCAACTTCATCGACGCCCGGTACCCCTTCACCACGCTGTTGCACCAGGGCCACATCGAGAGGGTCTTCATCGCGGACCTCGAAAAGAACGGCACCAGGATACAGCGGCCATGGACAATCACCGGCTTCCAGACTCGCAATCCTGAGACCTCGGAATATCCCGTGCAGGTCGAACTGGAACATGTCAACGGTACGGACAAGGAGACTGTTTATGCCAAGTACCTCTTTGGCGGCGAGGGTGCCAGGTCATTCATCAGGCAGCAGCTGAAGATTGGCGTCCAGCACAAGGATCCCATCGCCTATGTCTGGGGAGTAATGGACGGTGTTGTCAAGACTGACTTTCCTGACATCAAGGTGAGCCACTTCCAACCTACATTTTCTAAAGTCCTTTATGCTTTTCCCCCTTCATCCACTCTTGCACCGATCATGCTGATCCTCTTGTAGATGAAATGTACGATACGCAGCCCGCACGGCTCCATCATGGTCATCCCGCGTGAAGACAACATGGTTCGTCTCTATATCCAGATTGCGTCCTCCACGGACCCCGACTGGAGCCCGAGACGGACAGCCACCGAATCAGAGGTGCAAGCGTCAGCCAAGAAGATCCTGCAACCCTACTCGATTGAGTGGGAGCATGTGGAATGGTACTCTGTGTATCCCATTGGCCAGGGAATCTCAGACAGATACACTCTGGATGAGCGAGTCTTTCTGGGCGGCGACGCTTGCCACACGCATAGTGTAAGTGACGGCTCCAAACCTCCATGTTGCTGACAGTAAGTAATAACATGTCGACCGATATAGCCCAAGGCTGGCCAGGGTATGAACACGGCCTTCCTGGACGCGCTAAACCTGGCGTGGAAAATACATGCCGTGGAGGGCGGATTCGCGAACCGAGAAATCCTCAAGACGTACGAGTCTGAGCGAAAAGCGGTGGCGCAATCACTGCTGGACTTTGACAATCGATATGCGAAGCTCTTCTCTCAGCGGCCGCCCGCCACCTCCGAAGTCCAAGCGGCCTCGGAGGTCACGCACGATGCACACCCGGATACCGACAACGCATTCATCAGGACGTTCAAGGAATCGTGCGAGTTCACCAGTGGATACGGCGTCTCCTACCAGCCGAACGCACTGAATTGGTCGCCGGATCACCCGGCCCAGTCATCCCTCATGCAGCCGAAAGGCACCAAGCTGCAGTCAGGGCGCCTCTTTGTGATTGCGGACGTGACCAGAGTCGTCGATGCCAACGTCGTACACCTCGAGCAAGAGATTCCTCTCAACGGATCCTTCCGCATCTTCATCTTTGCTGGAGATCCAGTCAAGAACCGGGCTGCCGTCCGCGACCTGGCGGATCACCTGATCAACGCCAGCTCGTTCTACGCAGCCTACATCCGACCAGATATCGACGAAGTCTCGCACCATGAGAAGCACAACCCCCATAGCTTGTTCTTTACGCTATGTACCATCTTCGCGGCCAAGAGACATTGCATCGAGATTCAAAGAGATGCCCCAGGCGCGCTGGGCCGTTACCGCGACCACATCTACGCAGATGACAGATGGGACCGCCGTGTGCCTGACGCACGTGCACCGGCACACGCAAAGATGGGACTCGACGAGGAAAGCGGCGGCGTGGTTGTCGTTCGACCGGACGGCTATGTTGGCATGGTGGCGTCGTTGGTGGAAGGATCAGGCACAGTCGACGCCCTTAACGCGTATTTTTCGGCATTTTGCACCAAGAAGTTTGGAAGCGTTGCTGCTCAGCTGTAAAACTGCTGGGCGTGCTTGCGTGTCCATTTCCAGATAAGACACTCGCATCTCGCGTGTCAAGGCATTTGGTGTCGAAGATCTCTGTCCGGATGCTTCCCTTATACACAATTGCCGAATGTAGATTATGATTTTAATGAAGACGAAGGCAAATGATCGCATTATCTCTAACCTTGACTAGAGCATTGAGCGTACCTACTATCTATTGATTGCTGAGGGATCTGTGGTGATTGTAAATGACCCAATGAAAGCTCTTGTGTTGACTGCGTACGAGGTTCAACCACTCAGGGAGACGCTGAACTCGGCGGAAGTAGCGATGGAGAGTTCCCGGAGACTATATAGAGTTCCGGCGACTATATAAAAGCTTAAACGTACCTTCAGCTCTGGGAAACTGCTCGGTGCCTTGTAAAGCCAGTGTCAAGACGCCCAAATGTCTGCCCAGCACCTTCCCTCAACATACTTATACTTTCTATTCTCTCCGATACTCAAGTATGGCGCAAAGTAGAATACTGAGCATATCGACACACTGAGCGATGAATGCGTGCGTTGGAATCAAGGTACAGAGCCTCGGAAGAGGATGGGTAAAACATCCTCATTCAGCCTGACAACAATGCATCGATGTACAAAAAAACGGCTTCAATGACGTTGAGACGAAGGGCAAGTCGCCAGCCTTCTCATCGTCGAATATTGCAGGACCCACCGAGATCCAAAGCGGGGCCAATCAAGCTCTGGCGTCCGCCGCGAGGCTGCGATTTTGCGGGGGAGGAGATTGAGCCGGAGCTTTTCCGGGTGATTAACTTCGATAAAGGCTCCGCTAAAATTCCCTCCCCCAGCGAACCTTCCCTCTCAACTGCAACTCACCTGCCCTGCGCACCAGCGGCGGACGCAGTTTCCTTTGTGGCGTCACTCTCCCCCCAAAGCCTCCGAAGCTTTATCTTACTTCTTCTTTTCAACAAACCGCAAACCTTTTATTTTCTCTCCTTTTTCCTCTTCCTCAACGACAACAATTTATACTCTCCGTTTTGCCTCTATCTCCGGTTCCCCCATCCTCGGCAATATTATCGCATCGCTATCGCATCGCATCGCAGCATGCTTCGCCCTCCCCAAGAAGTCTATTTCGCACAGCTCGTTTCTACCACGCCGTCGCCTCAACAAGTCGTTTTCGTCGCTGCTGGCCCGAGATACTAGTCTTTCTCGCGCTGGCCCATCGTTGCAAGATTCCTCTCTTGCTTCTCTTCATACATTCAGGTATTTGCTCTTTGCTCATAGCACGCTTCGCGATTTCCATACTACGTTCTGCTTCTCGATACCCATACCAAGCTCTGCTTCTCGATTTCCATATCACAATCTGCTTTTCAAACCACATTCCACATTTCAAATACCAATTCACGTCACCACAATGCAGGAACTTCGAGTTACCAATACTTCGGAGCTCATCGCTCATCGCGTGTGTTCCCTAGCTGGAGACTCGAATCTTGATATCTTGGAGTATAGCTGACGCAGTGCCCTTAGGTTGTCACCCACCTCTTGCTTTTCATCGACCTGTGCATCGCCATGCCGCTCCTATACTTCACTCAATCTCTGCTCGTGCTGAGCCGATTCGGTGAGTTGTCTCCGTCAGATGGTATGAGCTCGCTAACTTCTTCCTCTAGTCTCGGATGTAGCATTTCAAGCTCATCAGGCTCTTCACAATGTTGTGGTGCTGTACAGGCAGTACGATGCGAAACTCGAGGAGGCGAGTCGAAAGGAGCAGGAGCAGCCCACCGCAGAGGCAGAGACTTCACAACCACCTGAGACGATGCCACCCTTCATGGTCGAAGACGACAGCAAGATGCTCAGCGACTCCTCCATTTTCGCCAGTTCCGACATCATGAGAAACATTGCCGCCTTCGAGGCCCCCGTGGACAACGCTAATGTCATGAACACGGCTATTTACAACAACAACGACGTTCTCACAGACGTCGCGGCTATCATTGCCCACAACGACAAGGGAAAAGAGAATGCCAACCCTCGAACCGCGCTCGACGAAGAGACGGAGGAGGATCTCTGGCTGAACCCCAATGTCTACGAGAGACGCGAACCTGAGCAGAGAGCCTACGAGGCACTCAAGTCGAAGTTTGGCCGATCCCGAGCCTCGCGTGTGTCACCTCTCCAAACCTCAGCTACATCAACAACCGATCCCCTCAAGCGGATCGACAACATTTTGACCACCTCATCCATTCGAGCCCTGGCTATCAGCGATGAATCGAAGGCTGAGATGCGAAACCTTCACCAACAAGTGGAAGAGGCTCGCCTTGCCGAGAAACGGAAGTCGCAGACGGCCGAGAAATGTCGCGAAATTCAAGCCAAGATGTTCGTCAGGAAGGAGGCGATGACTAGAGCATCCAGAGGGCCCCGAGAGATCATCCCCAACCTTTCTGAGGAATGGATCCAGAAGGTCTCTGACACCATCGGCGCTCCCGAGGGCACGGTCCTGGCCACGACATGCCAAGGCATCCCCCTCCGCCGACGCGATTTCATCACCGTTGTGGCAGCCAAGAGCTGGCTCAACGATGAGATTGTCAACGGCGCTCTCGCTGAGCTCGACAAGCAGATCAACCTCGCCAATGGCGTGTTCCTCTCCGAGACATACAAGAAGCGCAAGTCTCTTGTCCTCAATTCATTTTTCTGGCCCAAAATGATGGAGACTCGCGGCCGAGATTCTCAGAGATGGTTGAGACGAGCCGGCGTGTTTCCCTCCTCATTTCTCGATTTGGAAATCGTCCTCATCCCCATTTGCGAATCCTACCACTGGACCCTCCTGGCACTCAAGCCCCGACAGAGAACCGTGGTTCACATGGATTCCTTCAACAGATCCTCCACTCATCCCCAGCTGGCCATCGAATGGATGCGTGATCTCCTTGGCAAGGACTACACCGAGCCGTGGACGGTCGAGCACATCATGTCCCCCCCTCAAACCAACAGCTACGACTGTGGTGTTCACACAATCACAAACGCAATGTGTCTTGCTCTGGGCCTCGACCCCATGACGCACTATAGCTCGACACAGCTCTCCCTTCAACGGCTGCGAATCGCCGGAATGTTTCTGAATGGAGGTTTCGAGGGAGATTTCACCCTCTGGAGGGAATGAGCCTACATCTTGTTCCTGGTTTCCCTCTTTGCATCGTTATCACATTGTTTTCTTTGTTTCTTGTTCTTGTTTCTGCGATTTGGCGGTGGAAGTTTGCTTTCTAGCAAGGAGTTGGATGGAATTGGTTATACAGGCCCGAACAGGGCTGCTGCTGGTATGGTTATCATTGGAATGGGTTTTGTTTTGTGTTGCAATGGATTTTGTTTTCTTGGGGCAGGACAATGATCACTGCGGGCATATCTTAGGTCAGGCATAAATTGCCTTTGTTTTTGGTTTTTTGGTTTCTGGTTTTGGACAGCACGGGTTTCACTGCTGGTATATACATAGGCATGGCAAAGGATATACATTTCAGGCATGGGCATCATGAGGCCTTGGGGTAGATAGAAACAAGTTTACAATTACACAATGGTCTCATACACTTGCTTTCGCCCGTGACTTGAACTCAACCTGGGGACATCTTGGAGTGGAGGTGGATCAACGTATAATATATCAGGCTAGAATGCTATGATCCAGTCTGATTGGCCTCGGTGAGTGGCTGGAACCATCTCATTGACTGATGCCGCTTTGGCTGTGACCGCCCCGGCGGGCGATGATTGAGGGTAGCAACCGGCGGCCGCTACTGGGTTGAAGCGGAGTGGATTGAAGCGGAGCGGGCAAAGGGTGGGATGCGAGCACTAGACGAGCACACGAGCATTATGCATACTAATGGGTTGCATGGAAGGCAAGGTCGTAGAGTGAAATATTGGATTCGGTGAGGAGATTTATATATGCTACCTAGGTACCTTATGTCGGTGCAACCCTGTGGTTTCTGTATTACCTTTGGGGGAGCAAGGTAGAGTAGATAGTGATCTCGCCTGTGTTATGGTGCACATTGTGGTCTGCACTTCGTCCGGTAGACTAGCTAATAGAGCAGAGTTGACCGCCAAATGAACGTTTCGATTTGAATGTTGAATCGGATAAGGCGCAGCAGACCCGTTGTGTGCGCATATCCGAAGCCTTGTGTGGTCCGGGGATCTTGTAGACTCCCTTTTCTTGTGGTCATCAATTTGGCTGCATTCGGTGTACTGTAAGGTATGTACATCAATCTGGTTAAGCATCAGAAGTGCTGCTCCATACGGCACGTTGGCGGGATGTAATATGATACCGGCGGTATAGGTAGAAAAGAGACGCCTGGTCCAGAGCAAGGCTCAAAACCCAGGGAGCATGTAACTGTCAGCTCGGAAAACCACATAATAAGCACATCTGCCATGTCTGGTCTAGTCCCTTGCTCACAGTAGGTATTACATACTACTATATCCTCAGCACTATTGCTGCCCATCAGGGAGATGGCACCTCTATTATTAGCGCTCAGACTTCATGAGAAGCGTCCGGATAAGGTAGCTCAGGTCCATGGCTGTGCGAGCACACGGCACAAAGTAGAGGTGAAAGATACCATGTTCTACTACTCCTCGTTTTTGCCGTTCAGAGACGCCTGCATACTGACCGGTACCTGGGTATGGAGAGAAGTGGACATGGAATCAACCAGTAGAAATGACAAACCAGGCAGTAATACATACAGGGTCTTGCTCGCCCTTTGTAAGTCGAGCAAGGGACGAATGCCTGCTAAATCGACAGAATGAAGCGGTGTACAGTAATACACCAGCATGGGATCGATTCTCTTCTCCTTTGCTGTTGGTGCTGTTGTGTGTCTGAGTCGGGCAGGCCGGTGAGACACACGAGCAATATTGGTTGGGAGGCAAAAACCGTTCTGCTAAAACTCGTACCTACCCGTAGGCCATCTTGGCCTCCCTTCTATCCCGGTAGCCGATGAATCTTTGCTGCGACAACCCATGGAGGTGATTACTAGTAGCCTGTGCCACTCGACCTGTTCCTTTTCTTTCTCGTCCCTCTTCGTGTTCCGAGTTTGCCTACGTGGCCGTGGCAGCAGCTGCACAGCGGCAGGTTGCATAGTTTGGCTGGCTTGGTGTGAGTCGTCGTGTCGCACTGGCTTCTTAAGCTCGGTGCGCCCCTAGATGCAAGGAGGTCGTCTATACGTGTAGCGACTGATGCTTCATGACCACGATTGCAGGCAGAGCATTGGTTGCAAGCAGCACGCACTGAATCATAGGGAGCAGAGCAGAACAGCAAGACAAAGCAAGGGGTATTATGTCTTGTGTGTGTGTTTCGTGCAATGCGCTGCATCGACATGTGATGTGACGTGCGCAGGCCAACACCATTTGTGTCCCAGGTTTCTTCAAAAGTTGTCCAACCTGTACTTGACGATACGCACAAGATACGACTGGTGTCGACCACCTGAGCCAGACTTGCCAGAGCCGGCAAGTATCTGGAGGTAGTTCCTCCGTAGCCCGTCCGCCCTACCTCAAAGTTGCCCAGTGCCCAGGTCCACCGCATTGGGCCCTTGTGCGTGTTGGCGGCACGTTGCATCGTCATGACATTGGCGGCGTCGAATCGTCATCCCAGCCGTGGCACGATTCAGGCCCAAGGGATGTGACGAGTCGGCAGAGCCACAGCCACCCAATCATTGTCGGGTGACGCGCTGCCGAATGGGGACGCGCGCCCTTTTGCTCGGGGCAGGGATCACCAGCTTGCTGAGGCTTGTCTTTTCTAGCGCCATTCTAGCGGCCTCGGCGACACTTTGGGGGTGAGACCAGCACGGACGAGACACGTTTGACAGCGCAGGTTTTTTTTTTTTTTTTTTTCTCTTCTCTTCCCTTTTTTCTCCCCCTTCTTTTTCGTGTTTCGCCGGCTTCCAGCAGGCTTCTAGTGCCGTCCGTCTCTTGCCAGTTGGGGGAGTCGCTGTCGCCGACTGGCCGGGTCGGTGCTTGCTGCTGCCCCATCTCACCAAGGGTACCTTGTAAGGTAGTGAGTGCCCCGGTGAACTGAACTGCCATGACCGATCTATCCGCCGGGTACGAAACAATACCTGGCCGACACGAGCGGGCAGCGCAGGCCGGTCGCGCTCTACCAGCGGTCAGGAAGTCCACACAGGTACCCCGCAGGCTCCGTCTCTCCCTCAGGTCTGTCTGTCTTTCTCTCTCTCCTCGCCCGGGTCCGTCCATGTCGCGCCTTCTTCTCTCGACTCGACGCTCGCTTCGATCCCTTCAGCGTCACCCACTCTTTCCTCCCCCTGCTGCGGGTACACAGCGATGGAATAGGAAGCAACTGCCCACTGATGCTGGAAATCACCAGACTCACCCACGGCACCGCATTTCCCCCCGTGCCTGCCAACCTGCAACCTGCAGCCGGTATCATTGCAACCTTGCACACCGAGGTACTGTGTACGCCGCGGTGAAGAGCATCTACGGCGCCGCCCGAGGTACCGCCAGACTGCCAGGTACTTGGAACGGCAGTGCACAGCTGGAGCAGCTTTGGGAAGAGATCTCCGTTTCGGCCTGCCTGTCCTCCGCTTTCGTGCAGCTGGGAGGGGGAAGGGTTAAAGACGGCTTTCCGGTCAAGAGTGCAAGCGCTCCTTATTCAGGAGCTAGTAGTACTACTACTATTCTATTCTTCCCTTTCACCTTTGTTGGCTTTGTTCTCAAAAATTTTCCCTTTCAAAAGATGATGCTAGAAAATAAATCCCCGCTGCCAGTGCTGAACGGAGAAACTATTGGGCATGAAGCATGCTAGGCGATGCCGATGCTCTAGTACAAGTAGACGCCGATATTTGAGTTTGCATTGCCATTGCCATCTTTTTTTTTCCGTCCCTTGGCCTTCGCCCCCCCAACCCGAGCGAAGGAAAGAAGGGGCGGAGAAAAAAATAGAAGGAACCACAGAACGACTTCTGACGAGAACGACTAGTCCTAAGCCGACTAGCGCCATGCACAAAGCGCCAGACCGCGAGGTAAACCTACAGCACCCCAAGGCAGGAGCAGGGCCACTGCCGCCCACCTTCCGATCCCCGATAGGCCTCGATGCTGATTTAGCTCGCAGCCACCAAGTTCCGTCTCCACCTGCCTTGTGCATCTTGCTCAGTGCCTTCCAGGTTCTGCCCCCGCCACCCAGCGAGATGCCCGGCCTTGCGCCTGCCACTACAAGTACAAACGATAACCTGCGGCTCTGTACAAAAGACGTGTATCGTGCTCGCGCTCGTTTCTTGATCTTGCTCTCACCTGCTCTCTCATCTGCTCTGGTCTGCTTTCTCTCTCTCTCTCTTCTCTGGCCATCTTCGCTGCATTGCGTTCGGATACTTCGCTTTCCACGAGCTTGGAATCTTTCTGCACGCCAACCTGCACGCCACCCGCCATACGATCCGTCCTCACCGCCGCCGTTTACTTTGCCTGGTCGTCCTCGAAGCCTCGCTCGTGACCATCAGCCGTATCCCACTGCTCGCTCGGCTTCCGCTGTGCATGATTTGTTAATCCACGTCGACTCGAATCTTCCCCTTCTGGTTCCTCTCCTTTCCAAAAGTCAACTTTCCTCGCTGGCCCGGTGGATCCCATCAGGATTACGTGACCGTCTTAGAGTTGGGCTGGCTTCATTGCTGAGTCTGAGTTGAGCTGTGTAGCTCCGCCCGCTTCCGGCTCGGCATTGTCATTCAGTCCCGGCTCGCACGTCGCCCATTCACTGTGGTTGCGTCGTTCCCGGATGGTCCAGGACGCTCGGTAGCCATCCCCTCTTGTTGGATCGACCATTTCCGCTTCATCCTCCGCAGTGCAGATATAACTGTGGTGCTTTCCCAGGCTTCTTCTGGCAAGGGCATGCCGAGGGCGCTCTCGCCAGGAGTCTAGGGATTCGCACATTGCAAAGTGGCACGCTTGTGCCATCTCACCAAGAATGGTGACTCCAAGGATACGACAGCCTCTTGGAGCCCTCCTCACACTCCCGAAGCAGCAGCCACGGCCCTTGTCTGCATTCGAAGACTTCCATGACTCCTCCTACACGCCGCACTCACGCCCGACTAGCTTCACCTCTTCGTCCGAAGCATCATCACCCCGGCACACCATGACGGGTCGTCCGCCGACGCTCAACGAGATTCTTCTCGACACCGCTCCCCCGCCATGGACACTGAGCGCCTTCATGGCCTATCTCTCGCAGAACCACTGCATGGAGACGCTCGAGTTCACGCTGGACTCTCAGCGCTATGCCACCGTCTACGAACAGACCCTTTCCGAACCCAACCCCTCGGATGACTGTAGGGAAAGGGTGTGCGCATGGTGGGAGAAGCTGATGCAGGTTTACATAATACCATGTGCGCCGCGCGAGGTGAACATTCCTGCTCAGGTTCGCGATCGCCTCCTGCGGGTGCCCTGTGGTCCAGACCCTCCTCATCCCTCCGAGCTTGCCGAAGCTGGACGCATCGTATACGAACTCATGAACGATTCGGTCCTGGTCCCTTTCTTGCAATCCGTCGCGACCCCCGCTGCCGATTTCCATCATGATTTCCACGTTTCTTCGCCCAAGGCATCCTCTGACCGGACATCGGCTTCATTGGGTACGGATCCGGAGACGTTAACCGCCGACAGCAGCGGCACTTCCCCTTCAATCACGGAGCCCATGACGCCGCCTACAACACCACCCACCTCCGAGTGGACTTTTCCTGCTTCTCATGGGGGCTTTCACCGGGCCGTTGCAGCGCATAACAAGGGATGGAAAAAGGTTGGCGCAGCACTGGGGTTCAACCGCAAGAGCTCTAGCCGGCGAACAACGCCTACCTCTTCCGGACCAGAATCCGGGGAATCGAGCCACAACTCTAGTGGCAACTCGCTATGAAGAAGCTCTTCGTGTGTATCAATGGCGCCAGTTTGGAGCTTGTCTGTTGGCGTCGTTATGAGGCACTGCCGAATAGCTCGCTAGGGGTCTCAGATTGATACCCGGACATGGGACTTCCCCGCGATTGCTCGGCCATCAAGCGACGCTATATCGCCAGGGTCTAGCTTACCTGCGGGGTGCGATACCTGCGGCAATGCAGCGTGGGGAATGGCCGACTCTCGGACCTTAACCTTTCATCCCGACTGCCCTTTATCAGATACGCTGATCCGATGTATCAGGGGACTTGCGCCATTCCTCGCTTCATCTCTGCTACGCACCCATACTCTCATCACCGGCCAGACTTTGCTGGCACGTCCAAAGCATTACAAGATAGATACCCGCATCTCATTATCGTGTCCCGCGGCGGCGGGATTGTAAAGAATTCTCGGGGCCAAACCTGCGGGGCACTTTAACCCCCCCCCCCCCCCCCCCCCAGCCGCCTTCCACCTCAATAGACTACCCTCATGCGAGCGAGTTATTCAGTTTACGATTTCATGGGAACCACGGCCTTTTCACAAGTGGAACGGAGTTCTTCAGGGTCCTCACGGTCAGGATATACATTGTGACGGCGTTTTTCTTTATTTGGTTTTTTTCCTTTGTTCTATCATGTCGGTGCCGGTCAACGGGTTATCAAGGCGTGCGAGCTCGGATGAATTATGATATCTCTCTTCTTCCCAAACCCTCTTTTCTTTGTTCCAAGGGTTCGCAGTGAGCCTAGGCTCTGCGGCGTATGACACTCTACTATTTCTGTCAATAGAATATGAGAGGGATGACCAACAAATAAACGCCCGCATGGGTCATGATTTCTGATATTTCAGTGCCAAACGAGTCACCGTGTGCATCAAACCAGAGCTACTGTTGTCCATACTTGTCAACTGAGTGGATGCAGGCGAAGCGGCGCGGGCAGCATACAAGAAATGGACCATGGCTTTTCTACTATGTTACACTTCCAGCGTCGACAATTGCCTGCTGGATCCCGATCTATCGCCTTTATCAGCCCGTCTTTTCAACAAGACAGTCGCTTTCCCGAACTATATGTGATACAACACGTCTAAATCGCCCGATGATTTCGTCGCCTTCCCAGAATCACCTTCCTTTTGTTTGCTCCCCCAAAGCATGCTTCATAATGAATTCAGGGACATAAGAAATCCCTGGGGCCCTAAATTCTGATCATCCATCTGTCTCGTCTCAGTATATTCGAGAACCATCTGATAGAGGTAGTCGCTCGAGGAAGGTCGCAAGATACATGTCCGTGAACTCTTTTGACGTGCAAAATCGAAATGTGCTAAGTAGCACTTGGAAATGCCAGAAACAAAAAGAAAACTCCCCATTGATTTCTTTTCCCTCCTTTGAAGATAGCCAAAGAAGAAAAACTCCCTGATTGACAACCCATTTGTCGTTTTAACACCTCGCCCCCTTGATCTACGGGTAGAATGGCCCGTTTCTCGGCTGGGGAGAGGAGGCTTGGTAGCGACCGGTTTGGGCCGGCATCTCGTTGAGCGGTAGTAGAGGCGTTCCGGCCCGGGACTGCGTCATGAATTTCGCACTTCGGTCGGCCTTGTTGCTCTCGTTGGTCCTGTCGTAGAGATACAGGCCGAGGAAAGTGAGGGCAATGCCCACGGCTTGCACGGAGGTCGTCGGGCTCCTGAACCAGATAATGGCCATGACGATGACGAAAACGCGCTTGATGAGGCTCGCAACGGAGTAGGTGACAGGGGAAACCATGGACAATAGGATGAAAGCGATAATGTTCTGTCCAAAGTGGAAGGTGCCGTTAAAGATGAACTCCAGCGCCAGTCGGCCGTGATCCATGGAATTCGGCCTATCAGTAAGGTCTACGGACCCATCACGGAGGAAGTCCATGAGTAGGGTGGTGCCCTCTGTCCAGAACCATATCGGCAATGTCAGGGCAAAGGCCATGCCGGACGAGTAGCATAGCAGATTAAGCTTGTCGAGCTTCTTGGACTGGGTTCCCACGCCGTCGGCCTCGACTTTTGCGGCCTCGTTGAACAGCTTCTTCGAGAAAATGTTTTGTGTGACAAAAATGAGCGTTGCCAGGAGCGCCTCCAGAACGCCAAGCAACTGCCCGCCATAGTGGGACTCGCTGGAGCAAGCCAGCATGACGCCTATGGTCAGGGGGATCAAGGAGAGGTAGGTTGCGGTCGGGTATCGGATGTTGTATATGAGTCTATATGCGAGCACGGTAAAGAGCGGCGAAAGGCCCTTGATGGTGTGCACGAGCGAGACCGGGATCTTGGCCGTGGCAGTCGAGCTGAGGAGGTGGCCGCCGATCTGGAAGAGGGCGAGGGGCAGCGTGGTCATAATGACTTCCCGGCTGGGCTCGCGGATGGGGTGTCGCAGCGCAGAAATCCTGGTTCGGAGGACGGGGAAGACGCTGGCCAGCCAGGAGAGGAAGACGCAGAGAGAAGAGACAAAGGCAAACTGGATCAAGGTCAAGGTGGCCGGCATGTCAAAGGCGTTGAGGATGGACTTTGACGATGTGTTGGTCAAGGCGGATGACGTGTACCACATCAGGCAAAGCATCTGCGCAAGAAGAAGAACATTAACCTCCGCGTTGCATGACAAAAATCATACACGAAGACAGGGCGTGACATACAACAAGCTTTGGAGATACGGGGGCTCGCAGCGCATCGGCAATTTCGTGGGCGTTTTGGCTCATGCTGCCTTTTCTCGCGCGAATCGTCCGAAAGGCATCGCCAAGGCTCTTTTGACGGGTGTGGGAGCGGCCCGACGCCGACCACGTATTGGCCGCCGGATATCCATTGAGATTGCCATTGCCATTGCCATTGATGCTTCCGTTGCCGTCCCCGTTGCCGTTCGCGGGCGTCGAGCCCAGATCGTTCAAGCCATTGCTCCCTGGATGTGGTGGGCTCGACAGGCTCGGGAACTTTTCCATTACGCAGCGGCCCTATAGATGATGCCTCGCTCGAGTACTTGGAGATCTTTTCTTGGTTGCGCAAGGCTTCGGCGAGCGTTGTTGATTGTAGTAGCTTCGAGATGCGCAAACCGCTTCAAGCTGGCAAGACGGCGATCCGAGGGCAACGTCAACTCTGAGGCGGTGCTTTTCTGGGTTACGCCGCAACGTCAATTGACATTTGGAGCAGGGGAGTGAAACGAGAGACTGGGCGCAAAGGGTAAGCCGTCCATTACCACGACAGAGCCATGCGAGGTACTCGACTGCTCCCAGGGAAGAATGAGACTCGCGCAACAGGTGAGAAGAAGAGAAAAGTCGCTATCAGACTATGAGGGGGAGGAAGAGGAAACCAAAATACGAGGGGAGACACAAGATATGGCAGAGGTGTGGAAAGGGGATCGCCGGCGCGGCGGCAGGTTCGCTCAGGTCACTCAAAGGTCCCTATTGCCGGACAGGAGTGGCCGCCTTAGCGAGTGCCAGCGCCACGAGGGAGCCTCTGTGCTACACTCGGGCGGCCTGTACTCGCCGGTACTTGCAGATACCAGCCGCGCGTTTATCCGAACCTCTGCCGACAGCCGCGCGCCCCACTGCCTTGACGCGCCAGCCTTGGCACGACACGATCGGGTTTAGCTGCTGCTTGTCCATTTCTTTTCTGAGCAGCCAGACCAACTTCCTTCATGCCCTGCTGCATCATCCTTCTTCCCTCTCTCTCCATCTCGTCCGCCTCCTCTGCGCCTCTCCCACGTGCCGACTCGCTCCATCTCGCCACTACAGCTGTCAGGCAGGCCCGACCTCGTCCATTGGCCTGACCGACCGACCGAGTGACCCGACAGATCGAGCCTCGACAGCCTCGCTTTTCTTCGAGACTCGGCCTGTCCGCCGCGGCATGGGAAGAGATCCCAAGCAATACGTCGTCGCTCTCGCGGGTCTCTACGCCTTCTTCCAGCTCCTCACCCAGGCAGCTAATCCCGCCGCCTTTCCAAAGTCCAATAGCCTGTCGCCAGGCGCTGCTTCACCATGGCGGCCCCAAAGATGACCAAGAACCAGATGCGGAGGGCCAAGAAGAAGGAACAGAAGAAGGCCAAAGCAGATGTCTGTCCCCGTGCCCCATGTGCTTCCGTCACGTATCGCAAATGTGCTGACCTCGATGCAGAACCAGAACTCCGATCAGCCGGACCAGCCAACCGCAGACAAGAGCGACGAATCGCCACAGCCGACAGATGGTGTCGATGAGAAGAGCGCAGCCGACGCGGCCAAACCATCCGCTACCGTCACTATTGAGCCCATCCGAGAAGATCTGCTGGACGATGATCCCGCGTTTGCCGCGTACAGAGACGTATTCAACAAGTTTGGTCTTTCCTTTGCGGAAGACCAGATTGCCAAGGAGGCCAATGCTGGCAACCAAGGCGACGTTTTCTTCGGCGATAACGACGATATTCCTGATGAAGAGGACGAGAACCCTAGCCAGCCAAAGCTGTCCAAGAAGAAGCGAAAACAGATGAACAAGCTTACCGTTGCACAGCTCAAGGCACTTGTCAGCATACCGGAAGTGGTTGAATGGCAGGATGTATCATCGTCGGACCCACGGCTCCTGGTTCAGATCAAGGCCCAGAGAAACGTCGTCCCTGTACCTTCCCATTGGGCTATGAAGAGAGAGTACTTGTCTTCGAAGCGAGGAATTGAGAAGTCGGCGTTTCGGCTGCCAAAATTCATCGCCGAAACGGGAATTGCAGAGATGCGTGACGCGGTATTGGAGAAGCAGGCCGAGCAGACGCTGAAGCAGAAGCAACGAGAGCGCGTCCAGCCCAAGATGGGAAAGTTGGATATTGACTACCAGAAGCTCTACGACGCCTTCTTCCGCTTCCAGACGAAGCCGGAATTGACGCGGTTCGGCGAGGTCTACTACGAGGGCAAGGAGAGCGAGGTCGACTATCAGCACTTCCGTCCTGGAGAGCTGAGCGATGCCACAAAGGAAGCACTCGGCATGCCGCCCGGGGCACCTCCTCCTTGGCTCATCAACCAGCAGAGATTCGGCACACCTCCCAGCTACCCTACGCTGAGGATACCTGGCTTGAACGCGCCGCCGCCTCCTGGAGGATCATGGGGCTTCCATCCTGGCGGCTGGGGCAAGCCACCAGTGGACGAGTTCAATCGTCCGTTATACGGCGGCGATGTCTTTGGTCTGACCGCGCCAAACGGTGCTGCTGGCCAAGCACAATTGACGCAGCCCCAAGCAGCCAACGGAGAGAACGTGGAGCGTACGCTGTGGGGAGAGCTGCAACCACGCGAGGAGGAATCTGAGGAGGAGGAAGAAGAATCCGAGGAAGAAGAGGAAGAGGACGACGAGGGTCCCGGCGGCATCGAGGATGTCAGCGGGCTCGAGACCCCTGGAGGATACACCAGCACGGTGCAGCCCGATTATTCACAGCAAGGAGTCGAGACATCTATTGCCGGCGAGATGGACCTACGAAAACAGCGACGTGGTTACGAAACCGAAGAGTCATCTGCTCCGCGCTCCGCCTACACGGTTGTGCCTGAGCGGCAGGTGCGTGCCGAGGGCTTCTTCGGCAGCGATCGCGCATACGACATCAGCGCCGCCCAGCGCGCCGCAGCGTCTGGCATACCCGTGCTGGGCGCCGACGACGACTCTCGGAAGCGGAAGAAGCCCGGCGATGTGGACGTCGCGATTGACGTGGATTCGCTCAACCAGCAGGGCGGTCTGAGCAAGGACGACCTTCGGAGCAAGTACGAAGCTAGCAACAAGGCGGAGGGCATCGGTGCGAAATGGGCCTACGACGATGACCTGAGCCAGATGATTGCGGAGGAGAGCAGAAAGCGGCAGCGCACCGAGAAGGAGCTCAGCGAGAAGAAGCGGGAGGGCAAGTACAAGTTCTAATTTAATACCAAGGAACGGTGGGGGAGGCAGCATGATGTATCGGGTGCAAACTGGACACTGGAATCAGGAACAAAAGGGATGAAGGTAGCGTTTGAATGACAAAATGTACTCTTGATTTCCGTCTATATCCACTGCAGATGCAGAATTCTCAGGCTGTGGATATCGGGTATTCGGTCATGTCGTGTAGAATTGTACAGGCAACTCGAGGTTGTGTCAGATTTTTTTTCATTCTGTTCTTCATTTGAGTATTGTCTATCTGAACGTGATGCACATCATGATCATAACTCATGTGGAGGCAGCCAGCCTTTCCCTCAGCCAGAAACAGACTAAAAGGTAAGTACATGATATATCACCCTTCGTCTTCTTCCACCCTCCATCGCGGATTTGAGTGTATAGGACGACGACGAGAAGTGCACCCATCACGGCGTGCCTTTCCCATCACTTGCGACGCCGACCACGAGATCGAACCAAGCATTTGCATTCCTCTTCAGATTCCTGAAGCCACCAGGGTATTCGGAACGGAGGATCCGGCCCGCCTGGGGCTTTAGGGCCGTCTGATGGTTGTTTTTGACCTGAAGAATCTTTTGAATCTGGTGAATATTTTGGACCTGATGGTTCTTTTGGACCCGATGAATCTTTTGGACCCGATGAATCTTTTGGACCTGATGAATCTTTTGGACCTGATGAATCTTTTGGACCTGATGGTCCTTGTGGATCTGATGAATTTGTTGGAACTGATGTACCTGGTGAAACTGACGAACCCGATGAATCCTTACTCTTTGAATCGTCTGTACTGCTCGGCGTCTCTACTTTGGCTTTCGTATCCTAGGCTAATTTGCCTGCGTAGCACGCGTTACAGAGCCAACGGTCCTTGTTGTCAACCGGCATGGCTGCTTCCTGTTGTATGCAGTCCGAGTGGTATAGCCTACGAGGGCAAGCCTATAAAGTTTCATTAGCATGTTGTTCGAGGAGAAAAAACATGGGAACGACGTGAGGGTGAGCGGTACCTTGTTGTAGCAGACCAGCAGTCTGGGCCCCAGGACCGGAAGCTGGCAAATGGTGCAGCCGTTTGAACCTTTGCGAATTTCCGTGGCTCGGGGAGACTGCTTTGGGTCCACTTCTGCGGGCTCGACGTTGCCGCTCTCACTGCTCAGCTGCAGCCTCGTTCGAGCATCGTTGATGTGGGAAAAGGCCTCCTGCATGGTCTTGTCATCTAGCATATCACGCACTCGGAGCAAGCTGGCGTGCTTGCCGAATTCCAGTACACGTTGATCAGCGGCAACAAGCCAGGCCGCCTTCTCCCTGACAAAGCCCAGCCAGGCGCGAGGAAAGTAGGCGGCAGAAGTGAGGCTTTGGCGAAGAATATATCCATCCCACTCCCAAATGTACTCCTTCTCCGCGGGGGTGACGTCGGAGAAGTCGCTCGTGCTCTCCCGATGTTTCTGGATGAGCCACGTCGTGTCTAGGACTCTCTTCGGCACCTCTTGACCTGGCATCAGTCGTGCTCTGCTGATGGGGTCGAAAAGAGGCTCTTTGATGTTGGGCACCAGAACCTTGTCGCTTTTGGGGTCCCCAGGGCGCCGCTGGGCCAACCGCGGCTGCGTGGCGACCGGCGATCGGAAATGCTGTCCTTCGTCGACATTCTTGCCTGGGGAGGTGAAAACGTCATCAACTGTATCCGGCCCAAGCCGTGAAGAGACCCATGACAGGTCGCCGTTGAGATGAGTTTCCAGGTTAAATGGCCTGACGGGTGGCTTTATCTGGTACTCCTTGGAGGGGGATGATATAGACTCGCAGCGGCTAGTGACTCGGAACTGTGGTCCCTGACTCGTCGTCTCGAGCACGTAGTTGTATGCGGTGTGTGAGGTTTGCAAGTGGAATTGCAGTTGCTGCATCGACCTGTTGTGGACTCCGCAAGTCACACAGCGGTAATAGTTGAGGCAAACCGGTTGATCAGGAGGTAGCAGATAGCTAACGCGGCCCTCGCTCGGGGTGCCGTGGCTGGACTGCGACCGTCGCTTCCTTTCCCTTCCCTGAGCTTGGTCGCTGAGGACTTTCAAATTATACACCTTGGTGTTTTTCCGGTTTCTCAACGCCCTCGAAGGGGTTTGCGCTCCGTCTGGGCCATCCAGGCCTTCGTCGTCCATCTCGACAGACGATTCGTCCACGTGATGGCCGTTGACGCCTGGATTCCTTCCATTGATTGCATGATCCAAAAAGGGGTCGGAGTCGGGGTCCACAGCGTTGATGCATGGCTGTGACCCCTTATCCAAGTGCCTCACTGCTCTGAAGCCGGATTCCCAGCGCAAATCAAGATCCATGACATAGTCCGTATGAACTTCAGGCCCATGCGCTGAATGGCCTGCGGACAAGGTCAAGGGACTCTTGAGGCTACCATAGATCTGTTCGCATTGGCTTGATAGGACCCATGCTCTGCCGGGGGCCGAGGAGAGGCTGGAGGAGGCTGGAATGCCGAAATCGCTTGCGTCCAACGGCGGCCAGGGCTCATCACGAGTAGCCTCCAACTCGACCACGATGCGGTAGGAGTCTGCCAGGTCAAACGTGTTATCATCCGGCCGGTTAATGAGGAGGCTCTCCTGGGGGATGTAGAACGGCTTGGGCAATGCGATGCGGGCGACTCGGTGAGGGCCCACAGGGTTTTTGAACGTGGTCAAGTCGCATACTTGGCTCTGGCAGTGGAGAGGCCGAGTATAGCCGGAGCCAAGTTCGTAGATGGTGATCCTGCAGCTAGCTTTGGTGGGAGTTACCTCGCGAGGGACGCCGTAGGCTTGGTAGGATCTGACCTTTTTGGAGTCCTTGTGGGCAATTTTGAAGACCTCGATCTTGAGAGCAGATCTCGAGTCGGAGGCGCGCGGAGACGCAACGAGACGGTCGGCATCAATGGAGCCGGAGGACGAGAGGCGCCGCCTCTTGAGGGGCGGGCTGTCGTCATGGTCGATTCGGTGTGAGTTTTTGTGGATGGGTGAGGACACTATGTTGCCCATAGCTGCAGAGTCCTTCAAGGCTCTGGCGCCTTTGATCCAGTTGCGATGAAGAAAGGGGGCTCGACGCTGACACCTAGTTTTCACCGTCATGGCGGGATGAAGCCAATCATGAGAGAAGAAGACGGACAATGAGAGAGGGTGAATGAGCCACAACCCAGATGACGCCGAGCGAGGTAAACAACGAAGGCTGGCGTAGGAGAGAGAGGGAAAGAGAATGAAAAAAAAAAGAGAGAAAGGGGAAATGAAGAAAATACAAAGGAACGAGAAAGTGGCGAATGGTTGGCTTTAGAGCATTGTTGAACGCAGCTGGCCTCGTTGCCGCAGGATTGCAAGAGCGTCAAAGTTGGTGATGCTGGAGATGCCGGCTGTTGATTGTGAGCGGCGGGTGAGAAGAGGATGAGATGCCGGCAGACCTGAGCCGGGCCTCTTTTGTGACTCCGCGCCCAAGAACGACAAAGAAGCGTCTGTAGCAGCAGACAGTATTGGGTGCTTTTTTCCAACAGCAGAGCGAGGATCGTGACGGGGGGGCGCAAGTGCCGAGATGCGACAGAAGGCTGAGGCGGCGCGACGGGCTGCTGGAAAGGAAGCAGACGCGTGAAGGGACTTGTACAAAAGGTAGATGAGACCAACGGGAGGGCAAACGGGGGTGAGAGCTGCCGGTTGGCATCGCGGCCCAGAACAGCCTAGCGCCAGCGGACCTTTACCTGAGCTCTATACGCTAAGTACCTAGGTAATCAATTGGATCGCCTGTAGCCGCTGTAAGGAGCCTGTAGTAGCCCGCTGTAATCCTGCAGCACAGCACTGGAGTGCCATCCATGGGGTCAAACAGGCGGTCACGGTCAGCACTTGGTGATACTAGTACCAAGGTAGTAATATGAGGTAGGCACAGTGCCTGTCAAGACAAAATCGGCCCGCTTACAAGCATACTAACTGCAGCTGTCATGCCTAGTACTAGGTACCTATGCGCAGATCATGGCAACAAAGGCGGGTTGCCTCGTGCATGAGAGACAAACGTTGGATAGAGACAAAGAGGCAACGAAAGGTGACTCGGGACAATGTCCGATAGGCGCTGGGAGTTTCTTGCAATCTTGTTTTTGATTCCCGCCATCATCATGACTCTCTTGTTCAGCGCTCACAGAATCTCCGCAAGTCATGTATATGCTCATGACGGCGAGATCATGTTGTCTAGACGCCGAGGCGTTTGGGCCCGGCAATTATGGGTTCATGACTCTGCAGTGTCCCTGCTGTCAAAGATGCAACTCTGGGCCGTGGACACTCACGCACACACACGCACATGCCTCACTCATGTGATGCTCTATAACATCCTCGCACATACATATCGACTTACTAGTACCCAGGCATGCATAGTATTGCCCTCCTGTGCAGGGTCGCCGCATGGCGCTAACGCAAGGTCCAGATCTGGCAGTATACATGTAGAGTCGAGGATGTTGACCCAACGGCTGCTGCTCAGCTTTAGGTACCTAAGGTAAGGTAGTAGGTAGTGGGGGAACCGACTCCGAAGTCCGGTTCGATAAATGCATCAAGGTATCCATGGCGTTTCTTCTGCAGCTTCCAAGGTTGTTTCTGCAGAGTATCCCCAGCACTGATCTCCTAGAAGCATTCAACTGAAATTGGAAGTCCTTTAACGTGTTTCTCACTTCATTTTACATGATCGGGACACACATCCTGTAGGCAAAAGATCTCATCAATCGAATAAACTGTAACCAAGGTAGTACTCGAGAGCACCAGCGTGGATGCTTGCGATCGGAGTGCGCAGATCTCGCCTGCGTTTGCAGGTACGGACACTACTAGTACTCGTACCGCATTGATGCATGGCGATGCGCATCAAGGCTCTCCGCATTACGCGCACCCCCGATCTGTGGACGGCGCCTCTTTGCTCGCTTATAATGACAAGGTACCTATACAGGTACCGGTACAGGCACATGTAGTACCTTACAGACCATGGATGCATTAACGCACTGTTGACGTTGCCGCTACCGAGCCTGTCGTTCAACTCTTTCAGTCACCCGCCTAATCAATCAACCACCACCACCAGCCGCGTCCCGATTCCTCAAAGCGCTGCAGCAGGCTTCAATCCGGCGCTGGGCTTAACGGTAATCCAATGCCTACCTAGCAAACTCTAACATGGTGGGATCAAGGCTGGCTGTGCATGTACATACAGTGCCAATCACCTGCGTCTGGCAGCTTCCAGTCCGGCCCTGCCATTCATTGCTTCCGGACAACGGTGGACCCCTTCCGAGCTTCACTCTCCCTCCTCCAAGCCTGTTCGTCTAGCAACTCGACTCACGCACAATCCGATTCAATCATCCATCCTGTCATTCAGGAAATCACCAATGTCTTTCTCTGCTCTGAATTATCGGTTTGATCCATCAATTTGAACCAGGACCAGAACCAGAACCTGAATCAGAACCACAATCACCTTACTCAGAACTCACAGCCTTGCCACGCCACCCGCTGCAGCTGAACGCGCATCCTCGCCGCTGCTCAAGCACACACCAGCTCTGTGAACCAGACAAGCGTCCAGACGCTACGATGCCACTTACGCGCAGCGCTGCCGGCCACCGTGCCGCAGCCCACAAGGGCAGCCAGAACCCTCGGCGAAACCCAAGTCGCCAGTCCACTGCCGTCGCTCGCCCAAATGCATCGCGGGCGGCAGCCAAGTCCGGAAGAGCGCGGCCTGTCTACCGAGACTCTTCTGATACTGATGATCCAAGTGAAGCCGAGTCTGCGTCGAGTGCGTCCGAGTCTGAGTCGCTTTTCAGCCAGGCGTCCGAACTGCCTGGTTTGCGTCGGAGGAGCACCCGGACAGCAGCCCGGCATGGCGGCAGAGCAAAGCAGCGCTCGCATCCAGCAAGGCCGCCCCAGAGCCGTCCGTCTCCGAAGAAAGCGAGCAAGCCTGGGGCCAACGGCCCTCGTGCCGCTACCTTTAGTTCTCCGAGCAAGCGGCGGCTCACGGCGGCAAAGAGCATAAGCGGGAACGGGGACGAGCTGCCCCGGGACCCTCAGGACCGCATCCCGGATTGGACGGACCCCCGGCTCTCGTTCGAGTTCTGGGTCGGCGTCTTCACGTTTGCCCGCGACGCAGGCGATGCGGAAGCTCCAAACACACGCTGGCTTCTCCAGGCCGCCACCACCTGCCGCACCCTTTGCGAGCCGGCCTTGACGGCAGTCTACCGCTGTCCCACGTTCAGACAGGCCTCCAAGGCAAAGCGCCTGGCTTCGCTGCTCCAGTCCGCTCCCGAAAAGACCATGCTCGATTATCGTTGCATGATCCAGTCTCTGCACATTGACATCCACGTTGTGCCGCAGAGTACCGTCTGCCAAATCATCCGCTCCTCGCTCTGCCTCAAGGAGGTCATCTTCTACACTCCCAAGGACCAGCCGCCCTATAGGGAGCTCGACTCGCACGTCAGGTGGAACTACTCGGACGATATCCTCCAAGCCCTCGCAGCGCCATCCGACAGGCCCGATGCTCCCATCAAGCGGACAGGCCCGACAATGCTCAGGAGCTGGGAGTGGAGCGGGAGGCTTCTGGGCGGTCCTGTGTCCACCTTTAGCGACATTGTCCGAGTTCACCAAATGCCTGCATTCAATCATCTCAAACGGCTGAGCTTCACAAACTTCCAGGCGCCCTCGCTGCTCGAGGGTGATGATGAGGATGACGAGGGCCACAACTTGGGGATGTCACTCAGGAACTACGCTGCCACCACTGCTGTCGCAGACGCCATCGCCCAGCTCAAGTCTCTGAAGCACCTCGTCTTCGAGTCCTCTACGATCATGACGAAACAGCTGCTTTCCCTCCTTCCCAAAGACTTGAGCCACCTGGAACTCATCAATTGCTGGGAGATTGAGTCTGAAGATCTGGCCCAGTTTCTGCTCACTCATGGCCAATGCCTCCGCGCCCTGACCCTGATGCATAATCAGTCGCTCAACCTCGCCTTCTTGACGGTTCTGGCAGAAGCCTGCCCCAATCTGCGAGAGTTGCGCATGAACCTGTCGTATTTTCGACACCACGATTCAGTCAACGATTCGGATCCAATGTACGACTTTGCCCTCCTCCCGGACCAGGTGCCGACTTGGCCCGCCAGCCTCCGTGTCATCGACCTCGAGCACATTCGAAACTGGTCAGTCGAGACCGCAGAAATGTTCATCCAGTCGCTGGTGGACAAGGCCAAGGATCTGCCGAATCTGCGGCACCTAGTAATCAAAACCATGCTCGATATCCCGTGGCAGGCTCGCGCTACGCTGAGGTCCAAGCTGAGGCCCATGGTCGAGCGGGTATTCCTTCGCGAGTCGGAGCCTCCGCAGTCATACGCGACCATTGTGCACGGAGGCACTCCTCACCAGGAACCCGGCTCGCGCAAAAGGAAGCGAAGCTCTCTGTCGGACTCTCCGTTGCGCAGGAGCAGCAGGATCGAGACGCACGCCAACAGCTCGCCCAGCCGTTCTAGAAAAGGCCACAAGCTGCGGCGCCGTCGGCTCGGAGGGCCGGTGTACAAGGAACCCGACACCGATGACGACGAGTTTGACGACTCATACCCCTCGGACAGCGAGGCCTCCGAAGCCCAGCAGGACTCGGCTGCGGGAGAGCCGGCGATCCAGGGCCTCTGCGACGTTGTCAGCATCGTCTTTGACAACCAGAAGCCCAGGGAGCTGCCCTTCACCATGAGCGACTTTGTCTCTGATGACGGCGTGTCTTCGGGCGAGGAGTGGAATGGGGACGACGACGATCATGACAATACCATTGCTTTTTAAAGAGATACCATCTTGTTGTTTTCTTTCTTATTTCCTTTTTCTCTTGATTCATTTACTTTTTCCCGACTACAGGGAGTCGGAAGAATTATGTTCAGGGCAATGCTTCCCTGGTTTGGCGCATAGGCATCGGGGTTTAGAAAGATTCCCTTCACAGGGCAGGGAGGACAAATAGAGGCCATACAGGCCACAGATGGAAACAGGGCCGATTCCTCGTAGGATTCTCTTGCGCTTCACCAAAGGTTGATAGATGGTGTTGCCTCGTCGTGGCTAACACGATTTGTGTTATGGATCTGATCGTGGAATAGCCTAGGTAGTTTCCAAGACTGAATCCCGTAAACCATGAGCAACACGCGACTGGCAGAGGAGGTTGTTGCAAAATGAAGCTCGGTGTGTGTGTGTGTGTGTGCGCGCGCGCGCGCGCAATTGCTGCTTGCACTTTTCGGTTTTTCTTGGAAGTCAAGGAAATAAAGAAGCGCATCTGATCATGCCGGTCTAGAGATACGTATATACAATCATGATCCGTGACGAAGCCATAGATATATACAAAGAAGAAAAAGAGAAGAAGGAGAAATAAAGTGAAATATCAAAGGGAATCATCGACGAGTGCTCCCAATTCCTTCGTATTAAGCGTAGACTCCATTCATCAAGACGTTGGTTATGGCCTCCCCGTCACTTGTTAAAAGGCGGCACCGCCAGCCCCTTCGCCCGCCAGATTCTTCATGCTCTTCTCGCTGAGGTCGCTCCTCATCTCCCAGGCGCGCGCATCCCGCTCCAGCCTGTTCCAAGCGTAGAGACTCCTTCTAAGGCGCTCTTGCTTCATTCGCAGCTCCTCTCGAATCTTTTCCTCCTCGTCTCTTAGCTTCCGGTAGTGAGGCTCAATCTCCTTGGTGACGCCCAGCAGCATCGGCGTCATGCTCGGATCCGCCTTCCCGCCCGGAATCAGGGGGGGCATCGTTGCTAGCAGGCTCTGCGCGAGGCTATGCCTCGGTCCGTTGCCATGCTGGGCTGATGGACCTGTTGGTGGGTTGAAAGGACGCTGGGCAGAGCCGGATCCCGCGCCTGCGGGGGCTGAAGAAGAGCCCCGCGGACCGGTGGGAATGTTGGAAGGGCCGCTCGGGGCTGCTGACGATGCCTGGCCTGACATATGACGAGACGAGCTCTGGTTCCAACCACCTCGCCCACCGCGAGGCGCAAAGGAGGAACCCCTGGGGGGAGGAACGTAGCCTCGAGGTCCCGCCGGTGGGTTCGTCGGGCTCGTGGTATCTGGTCTGTGCGGCGCGGCGGCACTCGGCGTCTGTGGAATTCTCTGAATTTGCGGAGCGGGCATGTTTGTGGCAGTTGAAGGCGCTCGAGCAGCTGCAGGACCACTGGGCGGTGCCCGCAACGCTGCAGGGCCGCGCGGTGGCGATCTGGATGGGCCCGAGACTGGCTCGTGTCCGGTAGAAGAGCGCTGTGTGTCCTTTACAGCAGGCGATGGTGTCACGGCAGCGGCATCGGCATGCGCGGGAGAACCCTCTAATGTAACGGGTGAGCGAGTCTTTGCAGACTGGGATTGCGACTGGGAATCCGCTCGCTCTGAAGCCGGTCGCGATGGAATGATGGTTGTTGGTCCAAGGTCCCGCGGTGGTGACTGTCGCTTGAACGGCTGAAACCTGTCATCTCGTCGGTTAGGCGACCTGGAGCGTGGCCGGTAAGCGGCACCCCTTGCAGCAAGAGGCGTCGTCTTGCCGGGTGGGGGGCTTCTCTCGCGGCGGCGATCTCGGGAGAAAGGAGAGCGAGACCGTCTGTAGAGGCTTTGAGCTGGTTTGGTTTGTGGCAAAGCTTCATTAGCCAGCACATACCTCTCGTCCCGCCTTTCGGTGTCGCGCTCCCAGTCTCGAACCCGGGGCCTTTCGTTTCTCTCGCGATCCCAGTCCCGCTCACGCTCACGGTCCAAGTCCCGCGGCCTGTCGCGCTCCCAGTCTCGCCGTGGCGACCTTGGCCTCTCATATCTGTTCTCTCTGGGCGGCGACTCTCGTCGAAGCGGGCTCCGGCGGGGCAAGGGGGATCGCCTGATGGGGGATCGACTCCTCTCGCGTCGGCGAGGGCTTTCGCGGTCTCTGGATCGTTCGCGTCGGTATCGATCGCCGATGCTGCGGGAACGCCGTCGCGGGGGATATCTTCCAGGCACGTAGCTATCTGATCCTGGAATGATGGGGCTTCGAGGGCGAGGACTTCTAGTCCGCGGCGGGCTTCTGGCTCTGTCTCTAACGGGGCTTCTCGGCCTTCTAGGCGATCGCTCTCGCGGTGTCGGCCTCCACGACTCCCCAGCACCGTACCTCACCACCTCGCCGTCGTCGTACCTGCAATTGTTAGCCATTATTTCGACACGGATTCGTCCAGGCAGAGTAGCAAGAGCAGCCCGGCCTGTAGGGATTAGGAGGATGCCGCCGCATTTCCGCCTCCTCTAATGCATCCATCCACGCGCGATCGGATAACAAAAGGCATAGGCAGTTGCAGTTCAGAGGCGGAAAGCGGACGGATCGATCGTGTGCAGGGGGTTTTGCTCTCTTACCTTCGACTCCGACCATCTCGCTCGCGGTCCATAATAATATGCCGGGTCGACGACAAACGAAGCAAAAGTGATCTGATACGGCGACAGGATTTTGTTTGCTTACAATAAGGTACGGGCGAAATCCGGAGCGATTGTTTGCTTCGATCGGCATGTCAAAAACAGACCGGAGGATCTAAAATCCGGCCACATGTATGTAGGGCGATTGAGCAGGATGGAAGCAAGATTAAGTGGCTCTGGATAAACCCACACCAGCGAGATCCGCCTAAACTGGTTTCATAGTAGCTCGGCAGTACATACTAGTACATAGTACGATAATTGATTGCGATTAGTGCCTGCTATGGCAGAGGGAGATAGCGGATAAGGTACGCTCCGTAGGTGCTGACGGAGTAATCGGCAGGTGGTGAATGCAGTATTAAATTCTAAGTAAATAAGACCTAAGGCAACTGGATGTTCCTCTGATGGAGGAGAGACCTCAAATCCTGGAAAATTATATAGCTTTGTGTGTTCTTTCTTATTCCAACAGGCCCACGATCAGACGATTGTTCCATCAAGTGTTTTCTTCTGCGGGGAGTGGTAATATCAGCTTTCCACTATTTGATGTGGTCGAACAGATCTGATCCGAAACTGCTGCTTTCGCTCTCGAGGTGTACTAGGTTGGGAATCTTGGGGGGTGGTTTAGCAGGAGTCAGCTTGGGCGCTGTTGGTACGTTTGCATTTGTTTGCTCGAGGCTCAAGAGACTCGACCGTCTCCTCGACTGCGTGTCTCCCGATCTCAGACGCTTGAACCAGCCGCTCGCCCGCTTCGTTTTCTCAGAGTCCGCGGCGCTGGCAGCGCTGGCCGCGCCTCGGCTGGCCGGACGATATACGTTGGCGACGTGGCGCGCACTCTCGTGGGCTATGCTGTCTGTTGGGTTTTGGTCATGATTAGAAGGCGCAAGACAAGAAACGCAGTCATTGGCAGACGGTACCCTGGTGGCCGGACGCGGCAGGACTGGGCGGCGCGTTGTCGGCGAGGCTCCGCGGGCCAGCCTTGTTCTCGTGCGTCGTTGTCGTCGACGTCGGCTCTTTGGCCTCGGTGCTCGCGTTGCTGCCGTCGGACGTCTTGGACGGCGTGTACGTCGGCTCGAGCGGAGACTCCGGCGGTGGAGGAATGTCGGTGCCGTCGGTGATGCTGCCAAAATCCAGCTTGAGCGCGGGCAGCAGCTCGAAGCGCGCGCCGGCCGCGCTCTTCTTCTGCTGCGAAGACATGGTTGCTGTCGCGAGGCTATTCGGTCCTCTGGTGGCGATGGGGAATGGAGGAGGCCCGAGACCTGCCAGTCGATGGATGATGCTCCGTGCAGATCATCGCTGACGAGGAACAGAAGCAGACCCTGGCAAATCGAGGTCCCGGACAACGAAGCCCCCTATATGCTGGAGTACATGCTCTGAAGCTAGGCTGTACCTCGTACTCGCAGCAACGGGCAGACGGGCTAGCAGGTCAAATCTCCCCCAACGGCGATGGCAGCACGGCCCGTTTAAAAAGGTAGTAGTACAGACTAATTTGGCTAGCAATTCTTAGCTTTTGGTAGGTAGGTACCTACTACCTATCTGACCTGTATGAAAGAGTGAGACAGGATGATATTAGGGAGTACTAGGTAGTACTATCCTTGGATCTATAAAGAAAAACTTATAGAAAATGACTACTAGGTAGGTATATATATATACGCACTATGACACAAAAATTATACATGATTCTATTAGAAGCGAGTACTAATTTCTACATACTTTTTGAGCGCAACAGCATGCACCTTATTGAAGGATGAAGGACGAAAAGTTGGCAGTCGATGATAAGGCACTTGCTATGTACACATGACAGGGCATCCTCGGCTAAGGTACTCTAGGTATAGACTCCGTAATGCAGCTTGAAGTGTCTCCGCAATACGACGTGAGCTCCGCAATGTCGTACGTCAAACTAACAGAACTTTTTCCTCCTCAGACCAATTGCGTCCGCAGACCATGAAACCTCATGCATAGCAGCCCGTCGGTCCTCGGAATGGCACATTTTGTCCCCCGCCGTTCATTTGCCGTTCCGTCGTCCATCCCAAAGTCCTACTTCCTGGGCCATCACCAGGCCGCCGTCAGCAAGCTCAAGACGGTCCTCTCGAGGATCTCGCTCGTCATCGAGTGCCGCGACTATCGACTGCCTCTGTCCACCCACAACCCCATTCTCGAAAAGGCGGTTGCCGGCCGCCCGAAGCTCATCGTCTATACGAAGCATGACCTCGGCGGCGACAGCCCCGGGGCTCGGCAGTTTCTGCACAAGCTGCACGGCCGCGGCGCCTTGTTCTGGGACAAGAACCATCCGGCATCCACGGCGTCTCTGCTCAAGCGGCTGAAAGAGACGGCCCAAGATGTCGACTCCATCACCGGCCTGTGTGCGCTGATAGTGGGCATGCCAAACGTCGGTAAGAGTACACTGCTAAACGCCCTCAGAAGCTCCGGGACGACGGGGCGGACGAACAAGGTAGCCAAGACGGGCGACCAAGCGGGCGTCACCCGCAAGATTGGGACAAGCGTGCGCGTGGTCGAGCCGGAAGAGAGAGGCGGTGTCGGCGCCGGCGTCTACGTGCTCGATTCGCCAGGAGTCTTTGTCCCGTACGTTGAAGACGGCGAGACCATGATGAAGATTTCTCTTGTGCAGGGCATCAAGAAGGGGCTCATTGCAGACGAGATCTTGGCAGACTACCTGCTCTACAAGATGAACCTCTGGGATCCGCAAATCTACAATCGGTACTGCGATCCCACAAACGACATTGAGGAGTTCCTGGCCGCTGTGGCCAAGCGGGATGGCAAGCTAAAGGCCGGCGGCGTCCCAGACATGGGAGAGTCGGCGGCCAGAGTCTTGTCCGAGTGGCGGAAAGGTAAACTCGGCAGATATGTGCTGGATGACCTCTCTGAAGACGCCCTTCGACGCCATGAAATGACGGCAGCAAACCCTCCGCTGAGTCTGAACCAGGGCAAGAAGGCATGGAAAGAGCAACGGAAAGAGGACAGCGCATAGAATCGACACAAGTCTAGGGCACCCGACGCTCTCCACGTCAAGCCGGGCTTCAGCTCAGTGCTTGTGTCAGACGACATTATTTCTGCAAACGAAACCGTAAGGGCATGGGTTCATATCGTGGTAGATTTGCATCAGATTGATCCTGGGCAGTGCGATCTAGCAGCATCACAACTCCCTTCCGTCCTGTCATGAAGCCTCTGAAGGCTAAAAGATCTCAAAACGCCTGAACCATAAAAGAAAACCCCCCGAAGCCAAGCCGAACACCACCAAACGCCGCTCTGTGAAACCAATATAGAACAATAACACACAGCTTGGGTATTCCATAGAAGAAAATAGACACATGCAGATGCGTGAGCCGCGAGCATGGGAAGACTATGCCCGGCATCACGCGTATTGGTTCTGCCACTTGACCATATCTCGTGTAAGAACGTCCATCATCTCGATGCAGGTCAGGTCTTTGAAGTCCCTGGACATTGGTGTCTCTGCTGGGGAAGCAGTAGTGTCGTGAGAGTCAAGATCCGTAGAGTTGTTGCTGCGGTCCAACGTCGCCTCAGCCGCCAGATCGACTTGCGTCCGGGAGATGAAATCCATGATGGCGGCTACCCGCCGCTTCATATCCAGCATGCTCATCCTACCGGCAATCCCTAATTTGGCCTTTGAGCTGCTCTTGTGATCGCTAGTATTCTTCGCGTGGCTGGATGAAGTAGCGTTGTTGTCTCGGGATACTGATCGTGCGGGCGAGTGTTCCATCTCTGTATTTCGATCCTTTGTGTATTGATTCTTCCCTTTGCCCTTTCTGTGATTACTCCGCGAGCTCCGTTTGGGGGCGTTTGCGGTGGAAGAGTTGGACGCAGGAGGGGTTCCGGGGACAGGGGATGGGAGCGGTGCAGGTTCCGCCGTGGTCGTCGGTTCGGCACTTTTCGTGGCGGGAGCCGCCTTAGAAGACGGGGGGTTGATTTCTTCCGATACATCGGAATCTGCGATTGTCAGTGTCTAGGTACATCGCGCCTCGCCGTTCCAAAGTCACGACTCACCTTCAGTTCGTCGCCTATCGGCCCGCCCCTTCCGCTTGTTTGCACTTTCTTGTCGCAGGCGATCCTTCTCCTCTTTGTCTGACTTGTCCGTGCCTTTGTAGACGCGCGATCGTTTCAGGCCACTCCGACCATTGCTCTCGTCATCCGTGTTTTCGCGGCTAAGGGCGTCTATTGGCTTTGGCGGGGGCGAAGGGCTCTGAGAGTTTGTGCGTTGCCTCTTAATGGCGACGTTGTTTCTAGAAATCAACGTTAGCCAAGGTCCAACATGTGTAGGTGCATCTGTATCAGTCAGGGTATCACCAACTCTTCACTATTGCTGCGGCCACGTTTTGTGCGTCTGGTGATGCTCTCTGCCCCGTCCTGAGCCACTTCTTCTTTGCTCGCTTCAATGGCCCGTCGTAGTTGTTCATCGTCATAAGCAGCGTCGCGACTGTTCATGGTGGATCGTCGCTTCGATATTTGCGAGGTCGACTGAGACCGACCTGACTTGGAACTGCCCAGCCTCGGCGACCGAGCACCATCTTTGGCTATGGACGTAGCCCGAGACGCAGTCCTCGCAGGCCGACTCAGAGGCAGATATTTGGAGTATTTTTGTCTGAATGGGAGACGAGATCCCGTTAGTGCTTTGTGCGAGAAAGAAGAGAAGAAGAAAGACCTGGCTCACCCGTTGACTGCTGTGTGGATTTTGTGAAGGTCTTTCCGACACTGTTCGCAAAAGTATTCGTCGGGTGAGCTCTCCGCGCTGAAGATGCCGACGCATGCTCCGTGCTGCCACACTTTGCAAATGTCGCACTGCACGAAAAACCCGGTGACGTCCTCACTCAGCTCGATTGAAGCGAGAAACTGGGCGTCGGAACCGTCAACGGGAGGGCGGCCGGGATAATCTTCGCAGCCACATATGCACCGGACCGCCTCGTCCTCCTCCTCCTGCAGAGAATCCGGGTCGTTGGACATGTCTAGAGCGTCGCCCCGCAAGCCCTTGTATTGCTCTTCGTCGTGGCCGCGCTTCCGCCTGCGGCCAAGCAGTGTGTCGTCAATGTCGTCGAGCGGATCTGACGAGACGGATGCGCTAGGCGTCGACTTGCCCGACTGGGGTCGGTTGAGGGATCTGGTATGGCGCTCGAGACGGGTGAAATTGGTGGTCGAGAGAGACTGCTGGGAGTGCGAAGCCAATGTGCGAGCTCTGGAGGATCGTCGTGGCGAGGGCGGTGCCATTGAAGAGTACTGCAAGCACCGGAGGGGAGGAGAGGAGGGACGATGAGGAGGAGGAGGATATACGCGGTGCGGGCGGAAAAACGAAGGGCAAAACAAGTGCGGCCGAAATGTCTAGCATCCAGGTGCGAGGTGGTCGGAGGACGGGGCGTCTGGGTAGTAAGAACAACTTAGTACGGTAGTGGGAGGGCCGGAGAGCGAAAAGCAAGTCGCACATAATCATTCGGCAGCAGAGCAGGCAGAGGGCAGAGGGCAGAGGGCAGAGAGCAGAGAGCAAAAGAGGGCCGTTTTGAAGAAAGTCTGGCAGCCAAGGTGAGAGCCGACTTTGGCAATGCGGCCGGCGGGCTGGATCCGGCCTAGCGCGCAGCTACCTGCTCGGTGCTAGCAAATTAGGAGCTCGATCTGGTACCTTAGCGCTTGGCCCAATGGCGCCGCCGACTCCACACCCTCATTCGCGTTGGATGATGTATTGCGTACGTTTTCCCTGTCAGCATCTCTCAGCTTATGAAAAATATCCTTATTTGAATCATTCTTTTCCGCCCTTTTTTTGGTTCTTATTTCATTGTCCATTTTCTGTCGTGATTCACTTTTCGGGTCGTTCGCTTGAAGGTACATGGTCCGGCAGCCGTGCGTGAGTGCATGCTGTGGAGGCGCAGCCCACGATGTCCACCATATTTAAGATGTCGCGACGACGCGCTCACTCGGTCCAGGTAAGCGTTCAGAGGTCTGTCGCAAGCTGCGCCTACAGTCGCTTTGGCAGTCAGGCATCGCTTTGGGCAGAAACCGTCAGGGCCACAGTCTATCCATAGCTCCATAGCCCTGGGAGACATCTGTGCGACATCGTTGGGCCAGACAGCTAACATTCTCTTTCAGCCTCTGACGAAGGAAACCGCCGATCCCACGGCCGCCACGGCCGCCGCATCCGCCTTCATGCGCGGCCACTCGACAGCCCAGCCTTCATTGTCCTCGGCGGCCGCAGCAGCCGCCTTGCGAGCGCAATCAAGTCCGCCGACAAACGTTGCTGAAGTCCCCTCAAAGAGAGTGCAACGACGGGCCTCGTCGCTGTCCTCCCCTGCCGGTCGCGATCGAGGCAAGGGTAAGCTGCAGAGGAGCCCTAGCGTGGGCTCCATGAGCGAACGAACATTTCGGTCCCCGTCGCCGGGCGGCCGCACGCCTCTCGGGAGGCAGGACGTGCCTCCGGTTCCCAGCATTCCCGCCACCAGAACCGCAGCGAGCCCTCTCCGAACCCAGAACTTTCAAACGGCAAGCCAGAAGTCAGCAGCCCATCAGCAACAGGGAGCCTGGTTTGGGCCCGCGACCCAGCATGCGTACCAAGACAGGAGGACGGAGTCGGCGCGGAAGGTGACGCCGGAGCTGCCAGAGTCTCGCTCTGGAAGCGTCAATTCCTCCATCAACTTCTCTTATCCTCGTCCAAAAATGACGTCGAGTGATCCGCAAACGACGGTCGAGCCCGACCTGGTCTATGACCCCAATTCAAGGAGAATGGTGCCAAGGGCTTCGTTGGTGCAAGCAAGCCATCAAGTCGATGAGACCGCTGCGACAACGGCAGAGAAAGCGAAAGCACCAAAGCCTGTCAAACAGCGCCACATGCCGCAAGAACCAACCGTTGAAGCGAGACCAAAGATATCCGATGACCTCCAGCAGGAACCTTCATCGACACACACTGGCCAGCGCCATACCCCTGACGTGCCCATCGGTAGGACAAGCCCCACTGCATCCTCAAGCTTCAACATTCCAACGCCGGCACCAGTAACGGAAACACTACCTCAAGAGGAGGCCTCTGAGACCGAAAGCTTTTCGCAATGGCACAACCAGAACGCTTCCCATGATGAGCCCCAGAAACCTTTGACAGAGTCGAATTTAAAGTCAGGTTCTCTTAAGTGGAGCAATGCCAAGGCCGAACCGCCCTTCTCATACGCTGGATCTGGCTCATCAGAGGCGTCTGTGCGATCAGCTCATTTTGCAGCATCAACCGATCGCTTAGTGGTCAAGCATGAACCTCCTCCCCGATCTCTGTCGCCGAGAAAGTCTGCGTTGAAATCCGCCGTTTCCGGTAAAGGAGCCCATCATGAGAACTCGGAGTTGTCGGTCACTGGTACTTCTCAAGCTCACAAAGAGGATCTCACACCAGCTCATAGGAAGGGCGCAAGGGTAAGCTGGAATGACAACGGTACAATTGTGGTCGCTGAGCCTGGCACGGCTGAGGAAGTAGGCTCTGCAGCGGGGCACAACCTTCAAGCGAGACACAACCTACAGAGTTCCTTTGAAGGGCTGAAAGGGAACAAGGCATCCTTACTGCAACAAGATGAGCTCATGTCTCCACGACCAGCACTTCCTCTGTTTGGAAGTATACGCGACAAGAAGGGGAAGGAGCCCGAGGAGCGGCAGCTTGTTCGTCCGCGTGAGCGATCGCTTTCCCCCCCGTCACAGCAGCCGCCCAGTTCCCATTCCGTTTCTTTCGTCACCCATAACGATGTCCCGACGCCCGTCGAGGTCAAGCCAATGCATCATAATCGAGGGCAGGCATCAAGAAACGTAGCCAACATCTCCAAGTTCCGGGAGCCATTGCCTGCTATCGTTGCATCTACTGAGAGTCTCGGGCAGGAGAGTGAAGAGTTGCTTAGCTCGGATGATGAGCTTTTCGAAGACGTACCCACTGGCACAGAACAGACCAGGGTCAAGAAAGCATCGAAAGCTCTGTCGTCGGATGCGAAACCGCTCCCTGACTCGTCCCCCAGCGAAGCCTCGAAGGTGCTCTCAAAGACAGCTAATGGCTCCTTGTTGGGCGGCCCGGTTTCAAATCCGAATCCCCAGGCAACAGATGGCGAAGTCGCACCTGTGGCTGAACCAAGTCCTCTTCCAGGCAGCTTTCCCCTTGACGACGAGGTTTCCGGAGTCGTTATGGACAGCACAAGCAGGTCTCTGACGCCTGGAATATCACAAGCTTCAGGGCATGATGCCGAAACTCAAGATCGCCCGGCAAATGACAGTCAAGGGAGTGACGAGTCAGACATGGATAGCATCTACAGCGACGCATACGAGGACCTCTCTGAAGTTGGAGAAGACGGTTTTATGTCTCTCGATGCTGCACTGGTCAGCTCCCCAGTGGCGAGTGCCGGCGGCAACAAAACCAGCTTCAGTTCAAGTCAGGATACGAAGGCATTGGATGGTGTCGTCAGTGGCTCTTTCCAATCATCTGACGACTGGGAGAGGACAAAAGCCTACTGGAAGAGCCTTACCTCCGAAGAGAGGCGCCGACTCGAGCTTGAGGCCCTTATGGAGGGGGACGATGATGCCGTACGAGAGCGTTCGCCAGCCAAGGAATCCAAGTCTTTAGGAGACATTTCAGAGTATCCCCTGACTTCAGTACAGAGAAGTCAGATTCGTCAACTCCAGCGGGAGCATTTGGCGGGAGCTGACCCAGCATCGCTTGGAGAAACAATGCAAGCGTCGGTAGCCTCACAAACTCGTCCCACGGGCCTTACCGGCTCAAGATCAAGTATCGCGGCCGATGGACGTCAACTCCAGGCAAAGAAGGGCACGACGGAGCTGAAGAAGGGGGGTCAGCCCCTCAAACAGACTGATTTCGCCGTGACAGATGCCCAGAGGAACTATGGCTCCGTACAGCAATCAACTACCGCGGCACGCAGTGGCATGGCAATGGGACGCAGGTTGCAGAAACTAGCGCAACCGAAACGATCTGTGAGTATTGACCAAAGGCACTTCGATGACGAGTCTCGAAGCCCAGTCACTCGGCCGAAGTCCGTGGCCGATCTCCGCCAGAGGCGTCAGGAGGAGCACCCAACGCATGGCCCAATCATTGAGCCCGCGACGACCATGATTGCCAGATCCACACTGAGGCGTCGAGGATCCGACTCCAGTGAGAGCAGTTTCGTGCGAAGCAGGTCTGTTGGCAGCCCTCGTCAGGGGTTCAGAACATCGATGAGAAGCAACTCTTTCGAGTCCAAGTCATCGCTGCCTGGCCCGACAGGCAGGAAGCGCTTGACACTACGTTCGCTGTCCCCTACCACGTCACATACGAAGCGTTCCTCAGTCACGTCAGCTGCTCCCTCGCGGTCGCTGTTTGAGAGTCAAAGTCATCGGTCCGCTCGCCACAGCTCAGTCGAGCCATACACTAGCCGGTTTTCGCTGAGAAAAGACGAGCATCGGACCTATGGTGATCATCTATCCGACTCAAGCGATGACGACTTTGCAAACACGACTCCGCTGACGGACGGCTCTCTCATCGGCGATGAACACGAGCCGGCTCATTCGAGGTTAAGGCATTCTATCTTTCATAAATACACCCGGAACAGCCCCCCTGATCTCGGCTCTAGTGCCAACGCCGGCTTCACGTCTAGACACGACGCAGAAAGACTTAGAGGTGACGGATTCCGGGACGACGGCAACGCACAGTTGCCTCCGGATCAGCTGTCCGGCCAAGGAAGCAAGGCAGCCTCAGCGAGCGCTTCGTCTCGCCGCCAGGGGCTCATCTCCACGCTCCGGCGCAGGAAGACGGATGACGCCGCCGGCGGTCATAATGTCATAGTGCAGCATCACGAACAAGACACAGGAGCAGCAGGCTGGCCTCTGCAGAACACCAACGGCGAGGCTCGTGAAGCTTCGATGACGTCACCGGCAGGCGACAGTGGAAGGCGATCCGCAGCAAACGTCGCGGACGACCTGACGTCAGAACCCCGCCAACCGCATGAGCTCCCGCATTACGGAGGCAGCTCAGACGCGAACCACGCTAATCCTTTATTGCAAGAACCTAAGCGAAAGAAGTTCAACAGCCTGAGGAAGATGTTTAAGATTAATAACTAGGTAGGGATAGGTAAATTAGAGATATCCAGTAATGAATTAGTAATGAATACAGTTTCCTTTCGGGCAGGCAATTCAAAGGTGCTGTTGGCAATGGAAGGTGGCAATTGAGGCGTAGCAGGACTTCAGTTGTGGTTTGCAAGAACCAGCCTAGCACAAAATACTCGTAATTGGAGCAGTTCTCATTACCTAGGTACTTTACCCCAGGGACTAACAGTGCCCTACTGCAACCTACCAACTCTCTTAGGCAGTAGTAGGCTAGTGCCCAGTTATTGGAGTTGGTACCTTACTGCTTGCTTGCTTGCTGCCTTATGTACATGAGTACTTGCTTGCTTTCGATCCCCCTCCGCTGCTAAAGCTCTTGCATAAGGTACAAGTAACGTGCCCGGTACCCCCAAGCTGAAGCTGCAAGCTCCCAAGAGACGCTCGCCGCGAGTTGTTGCTGCAACCTCCCTATCTGTCCCATCTACACTCCCATTTGCCAACAATTGCCGCAGCTGCGCATTTAATTTGCAACGAAATTCGACAGCATCCACCATATCAACCCGCCATATACGATATACCTCTCCTATATATCTCTCATAGCTTGCCCTTCGTTGTTCAAGCAACTCAATCCCCAAGCTCTCATCGCAGCTACCCCGCCCCCCCGCGCTCCAGCACTTGTGCACCATGGCAGCTTCTCAGGACGAGCAGAAAATCCCCCAGGATGGCACAGGTTCGCGATGGCAAACCAATTTATGGTTCATAGTATCGTCTCCTTCTAACTCGAGCTGCAGGTGTCATCCAGCTGGACCCCTGGCTGGCCCCGTTCAGCGACGCCTTGAAGCGACGGTACTCGAAAGCTCAGGATTGGATCAAGCGTATAAACGACACCGAAGGTGGCTTTGAGAAGTTTTCCAAGGTACGGGAATGCCATGTTGCTTCTTAGCATGCTGCTTGTCTTCCTTGGGCATTCCCAAGTCTACTGATATGCTAACCATTGCCTTGACAGGGCACTGAGATCTTTGGCTTCAACGTGGATGAGAAGAACAATGTCACCTATCGCGAGTGGGCGCCCAATGCCGAACAGGCGTATCTTGTTGGAGATTTCAGTGAGATTCTATCCCCATGCTTACCTATAGGCTACGGGCTCGATTGACACAAAGCATAGACGGTTGGAACTATGAATCCCATCCAATGAAGAAGAATGCATACGGAGTGTTTGAGATTGTGGTCCCCGCCAAGGGTAAGGAGAAGGCGATACCCCATAACTCCAAAGTCAAGGTAGGTCTTGTGACAAAAACACCCCTGGTGCCGCCGAAACGGGAAACATGCGTGCTAATACTGATAGATCTCTCTTGTTCTTCCCGGAGGCAGCAGAGTCGATCGCCTTCCGGCCTGGGCCAAATATGTAACGCAAGACCTCTCCGTCTCCCCGGCATACGATGCTCGGTTCTGGAGCCCAGAGCCGTCAGACAAGTACGCCTTCAAGCATCCACGACCGCAGAAGCCGCAGAGCATTCGCATCTACGAAGCCCACGTCGGAATCTCGTCTCCAGAGCAGCGCGTCACCACTTACGACGAGTTCACAGACAATGTGCTCCCCAGGATCAAGGACCTTGGCTACAATGCTATTCAGCTCATGGCCATCATGGAACACGCCTACTATGCTAGTTTTGGATATCAAGTGAACAGCTTCTTCGCCGCCAGCAGCCGATACGGAACCCCCGAGGGTTTGAAGAGGCTCGTCGATACCGCCCACCAGATGGGCATCGTCGTGCTCCTGGATGTGGTCCACAGCCATGCGTCAAAGAACGTACTCGACGGCCTCAACCAGTTCGACGGGACTGACCATCAGTACTTTCACAGCGGAGGAAAGGGCAATCACGACCTTTGGGACAGCAGACTCTTCAACTACGGCCATCACGAGGTCATGCGGTTCCTCCTGAGCAACCTCCGCTTCTGGATGGATGAGTACCACTTTGATGGCTTCCGCTTCGATGGCGTCACCAGCATGCTCTACAAGCACCATGGAATTGGAACGTACGTCAATCTTAACACTCTGCCTCGATTGAATGAAGATCTAATTGATCTCGACTAACTGATGATATTAGCGGCTTCTCTGGAGGTTATCACGAATACTTTGGATTCGACGTTGATGAAGAAGCTGTCGTCTATCTGATGGTTGCCAACGAGATGTTGCACTCGCTTTATCCCGAGTGCGTCACTGTCGCGGAAGACGTGTCGGGTATGCCAGCGCTGTGCCTCCCGCTATCCCTTGGTGGCATCGGATTCGACTATCGGCTTGCCATGGCCATTCCGGACATGTGGATCAAGATTCTCAAGGAGAAGAAGGATGAGGATTGGGATCTTGCCAATATCTGCTTCACCTTGACCAACAGACGCCATGGTGAAAAGACGATTGCATACTGCGAGAGTCACGATCAAGCGTACGTGCTCCATCCACCCTGACAATCACGATGGGGCTGACTGTGGCTAACTGGTTGCCGTGCTTAGACTTGTCGGAGACAAGACACTGATGATGCACCTATGTGATGCCGAATTGTACACCAACATGTCGACCCTGTCACCACTAACTCCAGTGATTGACCGCGGCATGGCGCTGCACAAGATGATCCGACTGCTCACCCACGGACTGGGCGGAGAGGGTTATCTCAACTTTGAGGGCAACGAATTCGGCCATCCCGAGTGGCTGGACTTCCCTCGAGCCGGCAACAACAACTCCTTCTGGTATGCCCGTCGCCAGTTCAACCTCACGGAAGACCCTCTGCTCCGCTACAAGTTCTTGAACAACTTTGACAAGTTGATGAACCACTGCGAAGCCAAGTATGGCTGGCTACATGCGCCCCAGGCCTACATCTCGCTGAAGCACGAAGGCGACAAGGTGATTGTGTTTGAGAGGGCGGGACTCGTGTTCGTTTTCAACTTCCACACACACCGAAGCTTCAGCGACTACCGCATCGGAATCGAAGTGCCGGGAACCTACAAGATTGTCCTCAACAGTGACTCGGAAGAGGTCGGAGGCCATAACAGAGTCGACGAGGAGACTCGCTTCTTCACAACGCCCATGGAGTGGAATGGAAGGAAGAACTGGACGCATATCTATATTCCTTGCCGAACCGCTTTGGTAAGTTTTTCCCCCAAAGGCTTCGCCCCTCAATCTACAAACATTCCTGCAAAAGACGAGAAACTAATATGGATGTGACTAGGTCTTGGCGCTGGAGAGCCCGGCAACTCAGTGATATTCGAGCAGTGATGCCCAAGCAAGGTAGTGATGTATGAGTTTATGTGATGATGTTGCTAGGTAGCTGTCATTTTGATCATATAACATCGAGCGATGCCAATAAAAGTTGAGGCCATTTGAATGTATGGCGTTAATTATGCTTTTACCTTGATGAGCTACAAGTAATACCCACTTGACAAAGCGTGCTGGTTACTTGTTGTAAGCCGTCCTTCGCCCGAGCATGAGACCTCGGTCCTTTGAATGCTGTGCAACACGTCCATTCGCAATTCCAGTCGGCTTCCCACCACTTATCGAATTCTTCATCCAGACTGCGCAACTCGAATTGACACGAATATTCCCGACTTGCGCCTCACCAGGGGGTTTACGTTATCTTCAGTCGATAGTAGGAATAAGACTGGAGAGGGTCGACTCCAGACATGATCGGCACCTTGGTTTGTACTGTAGTGGGGATGGAGGGGCAGAAGCTACCTCGGACTAAGCGTCCAGCTATGATGCAAGTTGAAGCCAGGATATGCTTCCAATCTCCTCCAACTTCCTATAGAGCTCGAGAACAACATACCATGGCCATCGATATCTAACCATTGTACCTCATCACGATGCTGGCACGCTCTCACCGCAGTCTACACGCCCTGCCGTGCACGAGGCGCGTCTTGGGCGCGCAGATCCGCAGTCCTCTATCGCAACAAGCTGTTCGGCGCAAGTCGGGGCCGTACGGCTACACCCAGGCCAAGGCTCTTGTCTTTTCCCAGAATGGAGAGCCATCCGAGGTGCTAAAGTGAGCAATTGAATCCCCCGCGGCGGTGGGATGGGGGGAAAACGGAAGGCTTTCTTCTTTTTCGTTCAAAGCTGACAGAACGAGTGGTCAAGGCTACACACGCATTCCATCTCTCCCTCGCTCCCCAAACGATCCGTCCTGCTGCGGGCTCTCGCCGCTCCCATCAACCCTGCCGACATCAACACCATACAGGGCACCTATGGCTCGCAGCCGAGCTTCACGTCCCTCATAGGCACGTCCAGCCCGTCGGCGATTCCCGGAAACGAAGGCGTCTTCGAGGTCGTTGCGACGGGCGATTCGTCATTGCCCGTTCACAAGGGGGACTGGGTCGTGCCGGCCGTTGCCCAGTTCGGCACATGGAGGACGCACGCCGTCGCGGACGTCGACGAGGTGCTCAAGATCAACAAGGAGGGGCTGCGGGCGACGCAGGCGGCGACCATCTCCGTCAACCCCAGCACGGCGTATCGCATCCTGAGGGCGTACGGCCCCAGCGCTGGAATCAGCGCCGGGCTCGGGATGCGGCCGCTGGAGGTGGGCAGCGGCCAGTGGTTCATCCAGAACGGGGCCAACTCGGGCGTCGGGAGGGCTGCCATACAGCTCGGCAGGCTCTGGGGGCTGCGGAGCATCAACGTGATCCGGGAGCGCGAGTCGGAGCAAGAGACCGAGTCCCTCAGGGCTGAGCTGACCGAGCTCGGTGCCGATGTGGTCGTCACGGAAAAGCAGTTCTTGTCGCGGGAGTGGAAGGACCAGTTGGCGGAAATCACAAACAAGGGCCGCGAGCACATCGGGCTAGGCCTCAACTGCGTCGGCGGCAAGTCTGCCACGGCTGTCGCTCGCTCGCTGAGCGAGAGCGGCACAATGGTCTCGTACGGCGGCATGGCCAGGCAGCCAATTGCCCTTCCCGTCGGCTTGCTCATATTCAAGGACATCCGCGTCGTTGGATTCTGGCTCTCGCGGTGGAACCAGCAGGATGCCGCTGGGCGGAAGCACATGATTGACTACATCGTAGACCTGATTCGTGAAGGCAAACTGCGGGACGTTCCCCTGCGTGAAGTGGCTTGGAACTGGGAGACTGATGCTTCAGTTTTGGCACAAGAAGTGCAGGGTGGGCTCAAGGGATTCAAAGGGGGCAAGGGCATCTTCGTCTTTGGCGATACATGAAGTGCCCAGCTTGACGAGCAACAAGGGAGGGCAAAATTCCTGGATAACTTTGAGGTGCGTTCAAGAAGGAACCTACCCAGTGTTATGGCAGCCGTGCCGCCCTCGCCGTCAGCGCCCTTGATTGGGCCAGAGCAGCTTGTACATTGGTTGAGATTGGGAGAAGAACCAACCTCATGTGGCCACCAGTACGGACGAGACATGTATGGCCTGGGAGGGAAACGGCGTGTGTATCCAAGACATCATGGACATCACGCCAAGTTTATACTGTCGAATTGTTGGTTAGAGCTCATCACATGGTCATCGGCCGCCGCGTCGAGACTTGTTCACTCAACAAAGGCTGCAGTTGTCTATTGCTCTCGATATCCATCTAAGCCCTGAGAGCCTGCGCCCACTCGTGCAATTTGTCAATAACAACAGGTGCAAACGCCGTCAGAGTATCTTCGATAATCCTCTCAAAATAGAGAATCGCCTCCTCTTCCCCCATCTCAAGGTGGAACCTCTCCCTCACTTTCAACACAGCCTTGTCCGGTTCGAGCCTGATGTCTGGAATATTGGCGTGAACCATGAGACTGAACAGGTTGAGAATGAGATTTGACGATTTCCGCAGCGCAGTGTAAGCCAAGAAGCAATACTGCTTGAATTGGCGGTAGTGCTCTGATTGCACTCCGCCCATGCAGTCCACCATTTCTTTGGAAAGCTTCATGACGGGGGCAAATGGCTTGGGGTCGCGGCCAAGGATGTATCCAAAATCAGCATGGAAGAAATGTCCATCAGGAGCCAGCAAGAGGTTGTCGAGATGGCGGTCGCCAACTCCCAGGATATAGGTGATAACGCAATATCCCGCGCATGATTTTACATAGGTATCCAGTGCCTCTTGCCGGACGCCAAGTGGCTGTCTGTCGTCCGGGTTATGGTGTTTGAGGTAGGCGAGCGCCGGGTTATTCTTGTACTTGCTGACAATGCTTGACAAGCTTTGCGACTGGACGAACTGAGATGCGCCCGCCGTCGTGCTCGTGGCCAGGATCTTGTAGGGGGACAGCTTGAGGTCCAGGTTTTCCTTCTGGAGGAGCTCGTCCATCAGAGTAATGATCTGAATAACCAGTTGGTCTTGTCTTAAATCGTCGCCGAGCTTGAATATGATCGGATACTGGCCGCCCGTTGTGGTCTTGAATGTGCACTTGATTGGATTGAGCGACGACTTGAAAACCGTGACTTGATCAGGTATCACACTGGTAATCTTGATGGAGGGATCAAGGGGCATCGCCAGTGGCGGATCGATAACGGTGAGCTCGTTCTTAGGATCTCCGAGAAATGCCTTGACTCTGTCGGTCTTCTTGGCTATTGGCTCGCTCGAAAGCTTGATGTCGTTTGCAATCCTTGACAGGATCGCAAGGAGCTCCGCCTGCCTGAGCAGCGTCTTTCGAGATTCGTTGCCGTCCGGCTGCTTGACGAGCTCAGTCATAAACTCGTACGCGACTTTGCGATATATCTCGCGATTGCGTTCATCCTGCTCCGGGCTGTAGTCGTCGCACTCGACCATGAGATACCAGTGGAAATAGTTGCCCAGCATAAAATTCGCTGCCGCACGCTGAATGAGAAACTGGGCCAGCGGTGAATGTTGAATGTTTTCCACGCCGGTGTCCGCCGACATGTGCTCATACTTCAGAGCCTGTACTAATTGGAGCAAGTAAAGAAGTAATTCATTGTCGTCGGCCTTGCGTAATCGGTCGACGGCATACGACCGAACAGTCGGGTTGTCAAACGAGGGCCCTAGCATCCCAAGGGCGTCATCCACGTCAATCTCCGTCCAGCGGCCAAGAACTTGAACGGCTTGCTTCATTTCGTTTTGGTCGTTCCAGTTGACAGACTTGACGAACTTGGCCAAGCCTCTCTTGTCTTTCGTAAGGTGATATCTGAACTTCCAAACGAGATCTGCCTCTTCGGGAGTAAGGATATGTGTTGGTGGGTATGACATGATAACGTTGAGCTCGTCACGGACTTTTGCGTTGGGCTTGAGATCCCGATCGAGGATGCCGTGTCGATGGGAACTGCGGAAAAGGCGCCTGTGCTTCGCTTCTGCCGGGTTGTCCCTCTGCCCTACTTCGGGATCGTATATCATCACTAGGTGTGAGCCAAAGTCTGCCGAGCTCTCGCCGATTGCCTTGATTCCGGGGCCAAATTGGACCTCTGGACGTCTCTGCGCTGCGATTTGCGAGGCGGAAAGTGGTTGGAGAGATGATATCGGAGGAGGGTCGTACTCATGATCAGCGAAGACAACCGGAAAGTCGAATCGCGGTAGCTCCACGTTCAGCACACACACATATGGATCCGTTGTGTCTCCGCGAGAGTGATCCAGAATGCCATGCGCCCCGCCGTCGTCCTTTGCATTCGCGGTGACATCTTGCTGGCGCATCTTGGTTGACATTTTGGCGGCATGTAACCCCTTCTTTTCGAATCCCCTGAACACCATCTGGTCAAGCCAGTCCACTCGGGGTATCTCGCCCATCTCGTGCTTCTTGAACAGACTCTCCATCCTTTCCAGTTCCTCTGTATAATCAGCCAACTGTGGCGCCCCATTTCCATTCATTCTGACAACCGCAGGCGTTGTCGTGTTATCAGTCCCATCGGCGTGCTTGTACTTGTGGACGTAACATTTTTGACGACCCCTGATGACCTGGTTATCGTCGCCAAACAAGGCGAGAGTAGTCCCCCCAAACGGCGTCGCATGGCAAACATCGTTCTCGCCTTCGGCCGGTGAAAGATCCCATATGGTGATGGCCAAGCGGGAGTTGGCTGGTATCGACTTGTACGAAATAGGGAGCCGCAGCCATTCATTCCACCTGAAGGGTTGCAACAGTCAGATTCACCAACGCGGTTTGCCGGGACTTTCTGCGATGAGATGCATCCATACCTTCTCTCTTGACGAGGGGGTTTGTAAGATGTCTGAACCGGCACGGTCAGGGCCTTGGAGCCTGCCCATACTTGAACCGTGACATAAAGCTCGGACGAGGAACTAGTCACGCGAGCATTAGAGCGTCGTCGCCTCTACCGTTGTCTCTTGGACCGCGCCATACCTCGTGTTTGAGCCAATATGACGGACTTGGGGCTTATCGAGGAGCGTCGAGTATTTGGTGGGGGGTACGTCTCCGTCGATTCCTATTCTACAGGCAGGACGATTAATCATGGCACAACGAGATTGATTCCCCGAAGACTTGACTTACATTCGGATGCTGACTGGGCTTTCGATATCTCGAGAGGCTGCAAAGGAGAATGGATCTATACGGCCATAATCGGCCATGGTGTCTCATGCTCTGTCGCAATCTCCAGTGACATTCCGGATGATGTCAAACGAGGTGCATATAAACGTTTAAACAAGGTCCCTTGCCTTATGGGACGGACAGTCGTTCACACCTCATGCACTAATGCAAGCTGCTACTAGTACAGTCATCCTGTGCTATAACGATGTGGGGTCATCGACCCCGGCTTTATTGCTATATACGAGGCCATCCTTATAAGCATAGTAGCATGCAACACTGTTAGTGCGTTTTAGTACATGTACTATCTTGATCACATGTCAACGCGCCAGATCGTGCCTGGACGGGTAATTGTGGGACGCGCCACGGCGCCGGGATATGCATAGATTTGCCCCCAGACGACACGACGAGGTCCTGCATGTGCTCTGCCAGCTAGGTAGGTAGCTGGTCACCAGCTTCATCTCGGTATGTACTTACCTCGTCCTCCAGACCCAGACGCGTTCTAGGTGTTTGCCAGCGCGTGGCATTGCCATTGCCATTGATACTGCCTTGATTGTACATACTTCAGCGACACGAATCCCGACGGCAGAAGGATGCTGACATGCTGGCATTGCTCTAGGTGATCCTTGTCTGGCCTTCGCGACGCTCGATGTCTGCAAATGTGTCTCTGCACCACGTCATAACGAATCCGATTGCCGTTCGTCCTCACGCAGGCATTTGAAATGGCATCAGTCGTCTTCGAGCTTCCAGATGAGACGTCTCTGGCCCCCCTGATTCGCCGGTTTCCAGGCAGGGACTGTCAGATACGCGCACTTGCCGCCTTACTTTACGTATGCCTTATTCCGGGTCCAGCACGAGTGATAACAATTCGCTAACACCCTGTCGAACAATAGACGGATGCCGCTCCCGGTCGGAATCTCATCATACACGGGTCGGAAGCAACGGGAAAGTCCAGCATCACGAGGCAGCTTCTAGCACAGCTGTCAGAAAACATTGGAACAGCGAATGGTCGGGCTGCTGGTCTCGTCCACGCAACGGTCAACGTCGCTCGATGTATATCCGGGCGCCACCTCTTTGAGAGCATCATTGCCGCGGTGGCCGATGCCTTGAGGGCACGGGAAGACCTCGGAGATGGCGACATGCCATCCCAACGCTGTGAGACGTTGGCGCAGCTTGCTGCATCGCTGAACTCGATATTCGACGATCCTCGGTTGAAGAATGCATTGACCCATTTTGTCTTGGTGTTGGATGGGATGGACAGGCAAAGAGATTCCCCGCCAACACTGATGCCAGCCTTGGCCAGGCTGTGTGAAACTGTGAGCATGATTGAGACCCCGTTCTGTCTCGTACAAGGGGGAAAAAGAAAACCTTACATGGCGAGCAACTGCTAATTCTAAGCTGGTAGATTCCGTGCCTCACCTGTGTTTTTATCGTCACCACACCACCAGCAGGCTTTCTTCGAGCTTGTCCAACTTCGCATCTGTACTTTCCGCCCTACACCAAACCCGAGCTGATTCAAATACTTTCATTGGAACCTCCGCCCCCCCTCCCAACAAGAGACTCGGGAACTGGGGAGGAATTGCAGGATAGGGCCGCAGATTCGGAAGATGTGGCAAAGCTGTGGCCCAGATTCTGCGCAGCGGTCCATGATTCTCTCACACAAGCGGCTGGGCGGTCGCTGCCTGCTTTCAGGAACAGCTGCTACACTCTATGGCCCCGTTTTGTATCGCCCATTGTTGCGGGAACTCTTACACCCCAGCAGTTCTCTAAGCTTCTCATCGCCGCGAGGCCTTTCTTCCAAGATGAGGCGTTACTCAATCCTAAGCTTGTGTCGCCTCGTGAATCAGGCTCCGAGACAACCATCGACAAAAGCCGACAGTCTGCCACTGGACTGACATCACATCATTCGTATCCCCTGACGGGATTGACCGGCTTGCTACCGACCACCGCTAAAATCCTTCTACTGTCATCATATCTCGCATCTCACAACACTGTCCGGCACGATCTGGGCTTGTTCTCAACTTCTTACAGTGGTCGCAAGCGTCGACGTCCCGGCCCTAACGCAAATCGAGCCAACAATCGCAATAAACAGCGTAAGATTGCCCGTAAACTGCTCGGGGCGCATGCATTCCTATTGGAACGCCTGTTGGCGATCTTCGAGGCTGTTAGAACGGAATGGGCCGACTTAGCAGGCCCCTTATCCGGGCTCGACGGCGACATTGGCATGGCTTTGGCCACCTTATCAAGTCTCAAGCTTCTTATACGAATCGGAACAGGAGATATAATGGATCGGTCTGGTAAGTGGAGGATCAACGTTGGTTGGGAGATCATGCGCGGAATAAGCAGGAGTATAGGAGTCAACATTGAGGAGTGGCTTGTTGAATAAGGTTAGCAACGTGTCAGCTCAACGCTACAAAGCAGGCTTGCTTTCTTCTTTATTTGCAGCAACGTCTGCGTGCTAGATAGACCATGCCGCGGTCAGGAGAGGTATAGCATTGCCCTATTGCCCAAGATTGATTGATGCTCTCTTCGTCTTCCAAAATGCAAACCGCCCATATTCTAGGCCTCGGTAGCCAGTCTCAATTCTTCTTGAAGTCGGCAAAGGTAAAATTCTCTGGCAACAGGAGGCAGCGACTGCAAGCTTTTCGCAATCCGAGCGACAGCTTGCCTCCCTCTCTCGTACACTTCAAAATCCTTGTTACCATAGACATCTCGGCCGGAAGAATAATGTTCTTGCTGGCCCGGATCCCGAAAGAAAACGTTGACTGCAATGCTCATATCGCTTACTGGAGCCGCGGTATGTAACCACAGAGCCGGCAGTAGCAAGATGTCCCCAGGATGGAGTACAGCCTCCTGCGGATGGGTCGCCTGGAGCGAAAAGGGAGACGTTTCGAGTGCCTGGAAGACATTCACGCTCGAGCTAGACGCACCGGGTGCAAAGGAAAGGTGCTTCACGTCACTGGGGGGAAATAGAATCATTTTCCGAATCCCAGTCACCTGTGCGTAGACGTTGGCCATGACCTAGAAGCGGGGGTTGACGTACGATCAGTATGGGAAATGTTTGATGACCAGCTTGAGCTTGAAGATAGGCTAGAGAGATGACCGGTTGGAACTTACGTCGTAGTGCAACCACATGTTCACACGTCCAGACAACCTCAGAACAGAGCTGAAAAGGTGGTCATTGATATATGCCATCTCGGGTGGAAGCACAAAGTCTTCCGCTAGGTTCGGGAAATCTTCTTCTAGCTTGGCCGGTACTTCAGTGGGCTTGTCTCGGGACAGAGCTCGTAAATAGACCCTGGCCCCGGCCTGCAGTTTGCCCATGATGCTCCCGAAGGAGTCTGTCACATATTTGAAGTTCTTGCTGTTGAAGTCCAGTGCCCCTGAATCTTCGTGTGATTCATGTATGACAAACTACTGCGATTAGCTTGGTGGCTCTTGTCGAGACTTAAGTCGGAGTCACGATTGAACTCACCTTCTCATCCGCGCCAATCTGGCTCACCAGGTATTCAGGAGTCCACTTTTGTTGGCATTGTCCAATATTGCAACCTCTGAGAATGACAGGCTTCCCTTCACGAACAATCGTACGGAACTGTTCGGCTGATTCGAGCTGAATAGTGGGCACGTAGGTCAAAGATACCCTCCGACTTTCTTGGTTCAGGTTGTCTGGAACATCAGAGCCTGTAGTTGCCGAGGCCGCCACGAATTTCCGACTTCCAACGAGATTGATGCTTGATCCAGCAGGGCTGTTGAGCCGTGAGGCTGAGTGGATAGCGTCCAGAATAGCGTCAGGCAGCCGAATTCTGTAAACGCCTGTGTCCCAAAACGTCCCCATTGAAAAACATGTTGCTCCTCCACCAATTACCAGGAGAGAGTCGCCGTCTTGCACAATTGAAGAGCCAATCATGAAAGGCATACGCTCGCTATTGCCTGGAGTTGAAAAGTCCTTCACCTCAAGTCCTTCAGCAGAAGGCGTGATTATGGTCAGAGTCTGTCCGTTTAAGCATGCGTCTGCTCCCATGCCGCCACAAATCATCGCATGGGGTCCCAACTGAACTATTTGGGCACCAAACGAAGAAATAAGCCTGCTGTCAGATGGATCGATGGTCATGGGGCGAAATAAAATGGTCGGCTGTTACCACCACAGAAGTCAGCTAGGGGCGAGATGGATCGTCGTTCATTCACGATGGTGCAGCTTGCTTGGTATAGAGAGTGGCCGACGAATGGTGCTGAAACATACCTGAGCATCATTGACGTTTATCCGCCATGTATACTGCTTAGTAGCAATGCAGCCATTCTTCAAAATTCCCCCTCCTAGGACGCCACAATAATCACCAGTGATGCTTGACGCAGGGCTCGAATTACAGAGAAAGGATCCGAAGCAGCTCTCGGGAGCATTCCCCACCACCTGGCATGTTTGCCAGCACGCTCTTTGTGGGTTGAAAAGAAAGACATCATCCGAGAGCTGCGATGGGCTTTTCTTTCCCCCAAAGATGAGGAGAAGAGATGAGTTTCCCAGGCGAAGAGCAGAGTGCCGAAATAACGGAACAGGCAATTTCGGCATCATGCGCCAGCGCGGATTGGCACCTCTTTCGAAGAGCCAGCAGTCCGACAGAACACTAGAGGGGGACGTACGGCCACCGACTAGCATGACCCCATATTCTCCCAGGTCTGTCAATGTAAAACACATCCGAGCAGATGGTCCAGCAGACGGCAGTTGCGGCGGCGCTTGATGTTGGTCATCAAGTGAAAAGATATCATAAGTCGGCTCCCTGCTGTTAAGGCTCATTCCCAGTAAATTCAGAGCGTATCGTTTCCCAAATGCGTTGTTTAGGATCATGCTATTGCCGAATCGTCGCCGGCTGCTCTCCTTCGTAATGCCATCACTCCTTTCGGCGCGCAGGCCTACAAATTGCTTCGGCGGCTCGCTGGTGATGGGTCCAATTGTCTGTGGAAATGAGCCGGCTCTCGAATCGGTAGATGCATGGAGGATGAAATAGTGGCGTGCAAAAAGAATGAACTCTTCCCACTCGTCGAAGGGCTCGACGTCATCAAGAGCCATCCGCTCCGAGTCGCTCAGAAACTGATCGCTCGACCATGTCTGCCACAAGTCCTTTATGTCGACACGAGGCCAGCCACGTTCCCGAAATCGGTTTACTTGGCTCTCAATGCTTGGATACTGCTCAATGGAGCGCAGAGGAGTGTTGAGCTTGACGAAATGGCTGAGCATCTGCTGGGCAAAGGGATGGCCCTTCCCATACGGAATTATCTGTTCCAAGAGACAAAAGTCGTTCTCTATACGGCTATTAGCAAGAGACAATTCTTCCGTCCTGCAATTGGCTTCTGACGATCTAAACGGGACAAACGTGAAGACCTAAACATAGTTTTGCATTTCAGGGCACCAAGACATACCTCGGCCAACAGTGTTCCCCCATTCGATGAGAGAGTCGGCATATTGAGTGTCCATGTACGTGATTGAAACTTCAGCCACAAACAGAATGGCACACTCAGAGAGGCTCACGACTGATTCGAGCAAGACGCGTAGTCTGTCGAGTTGCCGAAGATCACACCCAAGTTGGCAATACTTGGCGCTGCGTAAGAGCAGGCCATCTTTGCCCCCGTCGCTCATTGTATAGTCATCTTCAAGGAGCTTCCGTAGCTCTGGTGTCTGCAAAACAACAGCCCGTTTCTTGTGCATGAGGTCTGGATAGTCCACGTCAATGAAGAGGACGTCGTTTGAGGCCAGTTGACGAGCGTGGCATTGCCAGGGCAGAACATCACTGGGAAGCATGAGCCTTCATGATCGAGAGTGGTACATGCCGCAGCACGGAAAGACTCACCTGCCGCAACCAAGGTTGATCACGACTTTCTTCCCTGTCGTCTCCTTGGAGAGGAAGCGCTGTACAACGACATCGATTGCCCGCAGGCGTAGCCAATAGCCTCTGTTGATGAGAGGCGCCCTCCTCTGAAATTTTGGGACAAAATAACGGAAGAAAGGGACCTCATTCGAGTGGTACAGACGCTCAACGCTGCGTTTGGAGGCGATGCTGCTGTTGTTCGTCTGCCATGAGATTAATCAGTACTGGGCTCACTAACACACTGCGGAACTCATGATGAACATCGTCGCTGAAGAGGCAATAGGTAGGTATCATATACATCAAGAGCCTAGCCATTCATGGGTACACATACCCCCATTACCATGTCGTCCAAGGCCTGCGACCCGGTACACCCTTCTGACCTGACCATCCTCTTTATATATGCACAGAATGTGATATATAAGGAGCGACCCGAAAACTGCCCTACACGCAGCAGAGTGAGGTTCTGTTCTTCTCACATATGAATATTTTTTTTTCTCTAATTGATTTTTCTTTCACTAGGCAGGTAATACTAGTCTAGCTACCTGTAGTAGTCTACTTCTTCCCCGGATTCAAAGTGGTGCTCTGTTTACCCTTTAGAGATTAGGGCGAGTGAGCTGAGAGCTTCAGGACTTTATGAGCAACTTGAAGAAACGGGCTATTTCCGCTAGTGCAATCTGCTGACTGGCCGAGGCGTTGATCAGGTTAAAGAGCGACTGCGAGTCAACGAGATGCTTTGCGACGGTAGTGTCTGGCTGGCAGAATGTCCGGACACGCATGTTGCGCGCATTCGTCTTCATTTCGTTCAGCAGGAGCGCAATCTTAGTGGTATTCCCCTGCCGGCGGCCGTAGAAGCTAAAGTCGTTGATGTGAAGACTGACGAGCTCCAGCTGTGTCTCGAGGTCGTACCTGAAGCCGACCACTTTGTGACGGCCTTTCTGGTGCCATTCATCAGACACCCTTTTCAGGTGGTCCGGAGAAAGGTGGCCCTTGTCGAGCTCTTCGCTGATGTACATATTGAGGGCTGTCGTGAGGTTGAACTCGAGCTCACAGTACAAGAGGCTCTGCTCCCTGGGATCCAGTGAAACCGCGGCATGTGTGCCCACCGATACCTTCGAAGCTGGGAGAGTTCGCCGGCTCTGGTGAAGTCCAGACTGGCCGTTATGAGTTTGAATTCCTTTCCTCAGTCTCATTCCGTCAAAGCACTTACCATGTCCTTCGCAATCTTTCGGATGCCATCCAAGATGCCCGTCTTCTTCTGAGGCGTTTGTTTGTTCTTGTTTGGGTCGCTCTGGTCTGTACACTCAAGCCAACCATTCTCTCCAATCATGGTTTTCTCCCCCTTCTTCTCCGTGGGAAATTCATCTCCTCGAAAATACAAGGCGAGGGGAGAAAACAAAGTATTTTCATCGCTTTTCCACGCCCTTGTTCCAGGGGATGTTGCTGGCAGAGATTGCCTTACTGCATTGTAGCAGCCATCAACAGACGACATCGTGGAGACTCGCCGCGATTTAATGTAAATGCAAGATTGTTTAATATAAAATAAAAGGGAGGCTAAATTAAGTATTCTAACTACCTAGCTAGTATAAAAGAGAAAGAAAAGCAAGTTATAAATAAAATATAATTAATAGCCTTTAGTATTTATAAGCTATTAGCCTTATTAATTTTTTAAATTATAATATATATATTATATATTTTAAATAAATAAATTTTTTATTTTTTAATATAATAATAAAAATAATTAATTATATTATTTTAATTATAATTAAAATTTAATATATTTAATATATTTAATATAATATAAATATTAAATTTAATTTAAGAATACTTATTATAATTAATTATAAAGGATTATATATATAAATATTATTAAATTAACTTAATATTTTATACTTATATATATTTTAATAATACTTTTTATTATAAAACTAAGCCTTATTTATATAATTTATATAGTTATTTAAATATAAAAACTTAAGTTTAAATTAGGCTTATTTTAAAGCTAGCTTTTAAACTAAGTTATTAATAACTTAATTAAAATATATTATAAATATTAAAAATAAAAATAAAATTTTTATTTTTTAAATATAAATATTTATTATTATTATATATAAAGTTAGTTTTTATTATAAATATATTTTATTTTTAAAAACTATTATTTTTAAAAATAAAATATAATTATATATATAATAATTAAATAGCTTTTATATATATATATATATATATAAGTATTATAATATTATAAAAATATTTTTTAATAAGTTATTATAAAAATATATATATATTACTTTAAAAAGCTAGCTAAAGCTATTATTTATTAATATTTTTATAAACTTTTTTTATAAAAAAAGCCTTTATATTTATACTAGCTTATTAAAAAACTTTTATATTATATTTTTAATTTAATAATAAACTTTACTTACTTTATTTTTAGCCTTTAATAAAAGGTTTTTATAAAAAACTTAAGCTATACTTATACTTTAATTAGTTAAAAACTAAACTTATTATAAGCCTAAGTAATAATTATAAAAGTTATATATATTAAAATATAATAGGCTTAATATAAGCTTAATATAAGCTTATATTAAGCCTTAACTTTTTTTATAAGTAAGTATATTAAAAGTATTTAATTTAAAAACTTACTTTTTAAATATATTAATTTTAATAATAAATACTTATTATTTTATTTATAAAGCTAGTTTTATTATAATTAATATACTTTATTATAAAAAAAAAAATAATTTATTAAAATTATAATATATATTTTTTATA